TCTGTAAGTCTTCCCCCAGTGAACCCAGCAGGCAAGCTTGGTTTTGACAGGGGATGGGTGAGCAGAGATAAAGAGAAAGGCCAGAAGTAGCTGACTTCCCTTGAGGGAGGGACCAAAACTGGTACCTAAAAATTGCCTGGTGTGGAAGGCAGAATTGTCACTGTCAACTCAAAGGTCTTGAGTCTTTGTCTTTCTGCTTGTGGTGTTGAGAAAGGTGCTAGATGCAGCCGAGGTGGGGTCTGTGTCAGGTGACCCGGGTATCCTGGGGGTGCAGGGAGAAGCCCCGGTGAGGAGCAGGACGGGCCGGTCATCAGTAGGGAAAAGTGGTTACCCCACGGGCAGGTCAAGGGTAGGAGGTTGTGAGAAACCAGGGGGAGAGATGAAGTGAGGCATGATTGGGGGGCCCCCACCCATCCCCCTTGCAGCTGAGCTGGAAAGAGCCTGGGCTCCGGGTCCGAGGTGGCGGGGACAGAAGGAAGCATGTGTGAGCACTTTCTCCCTGCTGGCCGCCTTCCTGGTTGGCAATGCCGTGAGTGTTCCAGGATGTGGCCCGTGCTAGTAATTTCCTTTCTTCCACCTAGCGATAACAATGGCCACTGTTTGTGTGCCTGCAGTCGGCCTGTGTCCCAGACACCTTCCCTCCATTGCGTCATTTCATACTCCCGCCAACCCCAAAGGCTGGATGCCAGCCAGGCCTGTCCTTTCTGTGGCCACGCTGCTGTGGGTGTGCGGTGCGGGGGCATCTCCCAGCCCCAGGCCCTGGTGGTGGGAATGCAGGCTGGGGCATTGAGGAAGGGGTCTCTCTCGGGGTGTGGAATCTTTCTTTGAGTCCACTGCATCCCTGGTGGCTTTCTCCATTGACCCAAGGCTTATGGGTGCTGGATGCTTTGGACTCTCTGCCCTTCCTGGGAGCACCCCGCCGGGTCCCTGCGGGCCTGTCCTCAGGGGAGCCTCTCTGCTACTCTTCCAGGTCAGCCCTGAACCCCAGGGGTCCCCATCTTCCCGGCTGCAGGCTCCAGGGGCTCAGCCTACACAGCCACTTCCTTCGAAAACTATAATCAGTTTACGTAGCATCTGGAAAATAGGGAACAGAAAATAAAGCCCGTAAACCCAGCACCCTCGTCTGCTCATAGGCTGTTTTCTATCAGTCTATCTTGGTTTGTTTTCTGTTAGTCTTTGTTTTTTCTGTGCACAGTATTTACTCGGTTAAACGTTTGTTTTGACAAGCTTTCCATGAGCCAAGCTTGTGGACGGAGATGAAAAGACGGGCAGCCGCCTTTGAGAAGTCGGACTCGGGGCCAGCCCAGCTGGGCGCCTGCCTTCCCCCTCCGCCTGCCGGCTGGGTGACCCTGGGAGCGTGACTTTACTTCTCCGTTCTTTGGTGTTCTCCTATGGAAAATGAGGATAGTAATAGTAACCAGTCATTGAGTGGTTGTGTAGATGAAATGATTAATAAATGTAAAGCTCTTAGGATGGTGCCGGAAAGATGCGCAGGAGTGTTTGGCGGGAGGCCGACGGAGCTCCGTCTGCAGGAGGGGCAGCTGGAACATGCCGAGCTGTGATCGTACCGATGTGTTTAATGTGAGGGAGAGCCCAGAGCAAGGAGAGAGAACCTGGCGCCTGGAGATGCTGTGTCAGCAACATTTTAGACCAGGCATGGTGACTCACACCTGTAATCCGAGCACTTTGAGAGGCCGAGGCAGGCAGATTGCTTGAACCCAGGTGTTCGAGACCGGCCTGAGCAACATGGGGAGACCCTGTCTCTGTAATTTTTTTTTTTTTTTTTTCTGAGACTGAGTCTTTGCTGTGTCACCCAGGTTGGAATGCAGTGGTGCTATCTCAGCTCACTGCTACCTCCACTTCCGGGGTTCAAACAATTCTCCTGCCTCAGCCTCCTGAGTAGCTGAGACTATAGGTGCCCACTACCACACCCGGCTAATTTTTTAATTTTTTTTTGTTTGTTTGTTTTGTTTTTTGAGACGGAGTTTCACTCTTGTTACCCAGGCTGGAGTGCAATGGCGCGATCTCGGCTCACCGCAACCTCCGCCTCCTGGGTTCAAGCAATTCTCCTGCCTCAGCCTCCCGAGCTGGGATTACAGGCAGGCGCCACCACACCCAGCTAATTTTTGTATTTTTAGTAGAGACGGGGTTTCACCATGTTGACCAGGATGGTCTCGATCTCTTGACCTCGTGATCCACCCGCCTCGGCCTCCCAAAGTGCTGGGATTACAGGCGTGAGCCACCGCGCCCGGCAATTTTTTAATATTTTTAATAGAGACAGGGTTCCACCGTGTTGGCCAGGCTGGTCTCGAACTCCTAACCTCAAGTGATCCGCCCGCCTTGGCCTCCCAAAGTGCTGGGATTACAGGCATGAGTCACCACTCCTGGCCTCTATAAAAATTTTTTTTTGAAGAAATTCTCCAGGTGTGGTGGTGCAAACCTGTAGTCCTAGCTACTCAGGAGGCTGAGGTGGGAGGATCGTTGAACCCAAGATGTTGAGGCCACAGTGAGCCATAACTGAGCCATTATACTCCAGCCTGGGCAAGAGAGCCAGACCCTGTCTCAAAACAACAACAACAACAAAAAATTTTTTTTTTTTTTTGGAGACAGAGTCTCGTGCTGTCATCCGGACTGGAGTGCAGACACATGACCTCAGATTCAAGTCATTCTCCCGCCTCAACCTCCCAAGTAGCTGGGATTCCAGACACCCACCACCATGCTCAGCTATTTTTTTTGTATTTTTTTTAGTGGAGACGGGGTTTCACTCTGTTGGCCAGAATGGTCTCAAACTCCTGATCTTGTGATCCAACCGCCTTGGCCTCCCAAAGTGCCGGGATTACAGGCATGAGCCACTGTACCTGGCCAACAAAAACATTTTTAAGGAGGTGAGAACCGTGAGAACTGAGCTTGGATTTGAAGAGGGATCTGGGCTTTCTCAGACAGAAAAGGAGAGGAAGGACATTCCAGATAGACATCACTGAGAGATGTCACTGAGCCTTGTAATGGGACACTGTGAACTCTTCTCGGGTTGTTATAATCTTCACATTCACAACTGTCAGTGACCACACCCAGTATCTCTGGGGTGAACGCGTCATAACTTACCCTTCTCCTAATGCTGAATGTCGGGGTTGCTTCCATTTCTGTGGCATCACAAAGACTGCCGTGGTGCCCGCTGACACGCGTACAGCATCTCTCATCTGGGGGAGTTCTTTCCCTGGGACTGATTCCCATGCCTCCCCTTGGTGGCCCTCCCCTCTCGCCCGCTGTGGTGAGGGGCACGGGCACCCCAACTTCCCTGTCCTCATAGTCCTCCACTGCGGAAGAAAGAAGGGAGCTTGGCACGGGTTCAAGTATTCTCACAAACATTCTTCTTTTATTCTCGTAACGTGTTGGAGACAAAAAATGTCCCCATTTTAAAGAAGAAGAAAACTGGCCGGGCACAGCGGCTCACGTTTGTAATCCCAGCACTTTGGGAGGCTGAGGCGGGTGGATCACAAGGTCAGGAGTTTAAGAACAGCCTGACCAACATGGAGAAACCCCGTCTCTACTAAAAATACAAAAATTAGCTAGGCGTGGTGGCGTGCACCTGTAATCCCAGCTACTCAGGAGGCTGAGGCAGGAGAATTGCTTAAACCCAGGAGGCAGAGGCTGCAGTGAGCTGAAATCGCGCCACTGCACTCCAGCCTGGGTGACAGAGCGAGACTCTGTCTAAAAAAAGGGCAGGAGAAAACTGAGGCTCACGATCTTTTCACGCCTTTATTGTCTACTACTAATCATAAAAGGAAGGGCATTATAAAGCTTTGGAACATTTTCAGAGTTCTACAGTCCAGCTTCTTTAAGCCTCCGTTTTATCTGTAAAGAGGGTGGTCAGCAGCATAAAGAGAGCCAACATTTACTGAACACTTAACGTCTTCCATGTGCTGTTATTGTGTGCTGTTATGGCCCCCATGTTACGGATGAGGAAACTGAGACACAGAGAGGTTAAGTAACTTGCCTAAGGTCACACAGCTGGGATGTGGTGAGGCTGAGATTTGCTTGCGCCTGGCTCTAGATCTGTGCTGTCTCATTGGTGTGCTTGCCTCACAATTTTGTGAGAATCAAATGAGATAATCAATGAGCTTACTTCAGAGCCTGCTACATAGTCAGTGCTTAGTAAACGTCTCCTGGTATAATTATAGATTTTTTTTTTTTTTTTTTTTTGAGGTGGAGTTTTGCTCTGTTGCCAGGCTGGAGTGCAGTGGCATGATCTCGGCTGACTGCAACCTCTGCCTCCTGGATTCAAGCGATTCTTCTGCCTTAGCCTCCCAAGTAGCTGGGATTACAGGTGCCCGCCATCATGACGGGCTGATTTTTTTATTTTTAGTAGAGGTGGGGTTTCACCATGTTGGTCAGGCTGGTCTTGAACTCCTGACCTCAGGTGATCACCCACCTCAGCCTCCCAAAGGCCTCCCAAAGCCTGGGATTATAGACATGAGTCACTGCGCCCAGTCCATGCTGGGCTCTTTGGGTGCTGAAAGATTATCTCTGTAACTTACATGGTGAGAAACCTCCGTTTGCCGAGGACATGACTGCCTGTAATGTATGTTCACATCTGTTGTCTCCTTTGGTCAATACCATTCACTGCAGGTGAGGAAACTTAGTCTCTGCTGGGGACACTGGGTCAGGGAGCAGGCAGTTAAGGTCACCGCACCATGGCAGCACAGGAGGGTGCGGGGACAGACCCTGGCCTAGCCCTGGCTCTTTAAGGGTATGGCTGTCCTCTTAGGGGGCTGGCCAGGGTTTGCTAGGTCCCCGGTCTGTCCTGAGAGTCCTGTCACTTTTACCTCCCACTCAGTGTCATTTCTCTGTCTTTCCCCTCCTTTTCAGGTCCCTCCATGCCCAGGATCTGGGGACAACACTGGTGAGGAGCCATCCGGGTGTCTGTACAGGAAACCACTGCAGTTGGTGAGGGGGGCATGGGAGACCGCGCCCAGCTGACCAGAAACCTCGTTTTCTTCCAGACTGAGGCGGAAGGTGGTGGGGCTTCCCCACCTGCCCCGCAGAAGATGCAGTTCCTCGGCCGCCTGGTCAATACCCTCAGTACCGTCACTAACTTGTTCTCTAACCCATTCCGGGTGAAGGAAGTGGCTGTGGCCGACTATGCCTCAAGCGGCCGGGTTCGGGAGGAAGGGCAGCTGATCCTGTTCCAGAACGCTCCCAGCCGCACCTGGGACTGCGTCCTGGTCAACTCCAGGAACTCACAGAGTGGATTCCGGTGGGTCATGGTCAGGGACACACATTTCTCTCCTTTGACTCCCCTGATCTCTTGGATTGGAGGTCTTGTTGGCAGGGAAGCAGCTTCTTTGGGTCTCCATCTGAGGGATCTGGAGGGAGGCGGGAGAGAGGGGAGACTGTACTCTTAGACCAGAGGGAAGGGCTTCCGAGACTCCACACTTCTGGCACGTCGGTGTCCCAGCAGCATGAGAGTGGGTTTGGAAGCCTGGGTTGTTTCCTGCTTGGAGGCTTGACCTGTATGGACAAAGGGAAGAAGGAAGCCCAGGGAGGCTGGGCGGGGCCGCATCAGACAAGGAGAACCCTTAGCGCTGGCTCTTTATTATTCGTTTTTGTTTTTGTTTTTTTGAGACAGAGTCTCACTCCGTTGTCCAGGCAGCAGTGCAGTGGTGCTGTCTCACTCACTGCAACCTCTGCCTCCCAGGTTCAAGCAATTCTCCTTCAGCCTCCTGAGTAGCTTGGATGACAGGTGCCCGCCACCATGTCCAGCTAATTTTTTTATTTTTAGTGGAGACAGGGTTTCACCATGTTGGTCAGGCTGGTCTCAAACTCCTGACCTCAGGTGATCCACCTGCCTTGGCCTCCCAAAGTGCCGAGATTGCAGGCGTGAGCCACTGTGCCTGGCCTAGCACCTGCCTTGGCCTCCCAAAGTGCTGAGATTGCAGGCATGAGCCACTGTGCCTGGCCTAGCCCTGGCTCTTTAAGGGCATGGCCATCCTCATAGGGGCTGACCAGGATTTGCTCAAGAGGGCTGGACAGAGCTGTCGCCTCTTGGGGCACGCTGGGACTCTTCTGGGCCCTAAAGGAAGGCCTGGAAGCCAGTACAGGGCTGAGAACCAGACAGATGGCAGAGCTGGTGGAAAACCGGGAGAAGCAGCCAAGATTCCAAATGCAGGTCCCAGCAGTGCTTGGCAGACTGGCATCTAGTTGGGCTCAGACAGATATCCCTGTTTCCGCTTGCCCATCCATCTGGCTGCCCTGCCAGCCATCCGTTCAGCATGCACCAGGCACCTCCAGTGTCTCCAGAATCCCGGGCTCTGGGTCAGTCCTGGCTGGCCCTGTGAGATGACAGACATGCCCTGTGTCTTTAAGGAACTTACAGTTTGGTGGGGGAGGTCCAGTGCAAACAGGCATCGTGGCACCCCTTGAGGAGTGCTCTGACCCAGGGAGAGCCGAGGAAGCGTTGTGGATCATGAGGAGGTGGTTGAGAGGTACTCTGTGTCTGGAAGAGTGAGGAGGAACCTGGGTGGCAGAAAGAATGAATAGGTGGTTCCAGCCATGCAGAGGTGTGGAGCTGTGAGCCCGCGGGCGGGTGGCTCTGGCTGGGTCCCAGGTGCATGCAGCGCCTTGGTGAGACTGAGGCTGAAGGAGGCAGCTGGGGACTCATTCTGACTGAAGAAGCATGGCAGGAGGGGTCTCTAAAAGTGTCAGGCGGCCGGGCGCGGTGGCTCAAGCCTGTAATCCCAGCACTTTGGGAGACCGAGGCGGGTGGATCACGAGGTCGAGAGATCGAGACCATCCCGGTCAACATGGTGAAACCCCGTCTCTACTAAAAATACCAAAAATTAGCTGGGCGTGGTGGCACGTGCCTGTAATCCCAGCTACTCGGGAGGCTGAGGCAGGAGAATTGCCTGAACCCAGGAGGCGGAGGTTGCGGTGAGCCGAGATCGCGCCATTGCACTCCAGCCTGGGTAACAAGAGCGAAACTCTGTCTCAAAAAAAAAAAAAAAAAAAGTGTCAGGCTTGGGGCCAGGGGCTGGCAGCAACAGAGGAGCATGGCAGATATCAGGCCCCATCCAAGCAGGTGAGAATTCAGAGCTGCTTCCACAAGGAACCTGAGGCAGAGGCACCCACAGCGGGTACTTGGGCTGAAGGCAGCTCAGTGGCCAGTCCAGGCACCATTTTTTTTTTTTTTTTTAGATGGAGTCTCACTTGTTGCCCAGGCTAGAGTGCAATGGCAGGATCTCAGCTCACTGCAACCTCCGCCTCCCAGCTTCAAGCAATTCTCTTGCCTCAGCCTCCTGAATAGCTGGGATTATAGGTGCACACCACCATATCCGGCTAATTTTTGTATTTTTAGTAGAGATTGGGTTTCACCAAGTTGGCCAGACTGGTCTTGAACTCCTGACCTTGTGATCTGCCCACCTCTGCCTCACAAAGTGTTGAGATTACAGGCATAGGCCACTGTACCTGGCCCAGGTACCAATTTTAACATAGCGGGGCCATTCCAGATTCTGAGTGCAGATGGATCTGAGTGGACTGCCCTCCAGCTGGACTGCATCGGGGGTGACCTTGAATGGGGCAGGCTTGCTCTCGCACCTCCAGAGCCTTACTACAGGCACAGCTGCCAGGGCAGCGGGCCCACTCCTTGGAGAGCTGGACAGTCCCACTTTTGAGGTACATGGCCCTGGGGATACCACCGACCTCTGCGTACCAATAATCACCAAGTTCTTTCAGTTGTAAAGTCCCTTGGTAGGATTCCAGATTTGTCTCAGCCCCAGTGTGGGCAGACCTCCATCCCAGGGGGATTCAGTCCTTTGCCAGCAGCTTGTTAGCTACAGGTAAGATATTGGGTGGTACTTTATAGGATGTTTTAGAGTGCGTTGGGTTAGCACAGTCTCTGCTGAGCCATGGAGGTGGGCAAAGAAGGCAGTATCCCATTTTACGGATGAGAAAACAGCCTTGGGATGATAAATGATTCATCCTAGATTATACAGGAAGCAGCGAAGAAACAGAATCAGTGTCTTCTGGTTCCCAATCCATTTCTCTGTGCTGCTGTGTAGTTTCCATGTCTGTATGTCTGTCTGTCTGTATGTATGTATGTGTTTTTTTGAGACAGAGTCTTGCTCTGTCACCCAGGTTGGAGTGCAGTGGTGCGATCTCAGCCCACTGCAACGTCCACCTCCTGGGTTCAAGCGATTCTCCTGCTTCAGCCTCCCCAGTAGCTGGGATTACAGGCACCTGCCACCACACTGAGCTAATTTTTGTATTTTTAGTAGAGACAGGGTTTTGCCACCAGGTTGGTCTCGAGCTCCTGACCTCAGGTGATTCCCTCGTCTTGGCCTCCCAAAGTGCTTGGATTACAGGGGTGAGCCACTGTGCCCGACCATTTCTGTGTATTTAGATAGACCAAGGAGCATTGGGTGGAGTTTCAAGCTAAGCACATTCTCTTATCTCAGAATTCCTGACATCCCTAACTTGGCTCTAGAGTCTTTTTTTTGTATTTTTGTTTTATTGATTGATTGATTGATTGATTTAGAGTTTCGTTCTTGTTGCTCAGGCTGGCTTGCAATGGTTCTGTCTTGGCTCACTGTAACCCCTGCCTCCCGGGTTCAAGAGATTCTCCTGCCTCAGCCTCCCCAATAGCTGGGATTACAGGCGTCCACCATCACACCCAGCTAATTTTTGTATTGTTAGTAGAGACGGGGTTTCCCCACGTAGGCCAGGCTAGTCTCAAACTCTTGACCCTGACCTCATGTGATCCACCTGTTTTGGCCTCCCAAAGTGCTGGGATTACAGGCTTTTGAGCTGCCACACCTGTCTGTTTGTCTTGTTTTTAAATTTTATTTATTTATTTTCACAGTCATAGCTCTGGAGTCTTTTTTTTTTTTTCTTGTTTTGTTGCCAGGCACCAGGCTTGGGTGCAGTGGCGGATCTTGGCTCACTGCAACCTCCGCTTCTGGGTTCAAGCAATTCTCCTGCCTCAGCCTTCCGAGTAGCTAGGATTACAGGTTCGTGCCACCATGCCTAGCTAACTTTTGTATTTTTTAGTAGAGATGGGTTTTTACCATGTTGGCTAGAATGGTGTCCATCTCTTGACCTTGTGATCTGCCTGCCTCGGCCTCCCACAGTGCTGGGATTACAGGCGTGAGCCACCGCGTCCGGCCAGCTCTCCAGTCTTTTTTATCTTCTCTTCTCTAATCTGCTCCCATCCAAGCATTTCCATTTCAGCAAATAGCACCATTCCAGCCGCCAGTTCCAGCCATCACATCCACCTTTCCAGCCAGAGGGAGGGCGGAAGGGCAGGGTGCAGCAGGGCACTCTCCCCCTCCTTAGGTAGGCTTCTTGGAAGTTGCAAACATGCCTTCCACCTAAATCCCATTAACCAGAACCTGGTCACATGGCCACAGCTAACTGCAAGGGAGGCTGGGAAGGAAGTGGTGTGGTGTTGCAGACAGCCACGTGCCAGTGGAAAATCACGGGTTCTCTCCCTCTCCATCTTGCTGCTGGCTCGCTTCTCCAGGCCACAGTCATTGTGCACGTGGGCTCCTGCCGCTTTAGCTGTGGTCCACACTCCTCTCATCCTCTTCCAAGCTGCTGTCACAACCTGTCGTTCTGCTGCTTAACTCCTCAAGGGCTTCCTGTTTTCTTAACACATCAGGTGCTTAAGGGCTTAAAGGGGCCCTGTGTGATCAAGTCTCTGCCTCTGTGGTCTCAGCTCATGCTGCCTTGTGCTCCTGGCCTTTGCCCAGGCTCTCACTGTGGCCTGGAATACTCCCCTTTCTTTGCCTGCCTCCCTTCCTCTTGCCCTCCCCTGACCTACAGGCTGGCGTTGGAGTTTCTGCTGGGTGTCCCATGACACCCATCCCTGCTCTGGGGAGCCTGCCTTCCTGGTAGGCCGCAGACCTTGTGAGGGAGGGACTGTGTCTGTCGGGTTCATGACAGTGTGCCCAGCCGCCAGCAGGTGCCCGGCATAGATCAGGTTTGTGGAATAAATGAATGTGATATATTAATTCAGCTTTATAGTGTTCATTGAGGGCTGCTGTGTGCCAGGCCCTCTGTGCCACATGGGTGGAGGGTCGAGGGCTGTTGCATTCAGGCAGTTGATGGAGTGAGCTAGGAAGGGAAGGTGGAGGATGGGGAGTGGGATGCAGGGGTCCAGGTTACCAAGGGTCCCAGAAGCGGTAATGCCAAGGCCTAGGGTGTGACCTCGAGTGAGGCTGCAATGCGGGGGGGGGGGGGGAGTTGAGGCCATAGAGGAGGGGTCAGGGCACTGCCAGAGCCCCGGGCTTCTCCAGGGCCAGGGGTAGTCATTGCAGTCTTCTCGAAGCTCCTCTCAACACCCTGGAGTTTGTGGAGAGCATGCCTGCTGCACTGGACTTCCTCTGCCTGGGGCTGAGGTTCTGCCTTCTAAATGATCCTCCTCCGGTGTTGCCCTGGAGGACTTTGGACTGTCCTGAGTGCTTACTTATTTATTTATTTATTTTTGAGATGCAGTTTCCCTCTCGTTGCCCAGGCTGGGGTGCCATGGCACGATCTCTGCTCACCACAACCTCGGCCTCCTGGGTTCAAGCAATTCTTCTGCCTCAGCCTCCCAAGTAGCTGGGATGACAGGCGTGCATCACCGCGCCTGGCTAATTTTTTTTTTTGATGGAGTCTCCCACTGTCGCCCAGGATGCAGTGCAGTGGCGCCACCTCGGCTCACTGCAGTCTCTGCTTCCTGAGTTCAAGCGATTCTCCTGCCTTGGCCTCCAGAGTAGCTGGGACTACAGGCATGCACCACCACACCCAGCTAATTGTTTTGTATTTTTAGTAGAGACATGGTTTCCCATGTTAGCCGGGATGATCTTCATCTCTTGACCTAGTGATCCACCCGCCTCGGCCTCCCAAAGTGCTGGGATTACAGGCATGAGCCACCGTACCCGGCCTAATTTTCTATTTTTAGTAGAGATGGGGTTTCTCCATGTTGATAAGCTGGTCTTGAAGTCTCGACCTCAGGTGATCTGCCTGCCTTGACCTCCCAAAGTGTTGAGATTACAGGCGTGAGCCACCGCGCCCAGCTTTGGTCTGGGTACTTGAAGTATGTTAGAGTGAGCATGGGCTGCTAGCCTTTGGCTCCGGGTAGAGGGGTTTCTGTTGTACTTTTGCTGCTGTTGCTGTGGTGAGCTGTCATCCTGAGCTTCTGGATGGACCTGGGGAAGGGAATTAGGAGCTTCTGAATTCTTGGGTTGTGTAACTTAAGGCCCGAGAATCTCACAGCATTGCTACTGGGGTGGCGAGACTGGACCCTGCTGATATAGACGGTGACAGCAGTAGCATCTGCAGGTGCCGCGTGCCTGGCGTGGCCCAGTCATTTTATCCGCACGACAGTCCCATGAGGTGGGGTCCTTACTGACCTCCTATTACAGATGAGGAAACAGAGGCTCGCAGAATTTAAGGAAGTACCCTGAAGTCACACAGCTGGTCAGTGTAGTGGTTATTCACACCCTATCATCTGGCTATAGAACCCACTCGTTTACTGTTCTGACATCAGGGCTGCCTTGTAGTGTGGTGAGCTGAGTGACGTTCCACCCCACTGGGCTGATCCTGGCCCTGCCTGCCTGACCTATGCGGGGGGCCCTGGCTCTCCCTGTATAAGCTCCCAAGGGTCACTTGTAATATGCCTGTGTACATTATGATAGCATAGATACTTCTGTTCCTGGCAGAAATTAATCATTTATGGCTGACATTGACTGGTAACAGATGACATTTGATGAAATTGGCCAGCTTCTCACTGGTATCTCAGCAGAAACAGGGCTGTCCCTCCCAGGGAGTAATGACCCTACCTCAGGGGACAGAAACATGTGATCCGTGCTTCCCTACCAGGAGCTGACTTTTGAGGCGCTCCGGACTGGGACTTTGCCTTAAAACTGCTTGTCAGGAACCTCAGACAAGTGGAGTGCCCAGGGCCCCAGCCACTTGCTCTGGGGCTATCTCCTCCATCCGTTCATCCCACCCACAGCCCATCTTCACCGAGCAGACTGGAAAGCAGCACATCCTGGTCAACATGGTGAAACCCTGTCTCTATTAAAAATACAAAAATTAGCTGGGTGTAGTGGCAGCTGCCTGTAATCCCAGCTACTCGGGAGGCTGAGGCAGGAGAATCACTTGAACCCGGTAGGCGGAGGTTGTGGTGAGCCGAGATAGTGCCATTGCACTCCAGCCTGGGCAACAAGTGTGAAAATTCTGTCCCCTCCAAAAAATATCAGTTTTGGAAAGTTTGCAGACATTAACTCTTCAAATGTGGCTTCCATCTGATTCTTCTACTCTGCCTCTGACCCTCCACTTATATATGTATGCTAAATCTTTTTATTAGACAGTCTATATCTCTTAGCTACTTTACTATATATTTTTATTCTTTTGTCTGTCCATGCTTTATTCTGTTTACTCTTCCCTACCTACCTTCCTGTTCACTCATTTTCTCTTCAGTATTGTTCAATCTGCTATTATACTTAGCTATCAAGTTCCGGATTTTGTTGATTATATTTTTTAATTCTGTAGTTAACATTTGATTCTTTTTTATAATTCGAGGATCTTTGACAAAATTCTAAATTTCCTTTTTTAACCTCTTGAATGTTATCACAGTTACTTTAAAGTCTATTTTGGATAACTTAAATATTTACAGCCCCCTCACTTACAAATATGTTTTCTTTTGTATGTTGGTTTTCTTTCATGTCTTATCGCCACATGTGCCTGGTGAGTTTTGATTATGTGCTGGACGTTGTATTTGCAAGTATGCTTGTGGAAGTAATCTGGAGCCTAGTTTGATGTTTCCTTATAAAGAATGGATTTATTTTGGTTTCTCCCAGGTACCTGGGAACACTTTGCAACTAGGATAACCTCAGTCTTGTTTCTGGAGCTGAAATTACTTAAGGCTGAACTGTGGTCCCTGTGAGGGTGTGTCTGTGTATGGCTCACCCTTATTCCTAGGCTCAGTAGTTCTTTAGGATCCTAACCTAGAGTAAGAGGTGTTCATCAGGGCTCTCCTCTTGGCAGACCCCTGGGCTCCAGTCCCTGTGTTCTGGGCCCCACAAGGTTATACCTGGTGCTGCTCATCCCCTCTTCCCCCCAGTCCTCTCCAGTGACAGCCACTTGAACACTGAGCTTAATTCCTGGGTTTCTGTCATTCCTTCCAGCCTGGTGAGTCATCAGTGTCTTTTTAGGTATCCAGTGCCTGCCAGCAGATGTTTTTTAATAACTCGTCTAGCATTTCTGGCTGTCCTCAGTAGGTGGTCTGTTTTACATTCCCTAGTCTCCCGTTAATGGAAAGTGGAAGTTCTGAGAGAGAATCATCATTCCCATCAGCATTCAAATGCCTGATTACACTTTTCCTATTAGCTATCCCTACCTTTATTTGCTCCTCTCCACAGCAAAACTCCTCAAAAATATCAACTATCTTTGCAGTCTTCAGTTTCTTACATCCTGTCCTTAAACTCACTTTAATCAGGCCTTGGTTCCCTACTTCACTGCAAGCATTGTTGTCAAGGTTGTGCATGCCCCCATGATGCTAATTCCAGTGATCAGTTTTCAGTTGTCGGAGTGCCCTGATGGTAAGAGGTTGGCAGGATGAAGGAAAAACGCAGCCAAGGGCCATGAGGAATGGCTTCCTTCCACCTCCTCCTTCCTTACCTTTGTTGTGGTTTTTGTTGTTTCTACAGCACCAATTACCTTATAGTCTATTTAATGGACTTCCTTATTTTATGTTTTTACTTTGGTCATTTTGTTGATTTCCCCCATAATAACATAGACACAGTGGCTCATGCCTGTAATCCCAGCACTTTGGAAGACTGAGGTCAGGAGTTTGAGACCAGCCTGGCCAACATGGCAAAACCCCATCTCTACTAAAAATATGAAAATTAGCCAGGCGTGGTAGCACATGCTTATAATGCCATTTACTAGGGAGGCTGAGAGGCAGGAGAATTGCTTGAATCTAGTGGGTGGAGGTTGCAGTGAGCTGAGGTCTTGCCACTGTACTCCAGCCTGGGCAACAGAGCGAGACTCTGTCTCAAAAGAAAAAAAAAATAGGCTTCAGGAGGGCAGAGCATTTTATGCAATTGCTCAGTAATTGACCCCTCCATTTGGCACAGCTCACTTTTCCAGTAGTTAATTGTTAATCGATGCACTCTCTGTGGAACAACAGGCTGGCCCTGTTGAGCCAGCACTCTCTGGGCACTGCCTCCACTGGACTCTGGCTGGCTGCTGGGCTTGTAGAGTCTGCAAGACAAAACCTTCTGGTATGTTATTACATAACAATAAACATTTGGGCACGATGGCTCATGCCTGTAATCCCAGCACTTTGGGAGGCCAACGTGGGCGGGTCACCTGAGACCAAGAGTTCGAGATCAGCCTGGTCAACATAGCGAAACCCTGTCTCTATTAAAAATACAAAAAATTAGCTGGGCGTGGTGGTGGGCACCTGTAATTCCAGCTACTCAGGAGCCTGAGGCAGGATAATTGTTTGAACCTGGGAGATGGAGGCTGTAGTGAGCCGAGATCACACCGTTGCACTCCAGCCTGGGCAACAAGAGCAAAACTTGGTCTCAAAAACAAAAATTCCCTGTTTTTAAAAATATCTCATTTTAATGCCTACATAATAGTTCACTACATAGTTGTACCATAATTTATATTCTGTTGCTGTACATTTAGGTTAAATAATACTTAGTTGAATACTTGCTTGAACCTGGGAGGCAGAGGTCATAGTGAGCTGAGATCACACTACTATACTCCAGCCTGGGTAACAAAACAAGACTCTGTCTCCAAATGAAATTAGCTGGGCCTGGTGGCGCATGCCTGTCATCCGAGCTACTCAGGTGCTAAGGTAGGAGGATCCCCTGAGCCCAGGAATTGGAAGATGCAGTAAGCCATGATCATACCACTGCATTCCAGGCTGGGTTACAGAGCAAGACCTTGTCTCTAAGAAACAAAGAAGTCTAACCTAAGTGTCATTATGTCATTTATGTACGCGCGCGTGCGTGTGTGTTTGTGTGTGTGTGTTTGCTTGGGAGGGGAGTCAGCCTGGAGCAGGCCAGGCTGCAGACTGGGGGCCTTCTGATTCCAGCAGGGATGTGGGCTGGTGGTCCCACTTGGTTCATTTCTGGGTCTTGCTCCTCTGTCCTGGCTCCACAGACTCTTCCAGCTGGAGGTGGAGGCAGATGCCCTGGTGAACTTCCAGCAGTATTCTTCCCAGCTGCTGCCCTTCTATGAGAGCTCCCCACAGGTCCTGCAAACTGAGGTCCTGCAGCACCTGACCGACCTCATCCGCAACCACCCCAGCTGGTCAGTGGCCCACCTGGCCGTGGAGCTCGGGATCCGTGAGTGCTTCCATCACAGCCGCATCATCAGGTGAGCAGGGGAGCGATGCCCTTTGGACAACATGTGTGTACCTGCTTGTGTAGGCAGTGGGGGCCACAGGCCTCAGTTACTCAGGAGGCTGAGGTAGGAGAATCGCTTGAACCCAAGAGGCGGAGGACCTGGGAGGCGGAGGTTGCAGTGAGCCAAGATGGCACCATTGCACTCCAGCCTGGGTAACAAGAGCAAAACTCCATCTCAAAAAAAAAAAAAAAAAAAATTAGCCGTGTGTGATGGCATGTTGTCTGTAGTCCCAGCTACTTGGGTAGCTGAGGCAGGAGGATTGCTTGAGCCCAGGAGTTAGAGGTTACAGTGAGTTATGATTGCACCACCGCATTTCAGCCTGGGCGACAAAATGAGACCTTGTCTCTAGGGGGAAGAAAAAAAAAAAGGTGCTGCCTGGCTACCAGAATAAAATGTAAGAAGGACAATGCAGTGTTTCCGGAGTGCTTGCCAGGTGCCAGGACTGTAGGAGCTGATTTCTGCCCACCATGAAATTGAATTTTCCCACCCCCCACAAGGTATTATCATTTTATTTTATTTTATTTGAGATGGAGTCTCAACTCAGGCTCAACTCAGGCTGGAGTGCAGTGGTGCGATCTCGGTTCACTGTGACCTCTGCCTCCTGGGTTCAAGCAATTCTCCTGTCTCAGCTTCCCAAGTAGCTGGGATTACAGCCATGTGCCACCATGCCCAGCTAATTTTTGTTTAGTACAGATGGGGTTTCACCATGTTGGCCAGGTGGGTGTTGAACTCCTGACATTAGGTAATCTGCCTTCCTCAGCTTCCCAAAGTGCTGGGATTAGAGATGTGAGCCACTGCGTCTGACCCAGGTATTGTCATTTTAGAGAGAGCTAGCAGGATCTGTGCAGGTCACTCAACCAGAGAGGGTGAAAGAGGGGTTTGGATCCTTGGTGTGTGCCTGCAGGCCGCTCTTCTGGAAGCTGAAGGCCTTCTTCCATGCATCCATTCAGCCAGCAGATGGAGCAGCGGCTGCCCCTGGTGAGGGCACTGTCCCCACCCTTACACAGGACACCAGCTGGCCATCTTGTGCAGGGGTAGCCACACCTCCTCTGAGTCTTCCCCAGATGGCTCAGTTAAGTTCCCAGACCCAGAACTCAAAACCTCACTGCTGGCTAGGCATGGTGGCTCACACCTGTAATCCCAGTGCTTTGGGAGGCTGAGGCTGGTGGATCACCTGAGGTCACGAGTTTGAGACCAGCTTGGACAACATGGTGAAGCCTCGTCTCTACTAAAATACTAAAATACAAAAAATTAGCCAGGCCTGGTGGCGCACACCTGTAATCCCAGCTACTCAGTGGGGCTGAGGCAGTAGAATCGCTTGAAACTGGGAGGCAGAGGTTGCAGTGAGCCGAGATTACGTCACTGCATTCCAGCCTGGGCGACAGGAGCAAAACTCCATCTCAAAAAAACAAAACAAGACAAAAAGCCTCACTGCGCTTTAGTTTCCAGGCACGACCTTGGATAGCACAGTGTCTAATCTCGCTACCGCTCCGTCCATTTCCTGGGGCAGGTACAGCAGGTTGTGTAGATATATTGAAGCCTAGGAAGGTTAAGTGAATTGCCCAAGTCTAGTGAGATATCTGCGTTCTGTGTCCCTTTTCTGTGCCACCACCCTGCCCACTTCATGCTGGTGTGGCCCTAGGGCACATGTCTTGTATGAGTGAGCGAACAACGAAAACCTGACGCAGGTCACATCGGAGCCAAGTACGCTCAAATCAGCCCAACTAGCTGAATGGTGGGAATGCTTTTGAGCTGAAATAAACCAGAAAGTTCCAGTGGTGGGAATGCTCTTGAACGGAAATAAACCAGAAAGTCCGAGTTTCCGAGCCCGCTTCCCTGCATGTGCGCCTACCTTCCCCTGCCACTGTATGCCACACCTGCTCACCTCTTCTTACCCCTGCCCTCCCCTGCAGCTGTGCCAATAGCACGGAGAATGAGGAGGGGTGCACTCCCCTGCACCTGGCCTGCCGAAAGGGCAATGAGGAGATCCTGGTGGAGCTGGTGCAGTACTGCCACGCCCAGATGGATGTCACTGACAACAAGGGAGAGACTGCCTTCCATTACGCTGTCCAGGGTGACAATTCCCAGGTGCTGCAGGTGAGCAGGGGGAGGGGCAGGTGATCACCCATTACCTCCCGGTGTCCACAGTTCCCTTTGAGCCCCTGGGCTCAGGTGTCACTCTTGGGCCTCTCACTGTCACACCTTGGTCCTTGAGGTCTGAGCTCCTTCCTGGAGGGTGCAGACCCTTCCCTAGCTCTTCCCTCCCAGTGCTTTTCCAGGAGCCATATCCTCAGCCTCTTTGCTTGATAACCCTGGGGAAGACCTCCAACCCAGCAAAATAAACTCAAGGCCTCGTTCCAATCAGTCAGCTCAGTTCCGCTTTTCCTGAGCACAAACGGAGCCAGATGCCTGCCTGGAGGGGCTTGTGGGCCGGCAGGACCTGAGCTTAACGTTTTGCAAACTTGTCCAACCTGGGGCCCTTCAGGCTGCCTGCAGCCCAGGACTGCTTTGAATGTGGCCCAACACAAATTCATACCCTTTCTTAAAACACCATGAGATTTATGCACTGATTTTTTTTTTAGATCAGCTATCATTCATGGATTTTATGTGTGGCCCAAGACAATTCTTCTTCCAATGTGGCCCAGGGAGGCCAAAATATTGGACACTTCTGTTTTACAGGAATTCAAACGAAGCAAACCGAACTCTCTCCGGTTCCTGTCAGCATTTGTGCCAGAGGCCCTCCTGTTAATGTTTTTGATTACCTGTGGGCAAGCAGATGAGGTATTATTGTTGAGACAGAGTTTCACTCTTGTTGCCCAGACTGGAGTGCAGTGGCACTACCTCGGCTCACTGCAACCTCAGCCTCCCAGGTTCAAGTGATTCCCCTGCCTCGGTCTCCTGAGTAGCTGGGATTACAAGCTCGCGCCACCACACCCGTCTAATTTTTATATTTTTTTAGTAGAGACGGGGTTTCACCTTGTTGTCCAGGCTGGTCTCAAACTCCTGACCTCAGATGATCCACCAGTCTTGGCCTCCCAAAGTGCTGGGATTACAGGCGTGAACCACTGCCTGGTGATATTATTAAAAGCAACTTCATATATTAGATTGAAAAGAAAAGGCAGGATGTTGGGTTATGTTTTATTGTCTAGAACTAGAAAATTCTTCTAAAGATCGTGTTCTCTGTGCCTTGGCATCAGAATGCAACTACATTATTCCAGAAAATGTGGATTTCTATTTTTTTTTTTTTTTTTGAGACAGAGTCTCCCTCTGTTGCCCAGGCTGGAGTGCGTTGGTGCAATCTCAGCTCACTGAAACCTCTGCCTCCTGGGTTCAAGTGGTGCTTGTGCCTCAGCTTCCAGAGTAGCTGGGGTTACAGGCACGTGCCACCATGCCAGGGTAATTTCTATATTTTTAGTAGAGATGGGGTTTTGCCATGTTGCCCAGGATGGTCCCCAACTCCTGGTCTCAAGCAATCCATCCGCTTTGGCCTCCCAAAGTGCCAGGATTACAGGCGTGAGCCATTGTGCCCAACCCAGAAAATGTGGATTCATATCTTATGCTGCGTGCTCTCAGGGAAGGAAATTCTCCACCCACTGTTGAACTCCACTTCCGCTAAGAATCTTCTGTGCACCCAGCATGGTCCCACGAAGACCCTGCCTCCCTTCGAGGGCATTCACACCCACCTCTCATTAGTCATGCAGGAGTGCAGCTGTCCTTTATCAGGTGCTGACTGGTGCCTGACCCTGAACTGAGTGTTGCGTATGTTCTAGTTAAGTCTCAGAATACACTCATGGGGTGAAGATCATTAATCCCCTTTCCAAAGAAACTGAGATTCAGTGTTGTTAGGAGGGGTGCCCAGGGAGGAACACAAAGCTGAGAGGGTGGGGCTTGCCCTTCCATTGGCCTCGATGCCAGCCCCTTGCTCTCCCTGCCATGTCTCTGCCTTGCTTCCAGGCCCAGTGGGACTGTCGCGAGGTGACCCTAGTGTCACAGGGGTACACTGAGGTTGTAATGAACCTCATGGAGGGAGACAGCATTCAGCCAAAAGTGAGACAATAAAACCCTCCTAGCACTCTCTCTCTTTATTTTCTTTTGAGACAGGGTCTGGGTCTGTCACTCAGGCTGGGGTGCAGTGGCGCAATCTCAGCTCACTGTAACCTCAGCCTCCCAGGTTCAAGCGAGTCTCCTGCCTCAGCTCCTGAGCAACTGGGACTACAGGCTTATGCCACCACACTAGCTAACTTTTTAAAATTTTTTGGTAGAGATGGGGTCTCCCTATGTTGTCCAGGCTGGTATCAAACTCCTGGTCTCGAGTGATCCTCCCACTTCCCAACGTGTTGGGATTACAGGCATGAGCCACGGTACCTGGCCTCTAGCTCTCTTCCTAATACTGCTCTTCTTTCATTGAAAACATAGTACCTGTATGTAGAAAAAAAATCAGTCAGGACAGAATGAAAAGCAAGAATCACTCCCACCTGGACCCCCAGTACCCATCCTGAGATACAGCCAGCTTTTAAATTCCTTGCCTTGGAAGGGTTTCACATGAGCCACAGTCATGCCGGGTGGACACCTCCCTCCCGTCCGCACCGGCATTTGGCTTTCCTGTCACTTCTCTTTATGTTCTGGTTTTTTTTTTTTTTTTTTTTTGAGGCAGAGTTTTCGCTCTGTTATCCAGGCTGCCGTGCTATGGTGTGATCGTGTTTCACTGCAACCTCCGCCTCCTGGGTTCGAGCGATTCTCCTGCCTCAGCCTCCCAAGTAGCTGGGATTATAGATGTGTGCCACCACGCCCGGCTAATTTTTGTATTTTTAGTAGAGATGGGGTTTCACCATGTTGACCAGGCTGGTCTTGAACTCCTGACCTCAGGTGATCCACCTGCCTCGGCCTCCCAAAGTGCCAGGATTACAGGGGTGAATCACCACGCCTGGCCTCTTTACGCTCTTACCAGCATCCTCATGGAGTCACACCTTCCTTCCTCTTTCATCAGCTCCTCGGAAAGAACGCAGTGGCTGGCCTGAATCAGGTGAATAACCAAGGGCTGACCCCGCTGCACCTGGCCTGCCAGCTGGGGAAGCAGGAGATGGTCCGCGTGCTGCTGCTGTGCAATGCTCGCTGCAACATCATGGGTCCCAACGGCTACCCCATCCACTCCGCCATGAAGTTCTCTCAGAAGGGGTAAGACCTCCCTCCCCGCCCTACCCGCTGGCCTGCTGGGCTCCAGCTCTCATATCACCTGTCTCATGCCCACGGTGAGCAGTGTCCACGATAGATCTGAGCATCTCCAGCCTCAGAGCAGAGGCCCCAGGTTCACAAGCCTCGTTAGGCCCGGCCTGGCCTGAAGAGGGTGCTCCGTCATTGTATTATGGGTAGGAGTCAGGAATCTCGGTTCACAAGTTCAGCTGTATAAGGAGGAGACTTTAAAATTTTTGTATAATGTACCTTAATCCCTAGCAGTGAATCTCCCTCTACCAAACTGGAAAAAAACAATCTTAGCCCTCTTTGGGGTCCCCTCCAGGTGGTACTCCAGTTCTGGAGTCGGATGCAACCCCGAGGCACACCGGGCTCCTCTAACCCAGCTCAGCCTGCCCTGAACAGCCCCCGATGGCTTCAGTGCTCCTTGGTTTCTTGTGTGCCCAGCTCGAAGTCCAGGAAATGCTTGGCAAGGTGACCAAGGGCCTGTCCACCTAGATGCCACTTTTCCTTTCTGTCAGATGGCACTGCTGGGAGGCAGGTGCAGGCCCGTGTTTGGGGAGCCTGAAAACCCTGGTCTCAGGAAAATTATGTTGAAAGGGGTGGGGGGTGAGATAAAAAGGATAAAAGAGATGGATACCTCAAATCTTAAAGTACGATCTAGGCTGGGTATGGTGGCCACGCTGGGCCTGTGCCGGACACCCCTTGTAACAGAGAAGAGCAGCTGCATGCTAACGCTGTCCCAGCCGCCAGCCGAGCCTTCACGTGGGCTATTTCACCACAGCCCCGAGAACCGATGTATTTTATTCCCCTTTCAAAGACGAGGGCCAAGTGTGGTGGCTCATGCCTCTAATTCCATCTGCACTTTGGGAGGCTGAGGTAGGAAGATTGCTTGAGCCTAGGAGTTCGAGGCTACAGTGAACTATGAACATGCCATTGCCCTCCAGCTTGGGTAACAAAGGAAAATCCTGTCTCAAACAAACAAACAAAAAACAGATGAGGAAACCAAGGCTTAGAGAGATTAAGTAACTTGCCCAAAGTCAGGCAGTCAGTAAGTGCCAGACCTGGGAATTAAACATGTGGGCTCTACTAGTAACTACACTTAAAACAAACAAAAAAAAGCTTTATCGAGATATGGTTCCTATTCCATACAATTCACCTATTGAAAGTATACAATTCAATGGTTCTGACATATTATGTTGATTTTTACAACTGTGGTAAATTATATATAACATAAAATTTGCCATCTTAATCACTTTTAAGTGTACAATTTGGTAGTTTTAATCACATTCACAATGTTGTCCAACCACCACTCCTATTTTTTTTTGAGGTGGAGTCTCGCTCTGTTGCCCAGGCTGGAGTGTAGTGGAGCAATCTCGGCTCACTGCGACCTCTGCCTCCCAGACAATTCCTGCTTCACCTTCCTGAGTAGCTGGGATTACAGGCACATGCCACCATGCCTGGCTAATTTTGGTGTTTTTAGTAGAGATAGGGTTGTTTTTTTTTGAGATAGGGTTTTACCATGTTGGTTATGCTGGTCTCGAACTCCTGACCTAGTCATCTGCCCACCTCCGCCTCCCAAAGTGCTGGGATTACAGGCGTGAGCCAGCGTGCCTGGCCCCATCACCCCTATTTCTAAAACTTTTCTTATCACCTCAAACGGAAACTCTGTAATCATTAACAACTCCCCATTCTCCCCTCCCCACAGCCCCTGATAACCTCTCATATCCTCCCTGTCTCTCAAACTTGCCTGTTCTAGAACCTCATAAGTGAAATCATACAGTATTTGTCCTTTTGTGTCTGGCTTATTTACTTAGTTTGATGTCTTCAAGGTTCATCTGTGCTGTAGCACGTATCAGAATTTCCTTTCTTTTTTTTTTTTTTTTTAGACAGTCTTGTTCTAAAAAAAACAAGGTGCCAGGCTGGAGTGCAGTGGTGCGATCTCAGCCCACTGCAACCTCCGCTCCCAGGTTCAAGCAATGCTCCTGCCTCAGCCTCCCAAGTAGCTGGGACTACAGGTGCATGCCACCACGCCCAGCTAATTTTTGTATTTTTTAGTAGAGATGGGGTTTCACCATGTTGGCCAGGATGGTCTCAGTCTCTTGACCTTGTGATCCACCTGCCTCGGCCTCCCAAAGTGCTGGGATTACAGGCGTGAGCCACCGCACCCAGCCAGAATTTCCTTTTTTATAAAGCCAGAATACTATTTTGCTTCTCCATTCAGTCATTCACTGATACACACCTGGGTTGTTTCCACCTTTTGCTGTTGTGAATAATGCTGCTGTGTACATGGGTCGGGAAATGTCTGTTCAAGTCCCTGCTTTCAGTCCTTTGGTTGTGTACTGAGTAGAAAGCAATTCCTCTCTTACCCACTCTACCATACTGCTTCCGATAGTATGCAGGTCCTGATGCTGTGATAAGGAGATGGAGGGTGGCTGTGTGCTGGCCACAGAATGGGGCTCTGAAATGTGTGGTCTTCCTTGCGCCCCAGCCACTCCTCTCAGCACTCTCTCCATGTTGCTCAGCTTCTGGAGGCCACCAGTGAAGAAGCTGAGGTTTGACTTTGAGCCCATCTGACTCTCAAGCCAGCACCAGGGAGGGTGATCATTGCTGGTGGCAGTCATCAGGAAGGCTTCTTGGAGGAGGGGGTTAGTTGTGCCTCGAGGGGCTCAGTACAGCCTTAATATACCGTGGTGAGCATGCTGGTTGGGTCTGTTGAACTTTGCAGTGATGCTCTCTGTAAGCAGTAGATGAAGCCCTGAGCCCTGGCTTCATCGCACGCCAAGTGGATCCCAGCCTCCGCTCACCAACCTGGGCCCCTTTCTCCCCAGGTGTGCGGAGATGATCATCAGCATGGACAGCAGCCAGATCCACAGCAAAGACCCCCGTTACGGAGCCAGCCCCCTCCACTGGGCTAAGAACGCAGAGGTGAGTGGAGCTTGAGGTGGGGTGAAGCAGGGGGCAGGGGGCAGGGCCCTGCAGGTCCTCAGTGCCTACAGGAAGCAGGTTCCCAGCGGCACTCTGAGGCTAGCACTTAGGGGCTGATCCTGTAGTGGGTCTGCAGGCAGAGAAGCCCATGAAGAGCTGGGATCCTGGCATGGCTTTGCTGCTCTCTGGCTGGGTGGCAGGATCCACCCTGTGCCTCAGTTTCCTCATCCAGGAATTCTGCTTTGGAGAGGTGGTGAAGTCAGCTGGTTAGTGCATGACAAAATTCTGCACAAATTGTAAAGTGCTTCCCGAATAGAAGGTGGCATGATGATGATTGTATTGTTAGTCAGGGTTCTCTAGAGGGACAGAACTCATAGGCTAGATATATATATTAAAGGGGAGTTTATAAAGGAGCATTCACTTACACGATCAGAAGGTCCCACAGTAGTCTGCAGGCTGAGGAGCAAGGAAGCCAGTCCGAGTCCCAAAGCTGAAGAACTTGGAGTCTGATGTTCGAGGCAAGAAGCATCCAGCATGGGAGGAAGATGCAGGCTGGGAGGCTAAGCCAGGCTAGCCTTTTCACGTTCTCCTGCCTGCTTTACATTCTGGCCATGCTGGCAGCTGATTAGCTGGTGCCCACCCAGATCGAGGGTGGGTCTGCCTTTCCTAGTCCACTGACTCCAGTGTGAATCTCCTTTGCAGCACCCTCACAGACACACCCAGGATCAACACTCTGCATCCTTCAATCCAGTCAGGTTGACAGTATTAACCATGACGATGATGATGATGGTGGTGGTGCTGCTGGGTCTAGCTGCACAGACAGGGAACCTGGCTGGGCATCTCCTCTGAGGCCTTCCCCTAAGCTAAGCTCTGTCCTCCTGGGAGGATGGACGCCTCTGGTCTCATCACCAGGAAGCACAGCTCGACAGGACATGGGATGTCCCAGCGATCATGGCCCACTTCTCAACGTGATGGGCCAGGAGGGAGGGCAGTCTCGGAGGTACCTCTGTGTTCCAGGAACTGGTCACCAAGTCAGGCCCTTCGTGTAGGTTTGGTCATTCATTGTCATCACATTGTGTGAGGTGGGGACTTGCACTCCCATTTTTACAGAAGAGAAACCTGAAGTGCACGTGGTTACAGTGACCTGTCCAAGCCCAGGCAGCTGGGATGAGTGGAGCTGGGCTTTGAGCTGATGTCTGTGTGACTCCAAAGCCCAGGCTCCCCTCCCTGGTCCCAAGGCTCTCCAGTGCTGCTGCAGGAACAGGGATGTGTTTTGCTAAAGCCCAGTGAGAGGTGATACCTTTGCAGGTCCCAGGGAGTGGGGCACTTCAGGACAGGGCCCAGAAGAGCCCTTGCAAGGAGAGATGGGTTCTGTTAGCTCTAGGAAAGAACCAGAGCCTCTTAAAACAGTCAGCACACCTTTGGCTTTTTGTCCCTCGTCCTGGGTTGCTGATGGTATGGGAGCCAGTTTAGGTGCCACCAGAACTGGGGCCGCCCCTGGAATCCTGTTGCTAGTGCTTTCCGGCTTCCCAGTGCCTGTAGGCCTCTCAGAGAGGAAGTGGCGGTGCCCAGGTGTCACAAGCCACAGCAGCTCCCCAAGTGCCTGTGCTGACTTGGCCTGACCGTCTCCCGCAGATGGCCCGCATGCTGCTGAAACGGGGCTGTGACGTGAATGGCACCAGCTCTGCAGGGAACACGGCCCTGCACGTGGCAGTGATGCGTAACCGCTTCGACTGTGCCATGGTGCTGCTGACCCACGGGGCCAACGCGGATGCCCGCGGTGAGCACGGCAACACCCCGCTGCACCTGGCCATGTCGGTGAGCCCTGTGGGGCCCCGGTGGGAATGCAGGGGGGCTATCTGGGCTAGAGCACTCCTCCCCACCTTCTCCCTCCCTCCTCCATGGTTCCAAATCATCTTCCCACCCAAAACTCACTTCAGACCCTGCTTCCTCCCTCAGGAAGCCTTCCAACTCCCCTATCAGCCCTAAAAATCATCACCTCCCTGTATGCCTTGGTACCTTTTCCACCTGTCCCCACATTTGATGTTTGCATGGCGTGAGAAGGAAACATGACAGCCCTGGCCACAGACTGGCCCTGGGCAAGCCACATCACCTGTCAGCCTCGATTTCCTCATCCGGATTACAGTGGTGTCCATACCTATCTGGAAAAGTTGTGGAGAGGATTGATTGAACGGTGGACAGTTGGTCATGCTCTGCAGAATGTCTAAATGACACACGCAGTACCTGGCATGAGGGAGCAGCCTGCTTCCCTTCACTGATGCACATTTGCTTTCACCTCCCAGGGAGACTGTCAGATCTTGGCCGGTTGGCCGGGTGTGGTGGCTCATGCCTGTAATCCCAGCACTCTGGGAGGCCAAGGTGGGCAGATCACCTGAGAGTTTGAGACCAGCCTGATAAACATGGAGAAACCCCATCTCTACTAAAAATACAAAATTAGCTGGGCGTGGTGGTGCACGCCTGTAATCCCAGCTACTCGGGAGGCTGAGGCAGGAGAATGGCTTGAACCTGGGAGGCAGAGATCACGGTGAGCTGAGATTGAGCCATTGCACTCTAGCCTGGGCAACAAGAGTGAAACTCCGTCTCAAAACAAAACAAAACAAAACAAAACATCCTGGCAGGAAAAGCCTGAACGTGCAGCCCAGCAGCCCATGGCAGGTGCTGGGCACCTTTGTTGGTTTATTATAGAACACAGTTCCTGCCCTCAAAGGCCTAACAGTCTGGTTCAACAGCTAGAGTCTGAACATGCTAAATCTAGCAGAGGAGGATGTTATTGTGTTACAGACACATGTGTGTTCACATACTCTTTTTTTTTTTTTTTTTTTGAGACGGAGTCTTGCTCTGGGCACCCAGGCTGGAGTGCAATGGTACGATCTTGGTTCACCACAACCTCCGCCTCCTGGATTCAAGTGATTCTCCTGCCTCAGCCTCCCATGTAGCTGAGACTACAGGCGTGTGCCACCATGCCAAGCTAATTTTTGTATTTTTAGTAGAGATGGGGTTTTACTCTGTTGGCCAGGCTGTTCTCAAACTCCTGACCTAGTGATCCACCTGCCTTGGCCTCCCAAAGTGCTGGGATTACAGGTGTGAGCCACCTCGCCCAGCTACATGCCTGTGTTCCATGGCAATACGGTATGTGTATAAGTCAGTTTACTGTCTCAGTGACAGAACATGAGAGACCCCTGGAACTCCAAAAGAAAGTCGATTCAGGACAAATTCAAGAACATCCTGTTTTTCTTTTTTTGAGTCGGAGTTTTGCTCTTGTTGCCCAGGCTGGCGTGCAATGGCATGATCTTAGCTCACCGCAACCTCCGTCTCCGGGGTTCAAGCGATTCTCCTGCCTCAGCCTCCCAAGTAGCTAGGATTACAGGCACATGCCACCACACCTGGCTAATTTTGTATTTTTAGTGTAGACAGGGTTTCTTCATGTTGATCAGCCTGGTCTCAAACTCCTAACCTCAGGTGATCTGCCCACCTCAGCCTCCCAGAGTGCTGGGATTACAGACGGGAGCCACCGCGCCCTGCCAGACATCCTGTTTTATACCAAAGGTCAACACTTAGGAGAGATGTTGTTGCCCAAAAGGCTGAAACTATAAATAGTTTGCTTTTTGAAACTCTGGACATTTTTAGCACTGGGTGGGCCCTTGGAATGATCTAGTTCAGTAGTTCTCAAGTTTTTGGCCTATTTGATCCCTTTATACTCTCACAAATTATTGAGGATCACAAAGATCTTTTAATGGTCTGGATTTTATTTGTCTATAGTCACTCTATTAGAAATTTAAAGTGTGAAAATTTCAAAATATTTATTGCATTTAAAAATAATATCTATACCTACTATGTATGCACAAAAATTAAAATTAAAAATTTTTTTAAAGCTTAAAAAATAACAGGCCAGGCACAGTGGCTCACGCCTATAATCCTAGCACTTTGGAAGACCAAGATGGGTGGATCCCCTGAGGCCAGGAGTTCGAGACCAGCCTGACCAACATGGTGAAACCCCATCTCTACTAAAAATACAAAATTCGTGGGCCATGGTGGCATGCGCCTGTAATCCCAGCTACTCAGGAGGCTGGAGCAGGAGAATCGCTTGAACCAGGAGGCAGAGGTTGCAGTGAGCCCAGACGGTGCTGCTGCACTCCAGCCTGGGCAACAAGAGCAAAACTCCATCTCAAAAAATAGAAAAAGAAAAAGAAACTATTCTTAAGCTCACAGACTCTCTGAAAGGGCCTCATGCATGCACAGGCATCCCCAGGTCTTACTTTGAGAACTGCTGAAGTATTTTGGTGATTTTCATACCATCTTCGCAGTTTTTGGCATGTCCATCAACCACCTTTACAATTCTGTAGTTAATCATCTCTTCAAACTGGCTCACTTTTCAACTGACTTAAATTTCTTTTAAAAGAAACGTTGCTTCACTACCGTAAATGGCCATCCATCCATCCATCCACCCAGTGCCAACCATAAAAGGTAACCACACACACAGAATCACAGTTAGTGATGAAAACACACACATACCTGTACCCATAGAAGTCCTAATAGAACGTGAAGAACTGTTTGGAAAACCCAATTCTAGACGCACCACTTCATACTCTAGCAGGGAAATTAGGTCCCAAGAAGAGGGAGGTGACAAGACCAGAGCCCAGACTTCTAGGTGGCTAGCCGCTTGGTGCGTCCTGTGAAAGCATGCCATGCCCTGTGCCCCTGCCTGGCCTCCAGTTGTTAAAATGCTTGATGCTCCCCTGAAGGCTGATGTCAGGGGCATGTGTGTTCAGTGACCCCTCAGGGATGACACCCTGGACTGGGTGGGTAAGATGGCCTTCCTTGCCCTCACCCACCCTCTCCCTGCTCCTCCCGAAAGCCATCAGCAGCTGACTTACTGTATCCCCGTGGCTCCTGGGTCAGGGTACAGATGCGCTACTTCTTTGGAGGTGGAGCTGGCAGAGCTGGGGCGAGTCACCTCTAGTTTCTGCCTGGGTTCTTTTTTTGAGACGAAGTCTCAGTCTGTTGCCTGGGTGGAGTGCAGTGGTGTGATCTCGGCTCACTGCAACCTCCGCCTCCCGGGTTCAAGCAATTCCCCTGTCTGAGCCTCCCAAGTAGCTGGGACTATAGGTGCCTGCCACCACACCTGGCTAATTTTTTGTATTTTAGTAGAGACAGGGTTTCACCATTTAGTATTTAGTAGAGACAGGGTTGGCCAGGCTGGTCTTGATCTCCTGACCTTGTGATCTACCCACCTTGGCCTCCCAGTATACTGGGAGGGATTATTAAGCCCTCACCTGTAGGTGCTTTTAAGCTTGTTTGTCAGGGCTCCAGCCATCAAATGGCAGATTGACTGGGGTAGGGTCAGGAGGGTTCCAGTGTCTCCCTGTGCTGACGAGAGGCCTGCTGGGTGAGTTGACAGGTTAGGGCAGGCAGCCAGGGGTCCCTTTGCTCTTCAGTTCCCTGAGCAGTTACACATCTTATCCTCTCTCCATCCCTGACAGAAAGACAATGTGGAGATGATCAAGGCCCTCATTGTGTTTGGAGCAGAAGTGGACACCCGGAATGACTTTGGGGAGACTCCTACACTCCTAGCCTCCAAGATCAGCAAACGTATGTGCTCTGCACTCTGGGGCCAGAGTGGGGTGAGGGTGGGATGGGCGCAGGGACTGAGGAGGAGGGAAGTCCCAGCCATCAGGCGCCAGTGTCCTGTGCTGACTTGCCCTGCTCAGAGCTGCCAGGAGTGCCTGGCACTTAGAGAGGGAGCTTCCTTACCCAAGCACAAGGGCCCTGAGCAGTAGATGCAGGCTCACCAAGGAGCTTGCCATACCAACATCCTCTTCCCTGCAGCCCCCGCCCCACCTCAAGGTGCTAAGACTCCCAGCAGGGGTGGGGACAGGAGAGGCAGCAGCAGCCCTCTTCTCCCACTGTGGGGAAATTCACTGATGGGACCACTGGCTAGAATGACCTTAGGGTGCATGCGCTACATTGCACCAGCCCCGAGCATGCCTGTGTGGACGGGAGTGCATGGACCCACGCTGCACGCTCGCCCAATGAGCCTTAGCTTCAGATCTGGACAGAGCAGATCCCCCTCACCAGAGGCCTGGAGCCCACTCTGGAAGGTTTCAGGGAGCCGTGGGGGTCACTGTGGGCAGGTACCTGATGGCACCAGTGTATGCGTGCCAGGGCACATGCAGGTGTCTGCATACACCGAAGCTGTGGCCTCCTTTTCAATGATCCCATCCATCAGATGGAATAGGTGCCCACGGGCTGGCTCACTAGTCCCTTTGGAACCCTCAACTGTCCACTTAGCATTTTTGAGACTCACTGAACGTGGACGCAGGAATCCTGCTGTCTTGGCTGGAGTAGAAGGCCAGAAGGGGTTCCCAGAGTCATCAGGCAGAGTGAACACCGACCTCCTCCTCCCATATCCCATGGTCAGTCTCCAGCCCCTTCTCTGGCCTTAAGAAGCTGCTTGGGATGTACCAGCCTGGGGGCAGCACCCCCTGTCAGGGGGTGCCCAGGGCCTGGTTAACTGGGACAAGGGACAGAGTGTGGAAAGGAGGGGCCTCTCCTTTGCATGTGGCACCATTTATGATCCTGTGTGATCTCCCCTTCCCCAAACCATGACAAGTTGTCACCAGGAAGGCGATCTTGACTCTGCTGAGAACTGTGGGGGCCGAATACTGCTTCCCACACATCCACGGGGTCCCCACGGAGCAGGGCTCTGCAGCACCACGTCACCCCTTCTCCCTGGAAAGAGCTCAGCCCCCACCGATCAGCCTAAACAACCTAGGTAGGCCTCGCCCCGCGACTCCCTCTTCTCCAGCTGGTTCCCAGGCCTCACCAAAGCAACAGGATCCCCAGGACGGAAGGCACTGAAGGAAGCAGGGGAGGGTGGAGCTGGAGTTGTCAGCCTCCAGGCAGCCAGCAACCCACAGATCCCAGGGGCCTAGGGCGTCCCTGGCTGACGTCTCCCGGTCCGTTGCCCCTGAGAGGATGTGCCCTGCACACAGTCTCAGGCCTGGGCATTTCCAGTGGCACCCACAGGGTGGCTACACTCGTTGCCCTCCTGTCCCTAGGGAGCTCAGGGTGGACAGTGAGGAGTGCTGTCAGGGGTCTGGGGACCCAGGCCCTCCGGCTTCTCCTCTGTCCCTCTGGCTTCTCCTCTGTCACTCTGGCTTCACCTCTATCACACTATTTGAATCTCGGTTGAACCTGAGACCTGTGTGCCCCCTTCCTGGCCCCGTGGTGACTTTCAGGCATTGAATGTGGCCACACAGCCAGCATCTGCCCCGGTACCTCCTTGGTACCCAGGGAGACACCCCCAGGCTAGACGGGGCCCTTTTCTAGGCTTTCTGTCAGCTGGCCCACCCAGGGACCTCTATTGTTTGGGAGTGGCATCCCCTGAACAGAGGGCAGCCGAGAGCCAGTCCCTGGCGAGCCATACTTTTGACTGTGGTGGTGGCAGCACCTCCAGCCAGGGTAGCCCGACCAAGCCTGGAGCTCTGGAGAGGCACCATGACCGCCGCCCTTAGTCCTTCTGGCTCTACCTCTGTCTCCCCTCCCGGGAACTGCTCCCTCCACCTCCCGTCTTTATCTCTCAATTTTGCAGGCAGTCACCCAAGCCAGGCCGGATGGTGGGCCTGGGGTGCGGCGTCAGATGGGTAATGCCCTGGGCCTGGAGAGGCCGCTGAGCCTAGCCATGCGACATTAGCGCTAGCTCTCGTTCCCAACTCGTCCTTCTCAGCTGCATACACGTGACATGCCCCTCCCCTGCGCTGTGTCCCCTGAGCTCTGTCCTTGGCCTCTCGGCCACTTTCCTGCTTCTTTTGTCCACCGCACAGCCATGTGCTCTGGGGAGGAGGAGACACCGCTTCACAGCCCGCGGTTCTGCTTTGCTGCTTCTAGACCCTGCACAGTGGTGGGGGGCTGTCAGAGTTGGGGCCACGCAGGCTGCTATGCCAGGCACCTGGGGGCTGGGCTGCTTGCAGGAGGGGCAGCTAGTCAATTGGGTGGGCATGGGGCAGGCCCCAGACGCAAAAGAACATGTGGGCAGAGTGGCTGGTGGGCCTGATTCTGGAGGCCACTGGAATTTCCAGACCTGGGATCAGGACAAGGGGTGTCTCCCTTCCTCCATGGACTTAAACTCTGAGGAGCATCGTTTTGACTAAATGATGTTGGCGAATCGTGAATCCCCTTTGAGCCTCACTTGTCAACATGGAATACGAATTCTTAGCCCCTGTGGTTATCAGCAGCATCGCTCCGATGCAAGAAGCACTTGTCTGAGGAGGACACTCAAGGGTGTTCATGCCTCGGGGTTTCAAGAGGAAGACATTGAGGGGAGTTGGGAGCTGGCTAGGCAGGGTGGGGAGCCCTTCCCCTTTCCACTCCAGCCGTTTCTCTCCTGTGTCCTCTGGCTCAGCTTTCTCCTGGGACAAAGAGTCCTTCCTGGGGGCAAGGGACAGATGACGGGGGAGTGGGGTGAAGGTGTGGCTGTGGGCAAGGCACAGCCCAGGTTTGATCTAGGGAGCCCTGGGGTGGCAGGGCTTGGGGACCTGCCTGGCCACAGCACGCCCTGCCCTGTGCCTCACAGAACTGCAGGATCTCATGCACATCTCTCGGGCCCGGAAGCCAGCCTTCATCCTGGGCTCCATGAGGGACGAGAAGCGTAGGTAAGTGGATCGAGAGCGGGGACAGAGGGGGGAACGTGTGCACTTCCTGCCCTTCACCCCCGACTGTTGCAGGCTCGGGGCTTTTCTCTCTGCACCCCCACAGCCTGCAAGGTGGCTCTGCTCCTAGTCATATAGTCCTCAGCAGAGACAGAGCGTGGAGAGTCTGTGTCACTCGTTCATGAATTCCTGGCGGTGCAGGCTCTGGGGGACTAGCCCAGAGTGTCAGACTTCTTGGACTTGAGGGGCTGGCACAGTGCTCTGGCCTCCCTCTCTGACCCTCCTCATGGCTGGAGGAGAGGGAGATGCCCGAGTACCCCCGGGGAGATCTCAGCGGCTGCTTCCCACTGCTCCTACCAGCTTTCTTAATCGTCTCCCTCTGCAGAATAGTGGCATGGGCTGCCTTCCCCAGCACCTGCTGTATACCGAGGTCCATTCTAAAAGGGAGGCCTGGGTGACAGGACACGGAGAAGAAGCCCAGGCCTTACCCTTCAGGCATAATCCTGGGTGCCTGGAAATCAGTGCCAGCTGGCACGGCATGGTACCAAGACAGATGTCTTTCCAGCCATGGTGCTGGCTCCACCTCCCTTTATTGCTGCAGTTGATTAATTTATTCTTTATTAGCCTCTCATGCTCCAAACAGCCTTCTCAGGGAGGAATTAGTAACCTCGTTTTGCAAATGCAGAACCTGAGCCCCTGAGAGGTTAAGTGACTTGCTCAAGGTCACACAGAGTGAGTGTCAGGGTGGCGACTCACACCCGGGTCTTCCGAACGCACGTCCTTCCTGCTACCCCAGGCTCTCTCTGGGTTTTCTGGTGCCAGCCCCCTTCGGGGAAAGCTCTTCTCAGAACCAGAGGCAGCTCCACTCCCAGGGCCAGGCTGTGATCGTGCAGCTCTGTGGGTCCCCACACATCCAACTCACTTCCGTGCCACCCCGTTGTGTGCCCTGGAGGTGCCCCTGCCCCAGAAGCATTCCCTCCCCTGTGCCCCCTGCATGCCTGCGTGCACACACACATGCATACACACATACATGCACACGTGTGTACACACAAAAACACGAACACATAGATACACATGCAATCCACACCCACACGCACACACACACACAAGCACATGCACTCACACACATCTGTGTACACTTGCAAACATGGACACGTGCACAGATGCACATAAAACAAACATGCACACATGTGCACACATACAGACACGAACACATGCACACATGCACATCCATACACGCATGCACACATGCACGCACATGCACTCGTGTGCACACATGCAAACATGGACACATGCGCACACACATGGACACACACATGCAAACACATACGCACACACCCCGCCGTGCAGGGACTGAGGCAAGGCAGCTGCATCTGAGGGAGGGCTGACATTTCTCAGAGGAGGAGAAACAGATTCCCCAGATTCTGGAGCCTCAGCGCCCTCCCTGGAGCAGGGCTGAGGGGAGAGTCAGGAGACACCTCGGTGCCTCCCCACTTGGACCTTCCAGGCTAAAGAGCCCTGCACCCTCTGGGTTGATCTCTTGTCACCAGCCCCGCACCTTCAGGAGTCTTGCTTCTTTGCTTTGGGCCCCAGCAGCAGCGTAGCCTCCCCTGCTACCTGTAGGCTTGCTGAGGGGTTGGGCACCTGGTCCAGGAAAAGACCCCTAGAGGTGGGATCCAGGCCTCCTCCATTTATCAGCCTTCTCGGGCACCTCCTGCATCCCCTTGATACGCAGCACTGCCCAGAGCAGAGGTGCTCGGCCTCTGCCCTCATCGAGCCTCCCAGTCAGTGCAGGAGGAAGAAAGTGAAAGATGGTGAATGGAGTAGAAGCATCCTCCGTCAGGAAGTGGGTGGAGCAGGGTGCTGGTGGCGTCAGGGCAGGCTTCTCTCAAGCAGTGGCATTCAAGCTGAATTGGGATGACGAGAAGATCAGAGGAAGGTTCCAGGCTGAGCAGACCACGAAGGCGTTCCCCCAGGGCATGGCCAAGTGAGGACAGGCAGGAAGTGGGGAGACAGCGTCAGGGCACGCTGGAGAGCATGTGACTCAGGAGTGGCAGACGCGGGTTCCGGTCCAGATCCCATCCATGGGACTTTGTTCGCGTCTGGGAACAAAGTCTGAGCTGCACTCCCTCCTTCACTCAAAAATACGCACAGAGAGCAGGTGCAGTGGCTCCTGCCTGTATTCGCAGCTACTTGGAGGCTGAGGTGGGAGGATCACTTGAGCCCAGAGGTTGAGGCTGCAGTCAACTGTGATTGCATTACTGCACACCAGCCCAGGCGACAAAGTGAGACTGTCTCTGTAAAGAAGCACGGCGATGTCAGGAGGATCTGCCTCAGGCGTTTGGGAAAATGACACGAGCTAATGCTGGTGGCACCCTTGCGCAGCCCCTGGCACGAACCTCTTCCTTCCACCACCCCTCCTCCCCTGCTTCTCCTACCTTGCGTGGAGGGCCCTGATGCCCCCTGACTGCCCATTCCAGGTCTGGCTGTAGGGTCCCGGCCCCTCCTCCCCCAGCCTTGTTTATCAGGCACCTGCTTTGGGTCAAGACTGATACCAAAATCAGGTGTCTCAAGTTGGGGAGACTGGCCTGGAGCCTGCTGGGATGGCGTCTGGTCAGTGAGGCCATCCCCCAACCTTCCTTTGCCTTTCTCTGTTGTACTCTCCACCCACTGAAAATATTAGACATTTGTTCCTTTACGGCCCTTCCCCCAACCCCTCCGCAGGGTGAGGTTCCTCAGGTCTGTCTGGGTCCATCTGCCAGGCCACAGCTGCAGGGGACAAGGGCTATGAGGGCGGATGTAAAGTGCTGGGCTGTGGTGGGACCCTCCTCTCTGCCACCGCTGTTCCCACTGCAGCCATGACCACCTGCTGTGCCTGGATGGAGGAGGAGTGAAAGGGCTGGTCATCATCCAGCTCCTCATCGCCATCGAGAAGGCCTCGGGTGTGGCCACCAAGGACCTGTTTGACTGGGTGGCGGGCACCAGCACTGGGGGCATCCTGGCCCTGGCCATTCTGCACAGTGAGAGCTGACACTGGGGACAGGGCCGGGGGTGGGGGGTGCTGGGCTGAGACCTGCCCTCAAGGGGGCTGAATTTGTTTTCAGAGTTTTGCAGAAAGAGGATGGAGGGGGAGGGGAGGGCTGTAAGCCCTTTGTGGAGGCTAGGGGTGGGCTGCAGGTGCTGGGGTCCCAGACTGGAAGGAGAAGAGCTGGGCACACGGGCTTGGGGCTCCCCTACCCTCTGGCCACAGAGGGTAGAGCTGACTGTGTGAACTTAATGGGGTAGAAAATATTTAATAAAAAACATAGCAAGCATTTTTTTTTTTTTTTTTGAGACGGAGTCTGTATCTGTTGCCCAGGCTGGAGTGTAGTGGTGTGATCTCAGCTCGCTGCAACCTCCGCCTCCTGGTTCAAGTGATCCTCCTGCCTCAGCCTCCCAGGTACCTGGGACTACAGGCACCTGCCACCACACCTGGCTAATTTTCGTATTTTTAGTAGAGACGGGGCTTTAGCATGTTGGCCAGGCTGGTCTTGATCTCCTGACCTCATTATCTACCCTCATCTGCCTCCCAAAGTGCTGGAATGACAGGCATGAGCCACTGTGCCCGGCCAAAAAGGGGGCTTTTCTCTCCCTGTCCGGGAAGTTGCAAAGGAAGGGCCCAGAATGTGGGTTTGCTTAGGCCTCGGTAAATGCACCTCCTCCAGCCACCTCCTGTGCTCAGACTCTCTGCAAGCTGTTCTCCTGGGGGAGCCCAGCGTGTGGCCGTCCTGTCTCCCCACCTCCCATCCCCTTGTTCCTAGGTAAGTCCATGGCCTACATGCGCGGTGTGTACTTTCGCATGAAAGATGAGGTGTTCCGGGGCTCGAGACCCTACGAGTCAGGGCCTCTGGAAGAATTCCTGAAGCGGGAGTTTGGGGAGCACACCAAGATGACAGACGTCAAGAAACCTAAGTAAGCCTTGGCGCACTGCAGCTGTTCCCTGGGGACAGAGGGCTCCCCGTCCTGCCTGGGGTGGGGAGCAGCTCCTGGAGAAGAGGTGAAGAGCACCCCACCCTTGAGGGCAGCAGAGGGAACCCCCCTCCCAGGGAGGCAGAGGGCTGGGGTGTGGCTCTCGTTTGGGCATCCATACACCCGCTGAGCCTGGCTCTGCCCTGCCTGGCCAGGGCTCTGGGACTTCCCTGGAGAGAGCCTGGCCACCCTTCTCCGAGACCACCTGGGCAGAGCCTGGCTTTTCTCTGCCCAGGCAAAAGGAACCCACTGACCTTTCAAATGACATGGCTGAACAGTTTCTCACAGTTGAGACAGCACTTGCTCGCATGATCGGACTCCTAGGTTATAATCATAGGGCTTCAGTCCTGCCTTTAATTTAAGGCCTGCAAGACTTGAACTAATTTAAGTCAGACTAAAGGAGAAAGTCGTGTCTCCAGGAGACATTTGTTTGGGAGGCTCAAATCCTGGGACTAAGCAACGCATCCCATTTGGGGCTGGATGAAAGGTGTGTTCCATGCAGAGTATTTTGAGCATTTCTTAGTGATTTTTTTGTATTTTGAAAGTGAGTCTCCCCCGGCTTCAGGAGCCTGGCATCCCCTCTGTGGTCTTCCCTAGGGTCCAAGGCTGGGGACTTTAAATCTCTTCTCCCACTCTGGGGCTTGTCTTTGCTTTGAGGTGTCTCCAGGTTGGTTTGTTTGTTTTTGGTGGGCCCATGTTCTTAATGGGTAGAAAATATTTATAAATATTTTTCTTCTAGTGGTCCCTTCTCCCTCCCTCCCTCCCCCCTCCCTCCCTCCTCCCTGCCTCCCTCCTCCCTGCCTCCCTCCCCCCTCCCACCCTCCTCCCTACCTCTCTCCTCCCTCCCTCCCTGCCTCCCTCCTCCCTCCCTCCCTCCTCCCTCCCTCCTCCCTGCCTCCCTCCTCCCTGGCGCCCTCCCCCCTCCCTCCCTCCTCCCTGCCTCCCTCCCCCCTCCCTCCTTCCTCCCTGCCTCCCTCCCCCCTCCCTCCCTCCTCCCTGCCTCTCTCCTCCCTCCCTCCCTCCTCCCTGCCTCACTCCCCCCTCCCTCCTTCCTCCCTCCCTCCCTCCTCCCTCCCTCCCTCCTCCCTGCCTCCCTCCCCCCTGCCTCTCTCCTCCCTCCCTCCCTCCTCCCTCCCTCCCTCTTCCCTCCTTCCCTCCTCCCTCCCTCCCTCCTCCCTCCCTCCTCCCTGCCTCCCTCCTCCCTGCCTCCCTCCTCCCTCCCTCCCTCCTCCCTGCCTCACTCCCCCCTCCCTCCCTCCTCCCTGCCTCCCTCCTCCCTCCCTCCCTCCTCCCTGCCTCCCTCCCCCCTCCCTCCCTCCTCCCTGCCTCCCTCCTCCCTGCCTCCCTCCCCCCTCCTTCCTCCCTGCCTCCCTCCCCCCCTCCCTCCCTCCTCCCTGCCTCCCTCCCCCCTCCCTCCTTCCTCCCTGCCTCCCTCCTCCTTCCCTCCCTCCTCCCTGCCTCCCTCCCCCCTCCTTCCTCCCTGCCTCCCTCCCCCCCTCCCTCCCTCCTCCCTGCCTCCCTCCCCCCTCCCTCCTTCCTCCCTGCCTCCCTCCTCCTTCCCTTCCCCCTCCCTCCCTCCTCCCTGCCTCCCTCCCCCCTCCCTCCTTCCTCCCTCCCTCCCCCCTCCCTCCCTCCCTCCTCCCTGCCTCCCTCCCCCCTCCCTCCTCCCTGCCTCCCTCCCCCCTCCCTCCCTCCTCCCTGCCTCCCTCCTCCCTCCCGCCCTCCTCCCTGCCTCCCTCCTCCCTGCCTCCCTCCCCCCTCCCTCCCTCCTCCCTGCCTCCCTCCTCCCTCCCTCCCTCCTCCTTGCCTCCCTCCCCCCTCCCTCCTTCCTCCCTGCCTCCCTCCTCCTTCCCTCCCTCCTCCCTGCCTCCCTCCTCCCTGCCTCCCTCCCCCCTCCCTCCCTCCTCCCTGCCTCCCTCCCCCCTCCCTCCCTCCTCCCTGCCTCTCTCCCCCCTCCCTCCTTCCTCCCTGCCTCCCTCCCCCCTCCCTCCTTCCTCCCTGCCTCCCTCCTCCCTCCCTCCCTCCTCCCTCCCTCCCTCCTCCCTGCCTCCCTCCTCCCTGCCTCCCTCCCCCCTGCCTCCCTCCTCCCTGCCTCCCTCCTCCCTCCCTCCCTCCTCCCTGCCTCCCTCCTCCCTCCCTCCCTCCTCCCTGCCTCCCTCCTCCCTGCCTCCCGCCCCCCTCCCTCCCTCCTCCCTGCCTCCCTCCTCCCTGCCTCCCTCCCCCCTCCCTCCTTCCTCCCTGCCTCCCTCCTCCCTCCCTCCCTCCTCCCTGCCTCCCTCCTCCCTCCCTCCTTCCTCCCTGCCTCCCTCCTCCCTCCCTCCCTCCTCCCTGCCTCCCTCCCCCCTCCCTCCTTCCTCCCTGCCTCCCTCCCCCCTCCCTTCCTCCTTCCCTCTTTCTTTCCGTCTTCTCTTCCCACCTCCCTCCTCCCTTCGCTTACCCTCCCTCCCCTCCCGCTTTCCTTTTCCTTTTTTTTTTTCCTTTTTGAAACAGGGTCTTGCTCTGGGGCCTGGGCTGGAGTATATTGCCATGAACACAGCTCACTGCAGCCTTGATCTCCTGGGCTCAAGCAGCCCTTCCACCTCAGCCTCCGAGTAGCTGGGACTGCAGGCATGTGCCACCACACCCGGCTAAATCATGTTTTTTTGTAGAGATGAAGTTTCGCCATAGTGCCCAGGCTAGTCTCCAACTCCTGAGCTCAGGTGATCCTCCTGCTTCTGCGCCCCATTCCAGGCGTCAGCCACCGTGCCCAGCCTAGTCTGTGCTTTTGATGTCTCATTCACGAACTGCTTTGCTCATCCCCAGGCAGCACACAGTTCTCCTGTGTCAAGTTGGAAAGCTCTCTAGATCTGCCTTTTACATTTAGGTCTTCTATCAGCCTGGAATGGATTTTCGCATGAGGGTGAAGTCCGAGATCTTCACTGGCCGAGAATGGCCGAGACCGGCCAATGTTTCCCACATGACTGGCCGATTTCCCAGCTCCATCTGTGAAGTCTGCCTTTCCCTCCGCATCCATGGGGCTTGCTTCCTCAGCATTGGGTCAAGCGTCCCTCTGCGCTTAGATCGGCTCCAGGCTGTGGTTTGTTCCACTGGTTGGAAAGCTGTCCCTGTGGCCGGCCACAGAGCCTACATGATTGCAGCTGTGTGATGAGTCCTGGTGTCTCTGGGCAGCAGATCCTCCACCGTGGCCTTCTTCAAGAATATCAGGGCTATTCTTGGAGGCAGTAGTGAGAAGAAGTGGTTACAAGCATGGGCCCCGAAGTTTCCTCTTTTCAAAAATAGGAATATGCCAGACATGGTGGCTCAAGCCTGTAATCCCAGCTCTTTGGGAGGCTGAGGTGCAAGGATCACTTGAGGCCGGGAGTTCAAGACCAGCCTAGACAACATAGTGAGACCCACATCTCTATAAAAAAAATTTAAACTAACAATTAGCTGGGCATGGTGGCACATGGCTGTAGTCCCAGCTTCTTGAGGCTGAGATGGGAGGATCGCATGAGCCCTGGAGGCTGAGGCTGCAGTGAGCTGTGATCACGTCACTGCACTCCAGCCTGGACAATAGAGTGAGACCCTGTCTTGAAAACAAAACACACAAACTATAAAAAGAGAAATATTTATAAATTCTACTCCATTAAGAACATGGGTACCCCCCAATAAATAAATAGAAATAAACAAAAACACCATAAAGGGAGTGAAAGTACAAACCACAGAGTGGGAGAAAAGATTTCAAAGCCATACATCCATCAAAGGACTCACTTTCAGCATGTGAAAAGATCGTTCAGAAGTGCTCAAATAGTAACCACCATTTCACTTTCTTTTCCTGTGAGTTTGAGTATTCTGGGTACGTCTAAGTAAAATTTGTAGGCGGTAATTGATTTGGACCAGGATTCTGTAAGAGGCCCAACAGACCAAACCAATACAGAGTCACTCATGCTAAGTGAACCTGGTTAGCTTCTTCGTATACCCATGTAACAATAGCTGAGCTCTGGTTAGCTACAGCAGCCATCTTTCGTCGGCTGCAGGTGGGCAACTGATTCAAACAAGGCAAACCAGTTCAGCTCCACACCTCACTTTGGTTTTCAGTCCGTCAACACTGCCTGACTACATTGCAGGCTGGAGTTCTTTGAACGTAAGCTGGTTCTGTGGACTGCCTGGCTCTCATTTCACCAATGAAAGCCAACTGATATCTTTAAATTAGTTGCAATTTTATCTTTGACATTACCTCATGTAAGTGGAATCATAACAGGGTTTGTCTTTTTGTGACTGGCTTATTTCACTTGGCATTCATGTTGTAGCATGTGTCAGAATTCTGTTCCTGGGTTCAAGCAATTCTCCTGCCTCCACCTCTCAAGTAGCTGGGATTACAGGCATGCACTGCCTCACCCGGCTGATTTATTTTTTTGTTTTTGTTTTTGTTTTTTAGTAGAGACAGGGTTTCTCCATGTTGGTCAAGCTGGTCTCGAACTCCTGACCTCCGGTGATCCACCAACCTCAGCCTCCCAAAGTGCTGGGATTACAGACATGAGCCACTGCACCCAGAATTTCCTTCTTTTTAAGGCTGAGTAACATTCCATTGTCTGTACCCACCACGTTTTGCTTCTGCATTCATCCAGATGGATATTTTGGTTGCCTCCTTTTGGCTATTATAAATAACACTGCTGTGAACATAGGGTGTGCAAATACTGGTTTGAGGCCTACTCTGTATTACTTCTAGAGAGAATTCTGATGGGTTCAGTTCGCTAATGTTTTGTTTAAGATTTTTGTGTGGCCAGGTTTGGTGACTCACGCCTGTAATCTCAGCACTTTGGGAGGCCAAGGCGGGCATATTGCCCGAGTTCAGGAGTTTGAAACCAGCCTAGGCAACATGGTGAAACCCCGTCTCTATTAAAAAATAAAAAATAAAAATAGCCATGTGTGGGTGGTGGTGCCTATAGTCCCAGCTACTCAGGAGGCTGAGGCAGGAGAATTGCTTGAACCTGGGAGGTAGAGGTTGCAGTGAGCCGAGATCACGACACTGCCCTCCAGTCTGGGGAACAGAGTAAGATTCTGTCTCAAAAAGAAAAAGAAAAAAATTTTGTGTCCATGCTCATGCTCGTGGGTGAGCTTTACCCATTTTTTCCTATTTTGGGTTTTGAGGGAATATTTCCTCTTTGTATTTTTTTCTGAAAGAGTTAGTGTAATAGTGACTTTATTTTGAACTTACGGTAGCCTTTGACAGTCAATTCTTCGAGGCCTGGAGTTTGCTTGGTGGGAAGATTTTTGATGATGGAATTAATTTCGTTAGTGGTTGTAAGACTGCTCAGGGTTTCTAAATACCTTTTTGAGTTAGTTTTGGTTAAGTGAGGTTTTTCTAGGAATGTGTCCCTTTCATCTCAATCTTTAAGCTTACTGACATAGAGTCACTCAAAATACTCTCTTTTTTCTAATGCCTGCAGCATCAGTTGTGAGGGCCCCCTTTTCTTTTCTGATTCTGATAACAGATAACAGACACCTTTTATCAGTCTTGCCACAGGCTTTTCCATTGGATTAGCCTTTCTTTCTTTTTTTCCTTTTTCTTTTTTTTGAGACAGAGTTTCACTCTTGTTGCCCAGGCTGGAGTGCAATGGCACAATCTTGGCTCACCGCAACCTCTGCCTCCCGGGTTCAAGAGATTCTCCTGCCTCAGCCTCCCGAGTAGCTGAGATTACAGTCATGTTCCACCATGCCCAACTAATTTTGTATTTGTAGTAGAGATGGGGTTTCTCCATGTTGGTCAGGCTGGTCCCAAACTCCTGACCTCAGGTGATCTGCCCGCCTCAGCCTCCCAAAGTGCTGGGATTATAGGCATGAGCCACCGCACCCAGCTGGATTGGCCTTTCAAAAAAACCAGCTTTTACTGAATTGCCCTCCCAAGGTTGGACCAATCTGACACTCCCCCAGCACTGCTGGAGAGAGCCTGTTTTCGGGGGCTGGTCAGGGGAGAAGCCCACCATCCTGAACAGAGGTTGGAGCTGGCACTCTGCTACCCAAGGCCTGGGCTGAGAATGTCGGGGAAGGGGAAAGGTGGGTGGACGGGTGGCTCTGTGGTCCTCCCACCTCATTTCTCCCCAGGGTGATGCTGACAGGGACACTGTCTGACCGGCAGCCAGCTGAACTCCACCTCTTCCGGAACTATGATGCTCCAGAAACTGTCCGGGAGCCTCGTTTCAACCAGAACGTTAACCTCAGGCCTCCAACTCAGCCCTCAGGTTCAAACCGTGTTTGATGCATCCATGGGGAGCGACTAGCCTGAGAGGCTGTGGGGTGCCGGGTGGGGGTCCTGCCCTTGCCACTGACCCACCTACTGTGCTGGTCTTTATTGGCTGAGGACAGGGATTGCGAGGGCTGGTGGGGGGGGGAGCTGTCAGGTCCCCATCAGGTTAGAAAAGTCCCTGGCAAGTCCTTAGCTGGACCTGCCTTCCACCAGGATGAATTGGCCAGACAGTGTGGCCTGGTGGGTCCGCACCTTGAGATCTGAGTGCATGGGTTTTATACCAGTCCCTTATGCCCCTGGGATGCCCTCCCTTCCTGCCCCCAGACCAACTGGTGTGGCGGGCAGCCCGAAGCAGTGGGGCAGCCCCCACTTACTTCCGACCCAATGGACGCTTCCTGGATGGCGGGCTGCTGGCCAACAACCCCACGCTGGACGCCATGACCGAGATCCATGAGTATAATCAGGACCTGATCCGCAAGGTGAGTGCCTCAGGCCAGAGGGCCTGGACCAGCTGCTCCCAAGAGCCAACCCTGTTCCAGCAAACCATGCTAGGGACTGACCCCCAGGACGGCAGGTGGTTTTTACAAACACGCACTCATTCATATGTGCATGCAGGGCAACTTGATGTCACTGGAACCTGTGCTGTGGGTGGGGTCTGCCTGGAGCACTGTGCTAAGACAGGGTCTGAGGCCCACTGTGTTCTAAGGGTGCGTGAGTGGGGAGGGCGGCACGCATACCACGAATGGGCCACTCTGGTCAGCCTGGGGATAGGACACCTGCTTGCCCTTGAGCTCACCTCTGTGAAGAGACAGTCCAACAGGAGCATGCGCCCCCACGGGTTGCCAGTGCTGTGGTGGAGGACTGTGATGCCTCTGCTGAAAGATCCGGGGGCTCAGAAAGGGCTCCATGGAACAGAGGACCCATCATGAGGACTCTGGGGACAGGGCAGTGCAGAATCAGTGATCTGGAGGAAGAGCAGCCGCCCTTCCCCTGCGGAGGTACAGCTGAAAGCAGTGAGGGAGCAAGCTCGGTGGCTGAGCTCCAGCCCTGGAGCCAGAGCGCCTCGGAGGGGGGTTCCCGGTTCTGCCCATGCTTCACTGCAGCTACTGAATGGGGCCATCATGGTGCCTCCCTGAGGAGGCTGGGAGGCCTTGGCATGCTGTTGTCTGTGAAATGGTCACAGCAGTGCCTGGACCTTGAGCTCCATCCTTGCAGAGGCTCTGGATGGACAGGGAGGGGAGCGCCCTCTAGGGGCCAGATCAGGCAGGGCAGGCTTCCTGCAGGTGGCAGACTGTCAGACACCAGCCAGTCTAACTCTCCTATTGCATGCGGATGGGGAGCCTAGAGCCAGAGTGGGAGGCATCACTCAAGATCATCCAGCAAATTGGCTGCAGAGCTTGTTCTGAAACAAGAGAGGCAGCACCCAGGGCCCGGGTTCAAGCCTTAGCCCCTACTTCCCTACCCTGGGCAGCTGCTTCTGGGCCTGAGCTTCGCTGAGAGTCCTCATTTGCGAACTGGGTGATCAGTGCCCGCTCCACAGACTGACAGGAGATTAAATTCAGTCACGATGCAAACACCTGGCAAATCACAGGCACCAAGGAACACTCTGCCTTTCCTCCCTTAGCCTCGACTTGACTTGGGCTAGCATCAGATGGGGTGGGCGGGATCCTTTTCGCAGCTGGTGTATGTGTGGTCCTGCTGCTACACAGGTGCTGTCCCGAGCAGATGGCACGTGCCGCCTGCACCAGCCCTTCTGGGGGGGCCTGCAAGGGGCTGGTTGGAAATCATGCCGTGTATGCTCTTGCCACCAGAGGCCTTTTGCCCTGTCCTCATGTGCCCCAGAGCCCAGCCTTGGGCCTCCCCTTGATGCTCCCCTGCGTGTCCCCTGCCTGTGGAAGATCCCCTCTGACTGCCCCTGTCCTGTCCCCAACAGGGTCAGGCCAAGAAGGTGAAGAAACTCTCCGTTGTTGTCTCCCTGGGGACAGGGAGGTCCCCACAGGTGCCTGTGACCTGTGTGGATGTCTTCCGTCCCAGCAACCCCTGGGAACTGGCCAAGACTGTTTTTGGGGCCAAGGAACTGGGCAAGATGGTGGTGGACTGTGTGAGTGTGGGCCCTTCCCCCAGGCCACTTCCTTCAGGGTCTGCAGCCGAGGTTGATGGCTTCCCCCTCGTCCTGTGGGGCCTTTGGTGTCAGGGGAGACAATAGGGCTTTAGCCAGCTGGAGAGAGTCCCCAGTTCAGAGTCTCAGTGCGAGGCAGGGCCCCTCAAAGACCACCAGCAGGGGTGTTTTCAAACACTTTGTAGCTGTGGATGCCTTTCTGCAAACAGCACTGTGGAGAAGCCCAGAGTGGACAAAAGCTCCAGAGTGGGCCCGCCCAGGTGGCCTGCCCCTAAAATCCCAGCAGTTTGGGAGGCTGTGGTGGGCAGATCACTTGAGCCCAGGAGTTCGAGACCAGCCTGAGCAATATAGTGAGACTTGGTCTCCACAAAAAAATTAAAACTTAGCCGGGCATGGTGGTGTGTGCCTGTGGTCGCAGCTACTCAGGAGGCTGAGGGGGAAGACTGCTTAAGCCCAAGAGGCAGAGGCTGCAGTGAGCTGTGATTGCGCCACTGCACTCCAGCCTGGCAACAGAGGGAGACCTTGTCTAAAAAAAAAAAAAAGGAAAGAAAGAGAAAAAAAGAATGAAAGAAACAAACTAACTTCAGGGAGAGGGGACATGGAGGCCTATGCACTCAGCTGCTACCCTTTCCCCAACTCACCACCCCCGAAGGGGCTCTGCTGAGACCCCTGCCCCTCTGATGGCACAGCTGGGACTGTCTCTGCAGTTCCAGGAAGAGGTCTTGTCCCAGCCACTCTGCTGCTGTGTGGCTCAGGCTGACTCAAAGAGCCTGGGGGTCCCCAGGTGGGGGCTCCGGGAATGCATGGCAGGGCCGGACAGGTGTGAGCTGGTGGCTCACCAAGCCTGCTTCTCGCCAGTGCACAGATCCAGACGGGCGGGCTGTGGACCGGGCCCGGGCCTGGTGCGAGATGGTCGGCATCCAGTACTTCAGGTGAGGGCTCAGCCCACCCCCGGCCCTCAGCCCCCGCCCCTGGCCCCCCAGCCCCTCACCCCTAGACCCCCTCAGCCCCCCGCCCTGGCCTGGTCACTCACTGCCCTTCCCCTCTCAGCTCTGGTGTGGACTCTCCCTTTCCCTGAGGGCCTGCTCTGTTCCCCAGCACACCCTGGTCCTAGCTGTTGTCCCCTGCCCAGCCTGAGCATCCTAGGGTGACCCCTTCTTCCTTGGCCCGGACAGATTGAACCCCCAGCTGGGGACGGACATCATGCTGGATGAGGTCAGTGACACAGTGCTGGTCAACGCCCTCTGGGAGACCGAGGTCTACATCTATGAGCACCGAGAGGAGTTCCAGAAGCTTATCCAGCTGCTGCTGTCACCCGGAGGGCCTCCGGCCTCACAACAGCCCAGCTGACCTCGTCCACTCAGCCCCTGCTGGGGAGCCCAGGCCAGGCCCAGCCACTGCCCTCCTGGGCAGATCCGGGCCCAGGCAGCTCTGCGTCCATAGACCGGGCCTGGGAGGGTCCCAAGCTGCCTGCCTGAGGCTGGTCATGGAGGCCACTCTCCCCCAACCCCCTGTTCCAGCACTTCTGTCATGTCAGGCTGGGAAAGTCTAGAGCTCCCGTTGGCCCCTTTCCCTGACTGTGAAGGACAGCTGACTCCCCCATCAGCTCAGACACTAAGGGTACCCGGGCGCAACCATACCCTGCCGCAGCCCCAGCCTCCAGCAAGGGCACTCCCAGGCTTCCTGGAGGGTGCAACCCACTTCCTCTGCCCTCTGCCCTGTTCCCAGGAGTCTGGAGCTAGAGAAATGGGGTGTCTCCCACCCCATCGGCCTGGCCGCAGGAGCGGGATGCCTGTTGGACTTTGCCTCTCACTCTGACCCAGCCCCTCAGCTGCCCAACCCCAAGAACTCTCAGCTCTCAAAGGTCACTCCGGGGAGCTTATTCTTCCCAATGGAAGTGGCTTAAGAGCCAGAACTATGAAATAAACCATTTGGATTCAAGTTCACCTGCGCTGTGTGTGCAGTGGTGTGAGTTCCCCAGCGTCTCTCAGCCTTGACCGGCCGTTTCCTTTGTATACCCAGACACTCCTGTTTTCCAGGACCCCTGGGCAGGGACACTTCCTCTTTCCTCTAGGCCGCCCCTAAACTGGCCCTTAGGGTGTTCAGAGGCAGCTGCCAGGTCCACGTACCCCAGGCAGGCCCAAGGGGGCCACACTCCTCAACCTCATCTTGGCAGACGAGGGCAAGCCCCATTTGCCACCCAGGGAGGCCGGGGACTCCACACAGACAGGCGGCGCATGTGCAGGGCCAAGGTCAGCCCAGGGTTTGGGCGACTCCAGCTCCAGCAAGTGGAGCTGGGCGGGCCAGAGTGGCTGTGGGAGCCACAGAGGGCGTGGCCCCACCATGAGCCACAGGCCTGAGGACGGTGAGGAGCAGAGCTGTGTTCCCCTCCAGGGCTGCCTCTGTGGGTCTGGCAGGGAGGGTCCTGGGGGAGGGCATCGGGCAGCACCAACCCAGTAAGGTAGGCAATGCCTGGTATAGGCAGGTGGGAGGGCGGGGCCCCCAGGGTCAGGGTCCTTAAGAAGGGGGTGGCTCAGGAAGGGGAGGGCTCATCCACATGGGCACTTGTACCAGCCCATGGCTCCTAAGGGTGAATAATTGAAGGGCAGGTCACACGAGCCCGCCCGTCACAGGATGCCTTCCCCGCCGGGTCTGGTTACGCCCCAGATCGCATTCTGACATCCCCAGCTGGTGAATAATTAAGCTGCCTCCTCCTCTGAGGCAGGCCTCCATCTCCAGGTCCCACTCTGCAGCTTCCTCATTGCCGGCCAAGCCGTGGGCCCCTGAGAGACCACCCACCACTGCTCCCAGCCGGGCCATCGCCACCAGCTCCCAGCCTCCTGCTCAGACCGGCAACAGCCATCCCATGGCCCCCGAGATGGACCAGTGCTACAGGTCCACCATCGCCATCTACAAGGTGAGCACATGGCAGCTGAGCCAGGGCCCCAGCCCCTCCTCCTAGAAGCAGAAGTCAGGCCTGCTCTGGAGGACAGAGGGCCAGCTGGGGCTGCAGGTGTCCTTGGAAGGGAAGCCTGGAGCCAGGCTGGGCCAGGGGTGGGTACGGGGGTGAGGTTCTCTAAAAGCTCTCAGCCACACACTCAGCAGGAACTCCTAACTCCCAGGTGCTGGAAAGGCAGGAGGGGGTCCAGGAACCCGTGGTGGGAATTGTTGAGAGTCCTGATGAGAAGGGCCTGGCCGTTCAGCCTAGGAATAAAGACCCTCTCTCTCTCTCTCTCTCTCTCTCTCTCTCTCTCATTTCTGAGCCCCTCACTCAGACTTCCTGCTTCACCCCCAGGGGGTTGCTGGTCTCCACAGACGTTTGTTGAGCACCTCCTGTGTGCACCTGTAAGCCTCACATCACCCACCTGTGAAGTAGAAAATGATCCCCCTGTTTCATAGATGAGAAAACTGAGACCAAAGAGGTTAAACAGCTCATTCAAGGTCATGAAGGGAGGAAGAGTTGCTGCTGGGATTTGAACCAAGACCCAGGTCCAAGCAAGCCTAAGTCCAGGCCAGTCTCCACCATGCAGGGAGCCCTCCACCTGGCCCCCGCCCGGGGTGGCCCACGCTCATCCAGCCACACTCTTGCCCATGGCGGGGTCTTCTTGGAGGAGGGCGAGAGCTGCCCTTGCTGCTGGGGCAACTGTGTGCAGCCCCATGTGTCTGGCTCGGCAAAGCCTGGACTCAGGGCAGGGCTGAGCTGTGCTCAGTGGGGACCACAGCCGGTGGGCCTGCTTCAGCCCAGTGGGAGGAGGAGAACCTTCCTGGTGCATTATCTCAGGAGGCACCTCGGTCCCGCCAGAGCAGGTGTGACCAGGAGCTGGCTGCGAGGGGACCATAGCTTGGAACAGGAAGCCAAAAATGGGATCTGAGGCCCCTGCAGCCAGAGCCAGGATTCTGGATGAGCCTAGGTTTGTAGGTGGGCTCCCCAAAGTCCGGGGGCTTCTCACTGAGCTGGGGGTGCCCTGCCCCTCATGCCCGGTGACTTGGCTCTGTCCATGGTTTCTTCTCCCTCCCGCATCTCCACATTTTTCCCTCCTGGCCCCCGGCTTCCAGAGCATCATGGAGCAGTTTAACCCCGCCCTGGAGAACCTGGTGTACCTGGGCAACAACTACCTTCGTGCCTTCCATGGTGAGTACCTGCCCGGGCCACCCAGCACCAGCCCTTAGCCTCTGCTGTCCCCACCCCGCCCCGAGGCCGCTCTGTACCCCCAACCCAGAGTCTCTGTACCCCACACCTGTTCATACTCAGCCCTACACCCTCCTACCCACCACCCCCACCCTCACGCCCCTGCAGCCAGAAAGGCCTTATGCACTCCACTCTCCTGTGCCCACGCATCCCTGTCCACACCCCTCATTGCCCTCTCCTTCAGGTGTCCCCAGACACTCCCATGATACAGTACCAGGCCCTGCAGGCCCACATACCCCGGGGCATCCCCTGATGGTGCATACATTTCTAGGTGTCACCTCGATGCCACCTACTGAACCCACCCCCTATACCCAGTCCCACCTCTACACCCAGGCTCACGCGGCAGCTGGCTTCCTCACTCTGACCCGCCACCATCCACACACCCTGCAGCTGGCCTTGACACTGCCTTGATCCCCATGCAAACCCTTGTACCCGTCCACTGTGGCCACCCATACCTGCCAATAGCAGCCCCCTACCCACTAGTGCTGATCAACCCTGAAGCTCAGGGCCACCCATCCCCCTGCTTCTTAGACGCCCTCCACGGCACCTCCCTGCCCCAGCCCTCACCCTATGCCCCTGCACCCAAGCTCCACAGCGCAACTGGCCACACTCTCAGGGGCACACACAGACGCCCACACCCCACCCACGACAGACACAGTTCCCTCCAGATGCAAGCAGCCTCCATGAGGGGGGGGTGGATGCAGGGTTGGACCCGACCCATCCCTTCTGGTCCACAGCCCTGTCTGAGGCGGCCGAGGTCTACTTCAGCGCCATCCAGAAGATTGGGGAGCATGCCCTGCAGAGTCCCACCTCCCAGATTCTGGGTGAGGCTCCCCCTCCACGGCAGACCCCATTCTCGGGCCCTCCTTTGGCACACTTGCCCTTCCAGGATGTCCTGCGTCCCTGACACAGGCCTTGCAGCCCAAGGCCCAGAGCCAGACTCTGGGATCCAGGCTTCCCGTCAGCACTCCCTGCCAGGTTGCCCCTGGGCTGGGACACACATGGCCTGGCTCCCGGAGAGCCATATGGGAGGTTCCCGGACTTTGGTCCCAAAACCAAGCCTGGGGCAGGCCCTCTGTTGGCTTCCAGGGGAAGAGGTGGCGGGCGGGCGGGCAGGGCGGCTCCCGACACCTTAACCACAGCTCCATCCATGCCTCCAGGGGAGATCTTGGTGCAGATGTCTGATACCCAGCGACACTTGAACTCCGACCTGGAGGTGGTGGTGAGTATCAGACCCCAGGGTCTGGAAACAGGCTGGGTTCCAAAGAGAGGGCCCCGCCTGCCAGATGACCGTCCCAGGGAGGATGACCTGCCCCAGCTGGTCCTTAGCCACAGCAGTGGCTGCCCTTCCCAGCACCTGGCTTCGTGGGGCACAGTTCCCTGCAATAGTCATTCAAGCTTCTAGCAGCCCTAGGAGGCCGGTGGCATTTCTGCCTCGATTTTGCAGAGGAAGAAATGGAGTCTCAAAAAGCCAGTCATTGTCCAGGCGCGGTGGCTCACACCTGTAATCCCAGCACTTTGGGAGGCTGAGGTGGGCAGATCACCTGAGGTCAGGAGATCGAGACCATCCTGGCCAATATGGTGTAACATCATCTCTACTAAAAATACAAAAATTAGCTGGACATGGTGGCGCGTGCAAGCTACTCAGCAGGCTGAGGCAGGAGAATCGCTTGAACCAGGGAGTTGGAGGTTGCAGTGAGCCGAGATCGTACCACTGTACTCCGGCGGGCAACAGAGCAAGACTCCATCTCAAAAAAAAAAAAAAAAAAAAAAAAAAAAAAAAGCTAGTCATTGCCTAAGAGCTAGTCATTGCCTGAGATGCCAGAGTGAGTGGAGGCCCAAGGAAGAGAAAGGACTGCTGCCCCCTCCCTGCCCTCCTCCCTGCAGCCTCCCAGGGAGTAGCCACTCGGACCTGACTCTGTCATGCCTTTGAGCAGAACCCTTCCACGTCCCCACTGCCCACAGAACTGAACACAGGCTCCTCAGTGAGGGGTCCTAGGCCCTGCCGCTCCAGCAGCTTCTCCCGACACCCCCAACACAGCCCAACCCCCCCCCGAAGAGTGGGCCCTCTGCTGGTGTCCCCACTGTGGGGCTGCTGCCCTGCTGGCCTCTAAGCCTAGAGCCACCTGTCCCTCCCACTGCTGCCCAATGCAGCTGTCCCCTCCTCCCCGAAGCCTCCTCTGACCCCCTGGGGCAGGTTCAGTCTCCCCTCCCCCTGGACTCCACCAGGTCCTTCTGTCTGTCCTTAGCTCGTGGTGGGTTCAAAGCTCAGCTTCACTAGTGACTAGTTTTGTGACCTTGGACTCTGGGCTTCTGTTTACCTATCTGAGAAATGAAGATAATCACAATAACTTCCTCCCAGGACTCTCAAGAGGATGAAGTGAATTAATAAACACAAACTGTCTGCCCTGGCCCCCGCAAGGCCCCTGGGTACCTCAGCTATGATAACTAGAAGTTGCCTCGCCTGCCCCACCCCTCCCAGTCTCTTAGTAGAGCCTGGGAGCTCTACTAAGGCCTCCTCTCCATAGCTCCAGGGCCTGCTGCCAGCAGGGCCTCAGTGACTGCAGCGGGAAAGAAAGCTGAGGGAGTGGGCTTGGCTAGATGGCGAGAAGAGAGGGCTTTCCAAGGGAGCCTGGCAGCGGGCAGCGGGCAGACGGGAGCCAGGGCTTGGGCGCAGGGCCTGAGTGGGAGAGGTGGGTGGGGTCTGGTGGCGAGGCGTCTCAGAAAGTTGGGAAGGAAATTTCAAGTAATTGTTTTCCTTCCAGCGTGTGAAGGGGAACTGCTGGAAGTCAGGGTGCTCTTTGCAGGGGGACACCATAAAATACTGATCAGTTGGGCATAGGGAACAATCTTTTTTTTTTTTTTTTGAGATGGAGTCTCGATCTGTCACCTAGGCTGGAGTGCCATGGTACGATCTCAGCTCACTGCAACCTCTGCCTCCCAGGTTCAAGCGATTCTCCTGCCTCAGCCTCCCGAGTAGCTGGGTCTACAGGTGCCCGCCACCATGCCTGGCTAATTTTTGTATTTTTGGTAGAGATGGGATTTCATCATGTTAGCCAGGATGGTTTCAATCTCTTGACCTCATGATCCACCCACCTCAGCCTCCCAAAGTGCTGGGATTACAGGCGTGAGCCACCACGCTCAGCCAAAATAAAGTTCTTAAATATCTTAAGTGTTAAGCTCAACAGATATTGACAGTTGTGTGCCCTATGTGGCCACTGTGTTAAAGAGGATTTATTTAGAATGTTTTCATCAACCCAGAAAGTTCTCATAAGTCCCTGTTGTTAATCTTGTGCCCTAGGGGCAAACACTTGCTGACTTATATCTCTTTTATCTTCATTTGACTTGAATTGTACACTATATATTCTTTTGTGTCTAGCTTCTTGCACTCAGCATAGTTTATAAGATTAATTCATGTTGTTGCATTGTATGAATCTGTTTGTGTCACTATCAAGGAATACCTGAGACTGGGTAATTTATAAGGAAAAGAGGTAGATTTTGGCTCATGGTTCTGCAGGCTGTACAAGCATGGCACCAACATCTGCTCAGCTTCCCATGAGGGCCTCAGGAAGCTTACAATCATGGCAGAAGGTGAAGGGGGAATACCAGGTGCATCACATGGCAAAAGAGAAGAAAGCTCTTTTGATTGATTGATTGATTGATTGATTGATTTTTTGAGACGAAATTTTGCTCTCGTTGCCCAGACTGGAGTGCAGTGGCATGATCTTGGCTCACTGCAACATCTATCTCTCAGGTTCAAGCAATTCTCCTGCCTCAGCCTCCCAAGTAGCTGAGATTACAGGCACCCACGACCATACCCAGCTAATTTTTTGTATTTTTAGTAGAGACACGGTTTCATCACATTGGCCAGGCTGGTCTCAAACTCCTGACCTCAGGCGATCCACCTGCCTTGGCCTCCCAAAGTGCTGAGATTACAGGCGTGTGCTACCGTGCCCGGATGCCAGGCTCTTTTTAAACAGCCAGATATTGCATTAACTCATTACTACAGGGAGGCGACCAAGCCATTCATGAGGGATCCGCCCCCATGACCCAAACACCTCCCACCAGGCCCCACCTCCTACACTGGGGATTACATTTCCACATGAGATTGGAGGGGACACAGATCCAATCCATATCACGTATGTATCAACATTTTTTTCTGTTTTATTTCTTAGAATTCCATTGTATGAATATCCCACAATGTGTCTATCCATTCTTCTGCTGATAGTCATTTGGGTCATTTCCAGTTGAAGACTGTTATGGAACTATTATGAATAAGGCTGCTATGAACATTCTTGTACAAGTCTTTTTATGGATGTATGTTTTCATTTCTGTTGGGCAGATATCTCGGAGTGGAATTAGCAGGGCATGGGGTTGACATATGTTTATTAGAGTTCTCCAACATTCTTGCGCTATTCTGCATTCCTGCCAGCAGTGAATGAAAATGGCTGTTGTTCTAAATTCTTGCCATTGTTCAGCGTCATCAGTCTTTTTTATTTTAGTCATTCTCGTGGGTATGGAGTGGTGTCTCACTGTGGCTTTGTTTAGATGTCCCTGATGACTAATGACTTTTAATGTGCTTGCCGGACATTTGTACAGCTTCTTCCTTAAGATGTTGGTTTAGCCTTTTACTCATTTTTTATTGGAGTATCCTTATTGTTGAATTCTTTGTATAGTTAAGATATGAGTCCTTTGTCAGTAGATGTATGGGAAATTTTTTTTCAATCTGTAGCTTGCCTATTCATTTTCTTAATACTGTGTCTTTAATGAACATGAATTATAACTTTTTTTTGAGAGAGTCTTGCTCTGTTGCCCAGGCTGGAGTGCAATGGCATGATCTCAGCTCACTGCAACCACAACCTCTTGAGTTCTAGTGATTTGCCCTGCCTCAGCCTCCTAAATAGCTGGGATTATGGCGCCCACCACCACGCCCAGCTCAGTTTTTGTATTTTTAGTAGAGGTGGTGTTTCACCATGTTGGCCAGGCTGGTCTCGAACTCCTGACCTCAGGTGATCCACCCACCTCAGCCTCCCACCTGTAAAGGTGTGAGCCACTGTGCCTGGCCAAATTATAAATTTTTATAGCCAGAAATGGCACTGCACACCTATAGTCTTAGCTCCTTTGGAGACTGAGGTGGGAGGATCACGTGAGCTTAGGAGTTCAAGGCGTAAGTTGAAGCTCTGATCGCACCATTGCACTCCATTGTGGGTGACAGAGCAAGACACTATCCCTAAAGATATAAATAAATAAATACATAAATGTTTATGAGGCCCAGTTTTGCAATTTTTGTGCTTTTATTTTTTGCAGTGGTTTGTGCTTGTGTCCTATCCAAGCAATCTTTTCCTGCCCCGTGGCAAATATATTCTAAGTTTTCTTCTAGAAACTCTATTTTATGGACTTTACATTCCTTTCTATGATTTGTCTTAAATTTATTTTTGTGTATGGAATGAGATGGAGTCAGAGTTTAATTTTCCCTGGATGAGTATTCAGTTATTCCCACATCATTTTTAAAACACTTCCCTTGATTCACTGAAATGACTTGATATCTTGGTCAAAAATTGATTTGGGGCTGGGCACAGTGGGTGGATCACCTGAGATCAGGAGTTCAAGACCAGCCTGATCAACACGGTGAAACCCCATCTCTACTAAAAATACAAAATTAGCCGGGTGTGAAGGTGTGCGCCGGTATTCCCAGCTACTCAGGAGGCTGAGACAGGAGAATCGCGTGAACCCAGGAGACAGAGGTTGCAGTGAGCTGAGATTGTGCCACTGCACTCCCGCCTGGGCAGCAGAGCAAGATTGTATCTCAAAAAAAAGATTGATTTTACATATATGTGTGGGTTTCTTTCTGGACTCTGTTCCATTGGTGTGTGTGTCTAACCTTATGCTGATATCACACTGTGTTAATTACTGTAGCTTTATAGTGAATACTGAAATCAAGTAGGCTAAGTACTTTTTCTTTTTCAAAATTATTTTTCCTATTCAAGATTCTTTGCATTTTATCTAAATTATGGAATCCATCATCTTGTCAATTTCTTTAAGAAAGGCTTCTGGAATTTTGATAGAGTTGCATTATCTATAAATCAATGGTCATCTTAACAATATTGAGTCTTCCAGACCCATGAATATGGTGTATTTCTCCATTTACTTTTCTTAGTAATGCTTTGTCATTTTTAGCAAGTGACATTTGCAGAGGTGGCAAAAAGATTCCCCAAGAGTTACTGGAGGCTGGGCACAGTAGTTTATGCCTGTAATCCCAGCACTTTGGGAAGACAAAGTGAACAGATGGGTTGAGGTCAGGAGTTCAAGACCAGTCTGGCCAACATGGAGAAACCCCGTCCCTACTAAAAATACAAAAATTAGCCAGACATGGTGGTGCACATCTGTAATCCCAGCTCCTCCAGTGGCTGAGGTGTGAGAATCATTTGAACCCAGGAGGCAGGGGTTTCAGTGAGCTGAGATAGCACCACTGCCACTCCAGCTCTGACAACAGAGCAATGACTCTGTCTTAAAAAAAAAAAAAAAAAAAAAAAAAAAGGTAGGCCGGGCGCGGTGGCTCAAACCTGTAATCCCAGCACTTTGGGAGGCCGAGGCGGGTGGATCACGAGGTCGAGAGATCGAGACCAACCTGGTCAACATGGTGAAACCCCGTCTCTACTAAAAATACAAAAAATTAGCTGGGCATGGTGGTGCGTGCCTATAATCCCAGCTACTCAGGAGGCTGAGGCAGGAGAATTGCCTGAACCCAGGAGGCGGAGGTTGCGGTGAGCCGAGATCGCGCCATTGCACTCCAGCCTGGGTAACAAGAGCGAAACTCCATCTCAAAAAAAAAAAAAAAAAAGAGTTACTGAGTTCCTCTGTCCATAGAGTTTGCAGTGCATGGTCTCAACCACGGGATCTGCTGTTAGCTCCCTGTACTTCTGTGCTGAGGTATTCCCAGGACCCTGTAATGAAGTGTGTGCCCCAGGGAGTGGAAATGGGGAGGGCAGTCTCTGTCTAATCCACGGGGAATTTCTCAGCCTGCTCTGGGGTTGGTGACTTCCTCTGTCAGAAGCCACCTGCTCACAGCCTGTTATCTGCCTGTAATGGACACAGCAAGAGCTCAAAGTTCGCTTCCATTGTCAACCGCTTTTTCTTTTTTTTTTTTTTTTTTTAAGATGGAGTCTCACTCTGCCACCCAGGCTGGAGTGCAGTACTGTGATCTTGGCTCACTGTAACCTCTGCCTCAGTGGCTCAATCTTGGCTCACTGCAACCTCCACCTCCTGGGTTCAAGCGATTATCCTGCCTCAGCCTCCTGAGTAGCTGGGATTACAGGCATGAACCACCACGCCTGGCTAATTTTTGTATTTTTAGTAGAGACAGGTTTTTGCCATGTTGGCCAGGCTGGTCTTGAATCCCTGACCTCAGGTGATCCTCCCACCTCAGCCTCCCAAAGTGCTGGGATTATAGGCACAAGCCACTGCACCCGGCCTGAGTGTTTAATCATTTCATCCACTCTCCAACCAGGGGCTCTTCTTGTCTCCGTGTCTCAGACAGATGGGCAGGTGCCTGTATGCGAGGAGCATGGTGGGAGGTCTCTTACAGCAGAAAGTGCAAGGGGGTGCTAGAGCCTGGGAACAGTAGGGGGGCCTTGATCACCCTCACCTTGCACTCCACGCAGGTGCAGACATTCCATGGAGACCTGCTGCAGCACATGGAGAAGAACACCAAGCTGGACATGCAGTTCATCAAAGTGAGTCTGACCTCCCCACTCAGCCTCCAGCCCCTTGAAGGCAGGACCACCTCTCCCGTTTGACAGGTGGGCAGTGCTGAGTGTTGACTGGCCCCATATTATCCAGGTTCCCAGCTGAGCTCCCAGTCTCCAAACTTCCAGGGCCCTGATCTCTGGAAGGGGTGTCTTGAGCTCTCTGATGTAGGGGGATTCTTCCTTCCCCACTCCACCCTCCCCCAGGACAGCCGCCAGCACTATGAGATCGAGTACCGCCACCGAGCGGCCAACCTGGAGAAGTGCATGTCTGAGCTGTGGCGCATGGAGCGCAAGAGGGACAAGAACGTGCGGGAGATGAAGGTGCCAGGGCCGGAAGGGGGAAGGAGGGTGGGCCAGGAAGCCGAGGAGGGCTGGGAAGGGCAGTGGGCAGACCTCGGGTTGAGACCAGGATCTGGGAACCCCGAATGCCCCCCTGAGCTCCTCCACCGAGCACCACCCCAACTATGAGGATCATGGCTGGGGAGGGCAGCCAGCCTCTGGTGGGGTTGGCGTCACTAGCTCCCAGGGCCATGCCCAGCACCGATCCTTGCCCCGTGGCTTCCTAGCCTTCTCCAGAATCCCCCGGCCTCTCCTGCAACCCCATCCCACCTCCCGCTTCTTCTATTTCATCGAGAAAATTGCTCGCCTGTACATGGTGACAAAGGTGTCATCCACCAGCTGCCCACTCTCCTCCCCTCCCTCCTGCCAGGCAGAGGTATCCCACCCCAGCTAAGGCCCTTACCTGCTCCTGAAACTGGGGCCCCATCCCTGGCCTCTGTCTCCAAGATCCAAACCTATGGATTAACCTTCTACCTCCCTTCGGGTCTCTGCTCCTGGCTCCTGGCTCCATTAAGTAAGCTCATGTCTCCCTCCTCTGAACCTTCCCCCCAGGTAGGGGCTATTAATCTACTCATTCATATTCTCATTAAACCCATCTCCCTCCATCCCCCTGCCCACCAATCCCATATCTGGGTTTGTCCTGGGTGCCACGGACAGAGCGATGGCTCAGACACCCTCAGACACCTCCAGCCCTGCCTGTGACAAGCACCCAGGCAAAGAGGACGCAGGGCCCAGACTCATAAGGACAAGGATGCCCATGAGGGGGCAGGCTCAGGAGCTAGGATGGGCTGGGTGATGGGGGGTGGACTTGGGGAGGGGGCAGTGAGGAAGGACAGGAGTGAACAGCAGGTGCCTGTGGGGGAGGGGGAGGATGAGACACTCGCCCACTGCCCCCAGCCAGAACTCCCGTTCCCCCCAGGAGAGTGTGAACCGGCTGCACGCCCAGATGCAGGCCTTCGTGTCTGAGAGTCAGCGGGCAGCTGAACTTGAAGAAAAGCGGCGCTACCGCTTCCTGGCGGAGAAGCACCTGCTGCTTTCCAACACCTTCCTGCACTTCTTCGGCCGGGTGAGCTGCACTGGGGGGCCACAAGTGGGGCGCTTCTGGGAGCTGCACCTGAGCTGCTGTACACAGAGATTTCCCTTCCTTCTTCCCTCTGCCCTCCCTTCCTGCCTGTCTGTAGGAATTCATTTTATTTTGCTCTCTCTATCCATTTCTTCCATTGTTTCTGGGCTTGCTTGTATCACTGTAGATTCACTCATGTATTCACTCATGATTTTGTTTGTTTTTTAATGCATTCACTAATTCATGTGTTTATTGATTCATGTGCAGACCATTTTTTAATGCCTGCTTGTATATTCTCACAATTCATAAATTCATTAATTGATAGGTTGGTTCAGTTATTGTCTATTAATTTTATTATATTATTTATTTTTGAGACAAAGTTTCATTCCCATTGCCCAGGCTGGAGTGCAATGGCATGATCTCGGCTCACTGCAACCCTGCCTCCCAGTTTAAGCAATTCTCCTGCCTCAGCCTCTCCAGTGGCTGGGACTACAGGCATGCACCACTATGCGTGGCTAATGTTTGTATTTTTAGTAGAGACAGGGTTTTGCCATGTTGGCCAGGCTGATCTCAAACTCCTGACCTCAAACAATCTGCCTGCCTTGACCTCCCAAAGTGCTGGGATTACAGGCATGAGCCATCATGCCTGGCCATTTTATCGTATTATTTAAATCTGCTATGCTCTTGCTTTGTTCTGTCTGCTAGACTAGTCAGACTCTCTCCTATTTCATTGTGTTTCTAATAGATTCCGCTTTCTGAATTTAGCTGCTATGTTGTTTGGTGCATTTTTGGTTATGACTCTTCTACCTTCTTTGTAAATATTGCCATTTATGTACTTAATGTCTCTCTTAGTCAAGTCTGATGCTTTTAATTCCGCCTTGTCTGATATTAACACTGCCCTTTCTACTTTCCCTTCTCTTTGCTTATCTCTTCCTATGTTAAGTATATCTTCTATTACTAACATATAGCTGACTTTTTTCCCTGCATTTTTCCAATGTCATTCTTTGGTTCATTTATTCAACAGATTTTTTTTTTTTGAGACAGAGTCTCACTGTGTCACCCAGGCTGGAATGCAGTAGTGCAATCTCAGCTCACTGCAATCTCTGCCTCCTGAGTTCAAACGATTCTCCTGCCTCAGCCTCCTGAGTAGCCGGGATTACAGGTGCGCACCACCACACCTGGCCAATTATCGTCTATTTATAAGAGACAGGGTTTCACTATGTTGCTGGAAGTTTCGCTCTTGTTGTCCAGGCTGGAGTGCAATGGTGCCATCTCGGCTCACTGCAAACTCCACCTCCAAGATTCAAGCAATTCTCCTGCCTCAGCCTTCCGAGTAGCTGGGATTACAGGTGTGCACCACCATGCGTGGCTAACTTTTGTGTTTTTAGTAGGGACAGGGTTTCACCACCATGTTGACCACACTGGACTTGAACTCCTGACCTTAGGTGGTCTGCCTGCCTCAGCCTCCCAAAGTGCTGGGATTACAGGCTTGAGTCACTGCACCTGGCCCTGGTTCGGGTTTCTTATCCCTGCCAGGCTCTCCCCAAGTCTCTGGATCTGAACCCAGGAGCCCAGGAGCACATGGCTGGATCCAGAGACCCAGACTTCAGCTCAGGCTCCCATCTGCCCGCTCTTACCACCTTACCCAGCCCCAGGCTCAGCTTTCTTTTCCCCTACTCTTCCACTAAAGGTCCTCCAGGGAGAAACAGTTTTCCTTTTTAAAAAACAGTTTTATTGACATATAATTCACATAGGATTCACCATTTACAATGAACACTTTCTGGTTTGTAATATGTTCACAGAGTTATGCGTCTATCACCACGATCAAGCTTAAAATATTTTCAATATCCCCTCAACAAAAACCCAGCACCCCGGCCGGGCACGATGGTTCATGGCTATAATCCCAGCACTTTGGGAGGCTGAGATGGGAGGATCACCTGAGATCAGGAGTTTGAGACCACCCAGGCAAACATGGTGAAACCCCATCTTACTAAAAATACAAGTTAGTCAGGCGTGGTGGCACACACCTGTAATCCCAGCTACTCGGGAGGCTGAGGCAGGAGAATCGCTGGAATCTCAGAAGTGGAGGTTGCAGTGACCTGAGATTGCAGCATTGCACTCCGGCCTGGACAATAAGAACAAAACTCCCTCTCAAAAAACAAACAAACCATAAAACCAAAAATACAAACCGGTATTAGCTGTCAGTCCCAGTCTTCCCACCCACCCCAGCCCTAGACGAACGGTAATCTATTTTCTGTCTCAATGCATTTGCCCTTCTGGACATTTCATATAAATGGAATCATATTGGCCAGGTGTGGTGGCTCACGCCTATAATCCCAGCACTTTGGGAAGCCAAGGTGGGTGAATCACAAGGTCAGGAGGTCAAGACGAGCCTAGCCAAGATGGTGAAACCCTGTCTTTACTAAAAAAAAAAAAAAAAAGTATAAAAATTAGCTGGGCATAGTGTCAGGCACCTGTAATCCCAGCTACTCGGGTTGCTGAGGCAGAGAATTGCTTGCCCCAGGGAGGTGGAGGTTGCAGTGAGCCAAGATTGCACCACTGCACTCCAGCCAGGGCAACAGAGCGAGACTTCATCTCAAAAACAAAACAAAACATAACAAAAACGAAATCACACAATACATGCTCCTTTGCGACTGTCTTCCTTTTTAGTGCTGAATAATATTCCATCGCTTGGATAGACCACATTGTATATACTGATTTACTCAGATGTTAGCTGATGGACGCCTGGTTGCTTCCATTTTTTGGCTGTCATGAACCAAGCTGCTCTGAGCACCCATGTGCAAGTCTTTTTGTGGACATATGTTTGCATCTGTCTTGGGATATAAGAGTAGAATTGCGGGGCCATATGGTTACTCTATGTTTAACTGTTTGGAGAACTTCCAGACCCTTTTTCAGAGTCTCTGGAAGTTTCCATGTTTATCAGCAATTTATGAGGGTTCCAGCTGTTCCACATCCTCACTACTACTTGATATTGTCTTTTTTTTTTTGAGACAGTGTCTCGCTCTGTCACCAGGCTGTAGTGCAGTGGCTCTATCTCAGCTCACTACACCCTCCAACTCCCTGGTTTAAGCCATTCTCTTGCCTCAGCCTCCTGAGTAGCTGGGTTTACAGGCACACGCCACCACAACCAGCTAGTTTTTGTTTTTTTTTTTAAGTAGAGATGGGGTTTCACTATGTTGGCTAGGATGGTCTCGATTTCCTGACCTTGTGATTACCTGCCTCAGCCTCCCACAGTGCTGGGATTACAGGCGTGAGCCCCCACGCCAGCCTGTTTTTTTTGTTTTTTTTTTTTTTTTTTGAGACGGAGTTTCGCTCTTGTTACCCAGGCTGGAGTGCAATGGTGCGATCTTGGCTCACCGCAACCTCCGCCTCCTGGGTTCAGGCAATTCTCCTGCCTCAGCCTCCTGAGTAGCTGGGATTATAGGCACACGCCACCATGCCCAGCTAATTTTTTATATTTTTAGTAGAGACGGGGTTTCACCATGTTGACCAGGTTGGTCTCGATCTCTCAACCTCGTGATCCACCCGCCTCGGCCTCCCAAAGTGCTGGGATTACAGGCTCGAGCCACCGCGCCCGGCCGTTACTGTCCTTTTTATGTAGCCATCCCAGCAGGCGTGAAGCGGCATCTCTCTGCAGTATTGATTTGTGGTTCCAAGGTGACTAGTGACATTGAACATCTTTTCCTGTGCCTCGTGGCTATTGATATATCTCCTTTGGAAGGAAACTCTTTTTTTTAACCTGTGTTAAACTCCTTTTTGCCTGTTAAACAGTTAACCACCAACATTAAGAGAAGAGCTGAGCCCCTCCATGACTGCTTTGGATGGAGCTGTGGCTTGACCAGATTTTCCCCTACACAAGGGGTTCATCGTTGTGCATTGCTTTAAAGGAATGCCTCAGGCTGGGTAACTTATTTTAAAGAGAGGCTTATTTGGCTCTCCATTCTGCAAGCTGTACAAGTGTACTGCCAGCTCTGCTCCTAGTGAAGCCTCTGGAAGCTTAAAATCATGGAGGAAGGCAAAGGGAAGCTCGTAGCCAGAGAGGGAGCTGGTGGGGGTAGGGGTGCCACACTCTTTTTTTTTTTTTTTTTTTTTTGAGATGGAGTTTTCCTCTTATCTCCCAGGCTGGATTCCAATGGCATGATCTTGGCTCACTGCAACCTCTGCTTCCTGGGTTCAAGCAATTCTCCTGCCTCAGCCTCCCAAGTAGCTGAGATTACAGGAATGCATCACCACACCCAGATACTTTTTGCATTTTTACTAGAGGTAGGATTTTACCATGTTGGCCAGGCTGGTCTTGAACTCCCAACCTCAGATGATCCACCCACCTCAGCCTCCCAAAGTGTTGGGATTACAGGTGTGAGCCACCACGCCCAACTGCCACACTCTTTTAAACAAGGAGATCTTCCATGATCTCATACAACTCATTACCGTAGGGTAGAGCACCACCATTTATGAGGGAGCTGCCCCCATGACCCAACACCTCCCACTAGGTCCTGCCTCCAACACTGGGGCCACAGTGGTGGGGGGCGGTCACATTTCAAGATGAGATTTGGAGAGGACAGATATCCAAACCATATCACATAAGGAGCAAGTAACTTGTCTGAATCAGATGGACTTTAGAACATCCAATATATAACTCTTAAGCAAATATATTTACTTGTTGCTTTATTTATAAGTAGAAGGCACACTTAGGGCCGGGTGCAGTGACTCACAACTGTAATCCCAGCACTTTGGGAGGCCAAGGTGGGCAGATCACAAGGTCAGGAGTTCGAGACCAGCCTGGCCAACATAGTGAAACCCTGTCTCTACTAAAAACACAAAAATTAGCCGGGCATGGTGGTGGGTGCCTGTAATCTCAGCTACTCTGGAGGCTGAGGCACAAGAATGGCTTGAACCCAGAAGGTGGAGGTTGCAGTGAGCTGAGATCATGCCACTGCACTCTAGCCTGGGTGACAGAGTGAGACTCTGTCTCAAAAAAAAAAAAAGAAGGCACAGTTATAATAAGATTTAAAGAACTCTAGGTGCCTGGGCACAGTAAGTTGAATGAGAAATGTCTTTCTTATTCAACTTCAATAATTAGTCTTAGTTCAAGTCTAGTCAATAACATGCCTTCCTACCTTACTCTTAGTTTCTCCAGTTTTTTATTTTGTTTTTTGTTTTGTTTTGTTTTGAGACCGAGTTTCACTCTTGTTGCTCAGGCTGGAATGCAGTGGTGCGATCTTGGCTCACTGCAACCTCCACCTCCGGGGTTCAAGCGATTCTCCTGCCTCAGCCTCCCAAGTAGCTGGAATTACAGATGCCTGCTACCATGCCTGGCTAATTTTTTGTATTTTTAGTAGAGACAGTGTTTCACCATGTTGGCCAGGCTGGTTACAAACTCCTGACCTCGGGTGATCCACTTGCCTCAGCATCCCAAAGTGCTGGGATTACAGGTGTGAGCCACCACGCCCGGCCACTTCTCTGGTTTACTGCAGCTGTGCAAATGTATCTCCAGGATAAATGCCTAGAAGTGGAGTTGATGAGTCCAAGAATATGGTCATTGGTTGCACCAATTTATATTTCCATCAGTAACGTGTGAGTTTCTGTGCTTCTGTACCTCTTGACAACAGTGTGTGAGCAAACTTTCTGATCTTTGCTAATCAGAAAGGTAAAAATGATATTTCAGTGTAGCTTTACCTCATACTTGTCTTAAAAGTGAGCTTAACATCTTCTCATGTTTCAAAGCCATTTGATTTTCTGTGCTGTGACATGTCAGTATCTTTTCATCTGCTTTTCTTAGTAATTTGTAGGAGCTCTTGATATGTTACTAAAGCAGCTTTTTCTTCGTGATGAGTTGCAAATATCATGACCAGTTTGCCATTTATCATTTGCCTGTGTTACAGTGGTTTTGCCATACAAAAACATTATTTATTTATTTTTTGAGACAGAGTTTTGCTCTTGTTGCCCAGGCTTGAGTGCAATGGCAATCTTGGCTCACTGCAACCTCTGCCTTGAAGGTTCAAGCTATTCTCCTGCCTCAGCCTCCCAAGCAGCTGGGACTACAGGCATGCACCATGACGCCTGACTGACTTTTTCATTTAGTAGATAGGACGTTTCACCATGTTGGTCAGGGTGGTCTCCAACTCCTGACCTGTACCTCAGCCTCCCAAAGTGCTGGGATTACAGGTGTGAGCCACCATGCTCAGCAAAAACATCATTTTTATTTAGGAAAATGTATCAGTCTTTTCTTTTTGAGTTTATGGGTTTGGTGTCATACTTAGAATGACTTTTCCACTTTGTATATATATTTTTAAATTTTTTCCATGGCCTCCTTTATGGTTTTGAAACTCTATGCAGTATTTCTTCTCACTACCATTTATTTTAATTTTTGTGCTTACATAGTGGGGTATATATTTATGGGGTACACATTTGATAGATGTTTCAATACAGGCATACAGTGTGTAGTAATCACGTGCTGGAGAATAGGGCATCCATCCCCTCAAGCATTTATCCTTCGTGTTACGAACAATCCAATTATACTCTCTCAAACCCCTTTTAAAATCCAATATGCAGAACCTAATGCTCTCACTTTGCTTATGCCTCTGAAACTTGGGAATTAAGGCCTTTGGGTTTCATCTTTGTGCTCTTCTGCTAATTAGTTACCACAAGGAAGCAGAGGGGCTGTCCACTTAGTGACCAGCGAGGTTAGCTGCTCCCGTGATGGGAGGCACCGAGCCTTCCCATTATTGCTGCCTGAATTTGATGTGAGCTTGTCGGTCATGGGGCCAGGTCAAGGCAGAAATCATTGAAAGGTGTAATCAGAGGGTGCATCTTCCAGGAAAGACCAATACAGACCACTTCATTGCTTACTGAATGTGAAACCTTGAGCCAGTCGCTTCACTTCTCTGACACTCGGCATCTTTTATAAACTGGAGAATAATAATTGCAACTACCACCAGGGTTATTGTGAGAATCAAGTAAGATGATGCCGATAAAGCATTTAAAGCAGGGCCTGGCACAGAGTCACTGCTCCAAAAGGGAAGCTTTTCTTTTTTTGGAGACGGAGGTTCACTCTTGTTGCCCCGCCTGGAGTGCAGTGGTGCAGGATCGGCTCACTGCAACCTCCGCCTCCCGGGTTCAAGTGATTCTCCTACCTCAGCCTCCTGAGTATCTGGTATTACAGGCATGCATCACCACGCCCAGCTAATTTTTTATATTTTTAGTAGAGATGAGGTTTATTCATTTTGGTCAGGCTGGTGTCGAACTCCCGACCTCAAGTGATCTGCTCACCTCGGCCTCCCAAAGTGCTGGGATTACAGGTGTGAACCACCACACCCCCGGCCAGGGGGAGCTTTTCTTAAGGTGACAGTCTTGAGCTAGGCCTTGAGGGAGAGGGATTTTGAAAAGGAGAGGGAGAGATCTTTATAGCTGGAGAACAATTCTGATTATACCTGGGATTTAATTTATGGAGGTGACTGAGTGACAACACAGAAAGGTCAATAGCACTGACAGAAGTTTTAGGTCAGGCATGGTGGCTCATGCGCCTGTAATCCCGGCATTTTGGGAGGCTGAGGGCCTCAGTTCCGTACCAACCTGGCCAACATGGTGAAACCCCATCTCTACTAAAACCACAAAAATTAGCTGGGCATGGTGGCACATGCCTGTAGTTCCAGCTACTCCGGAGGCTGAGGCAGGAGAATCTCTTGAATCCCGGAGGTGGAGTTTGCAGTGAGCTAAGATCGCACCACTGCACTCCAGCCTGGGCAACAGAGCCAGACTCATTCTCAAAAAAAAAAAAAAAAAAAAAAAGCATTTTCCAGAGTGTTACAGGGTAAGTCATGGGACTGGGTTCTTTGGTCGCAGTTTCTGGCTAAGAGCCATCCCTGATCCCATCACTGCAGACAGGAGGATGGAGCCATTGAGTGGCCAGGCCCGGGTGCTCCCCCTAGCCCTGAAGCCCCACTCAAAACACACGCACTGAGGGGCGGAGGTGGGGGTCAGGGGAAGCTCTTCATGGAAAATGGAGGCGCCTTTGCCAAAAGTGGAGGGTGCGGGGTGCATGGTGAGCTGACCCCGAGTGGCACCACAGCGGTCTTCTGGCTCTGTCCAGCTAGAAAATCTGGTTGTCCAGAGCTGGCAGGGACCGAGCTCTCAGGCCGAGGGTGCCATTTTGGGTCCCTAGGATTCAGGGAGCCTCCCGGACCTGGCTGACCCTGGTGTCCCCATCCTGCCAGGCCCGGGGGATGCTCCAGAACCGCGTGCTGCTGTGGAAGGAGCAGTCGGAGGCCAGCCGCAGCTCGTCGCGCGCCCACTCCCCCGGCCTGCTGGGCCCTGCGCTGGGGCCGCCGTACCCCTCGGGCCGCCTGACGCCCACGCGCCTGGACATGGTGAGGACCTGGGCGCCCCCGCCGCCGTTCGTGCCCCCGCCGCCGTTCGTGCCCCCGCCGCCGTTCGTGCCCCCGCCGCCGTTCGCGCCCCCGCTGTCCCCCGTGAGGCCCTGGGGCCTCAGGCCCCGCGCCTGGAACCTCCTGCCCCCCATGCTCCCGCTTTACGCCACGCACCCCGGCCCACCCTTCCGCCCCGGCGCGTTCTCGGCGCCCCCGTGGTGGCCGGGCCTCCGCCCCCAGAGCCCCTACACCGACGCCTGGGACTGGGGGTGGGGGCTGGACTAGGGCGCGGCCCCCGCCCCCCCCCGCCCCACCCTCCCCTGCCCGTCTCCCCCGCAGCCCCCGAGGCCCCTGGGAGAGTTCAGCTCCCCCCGCAGCCGGCACAGTTCCGGCTCCTACGGCCCGGAGCCTGACTCCAGGCCCGCGTCCCAGCTGGAGCCAGACCGCAGGTCCCTGCCCCGCACGCCGTCTGCCTGTGAGTGCCCCCACCCTGGGGCGGCGGGAGGGCCGAAAGGGGCGTGGGAGTGGGGCTGCAGCAGGAGGAATGGAGGGCAGACAGGAGTGAGAACTTCCCACCCACGTGCCGCCACGCTCTCCCACCTGCAGCCTCGCTCTACAGCAGCAGCACCCAGTGCTCGCGCTCCAACTCCTTTGGCGAGCGGCCGGGCGGCAGCGGGGGCGGCGGGGGCGCCAGGAGGGTCCGTGCCCTGGTCTCCCACTCTGAGGGCGCCAACCACACGCTGCTGCGCTTCTCTGCCGGGGACGTGGTGGAGGTGCTGGTGCCCGAGGCCCAGAACGGCTGGCTCTACGGCAAGCTGGAGGGCTCGTCCGCGTGAGTGGGAGCCTTGCAGGGGCTGGGGATGGGTTGGGAAGAAGGCCCTGGGGGCCGGGGACCGGGGGACCTGCCAGACTGAGGCTTCCCTGGCCTTCCCTGGAGGCCTCGGACAATGCTCCTCTCCTCCCACCCCCTACGCCCTGCCTCAGTTTCCTCATTCATTCAGTGGGAATAGGAAGAGCCGCCTTACCAAGTTCAGAATGGCGGCTTTTGAGAGGGGGCAAAGGATGGGGAATGGGCAGGTTCTTTCAAAAGCGTGGAAATGAGGCCGGGCGCGGTGGCTCAAGCCTGTAATCCCAGCACTTTGGGAGGCCGAGGCGGGTGGATCACGAGGTTAAGAGGTCGAGACCATCCTGGTCAACATGGTGAAACCCCGTCTCTACTAAAAAAAAAATACAAAAAATTAGCTGGGCATGGTGGCACGTGCCTGTAATCCCAGCTACTCGGAAGGCTGAGGCAGGAGAATTGCCTGAACCCAGGAGGCGGAGGTTGCGGTGAGCCAAGATCGCGCCATTGCACTCCAGCCTGGGTAACGAGCAAAACTCCGTCGCCAAAAAAAAAAAAAAAAAAAAAAAAAGAATAGCTTAAAAAAAGGCCGGGCGCGGTGGCTCACGCCTGTAATCCCAGCACTTTGGGAGGCCGAGGCGGGTGGATCACGAGGTCAAGAGATCGAGACCATCCTGGTCAACATGGTGAAACCCCGTCTCTACTAAAAATACAAAAATTAGCTGGGCATGGTGGCGCGTGCCTGTAGTCCCAGCTACTAGGGAGCCTGAGGAAGGAGAATTGCCTGAACCCAGGAGGCGGAGGTTGCGGTGAGCCGAGATCACGCCATTGCACTCCAGCCTGGGTAACAAGAGCGAAACTCCGTCTCAAAAAAAAAAAAAAAAAGGCGTGGAAATGGCAGAAATCCTATTCCTGGAGCACCTACTATGTGCCCTCCTGCCTCCGGGAGGAGGCTGCCTTCCTCTGCAGAGTCAGCCCTGGAGCTCCCATGCAGGAGCCTGGGCTGGGAGAGGGGCTGAAATGTGCTCACCTCTTTGCGGTCACACTCAGTGGAAATCCTTAAAGCACCTAAACCGGGCTGTTTTTACACCAGCGCGGAAGAGCGGTTGGGGAGTTTCATACAGCGAGGTCACCAGAAAGGCCGGAGGACAGCAGGGCCGGCAGCTAGCAGAGGGAATGCGCAGGCACCACTGTCTTGCAGGGGAAAATGGGGCAGATGGGGCTGGCTAGAGCCAGGCAGTGCCCCCTTGGGCCTTTATGGGCAGGGGAATGTGCGGTGCCCCCTCCCACCCCTGCTGCAGGAGAGAGGACATGCAGGATGAACGTGTGCACGGCGAGGGGTGGTGGCTGCCCGAGCCAGCCCGCGGATGAATCGGTGGACTTGTGTCGAGTGGATGGTGGACGGGCAGATGGGTGGACCAGGGGAGGGGCGTGTGGGTAGGTGGAGGTCTGCGAGTGCACATGGATGGGCATAAACAGGAGGTCACTGACTGGGTGGTTGGGGATGTGGGAGAATGTGTGGATGTGGGGGCTAGACACTGATGGGTGATTGGAGAGGTGCTGGATGGATTGGAGAGGTGCTGGTCGGGTGCTGGATGGATTCGTGGCTGCACAGGGGATGGAGTATAGACAGGTGAGTGGAGGATGGGTGATGCTTGGAGGGGCTCTTAGTTAAGCACGAAGGTCCATAGCTGGGCAGGTGACCACAGGGACAGGAACGGAAGGGAGTCAGTGGGGAAGGAGACCACCACCAACAAGCATGCCTGCTTCACAGACCCACAGCGAGGACGGTGTGCCAGAGATAGAACCTTCTAGACTGCAGCTGTTACACCCCCCTGGGATGTTCTGGGAAAGTCATTATCCACCCTGGGACTCACATAGCCTGTAGGGAAAGTGATGGTGTGTTTTATCATCAGTAGGCACTCGCAGGTGAAACAGAATTAAACATACAGAATTGATTATAGTCAGTCAATTCCAGGCGAAGTCGCTTCCAGTGACCCTGAGGGAAGAATGTTTTCTTTTGGTCATTGTCCCTGGGCCTGGCTTGAAGGACCCTCTGTCTCTGACCCACAGGAGTGGCTGGTTCCCTGAGGCCTATGTGAAGGCTCTGGAGGAGGGGCCCATGAATCCTATGAGCGCCATGACCCCCATGACCTCCATGACCCCCATGATGCCCATGAAGCCCATGAACCCCGTGAACGAGCTGCCTTCCAGGTACCTGAGTCATCAGCAGTGGGGTGGGGGTGAGGACTCCGGTGAGGGTGTCACTGCCCAGCTGGGAGGATCTACAAGGTGCATTCTCAGTTTTGTTTTTGTTTTTGTTTGAGGAGTCTTGCCCTGTCACCTAGGCTGGAGTGCCGTGGTGCGATCTCGGCTCACTTCAACCTCCACCTCCCAAGTTCAAGCCATTCTCCTGCCTCAGCATCCTGAGTAGCTGGGACTATCGGCGCCCACCACCACGCCCAGCCAATATTTGTATTTTTATTAGAGATGAGGTTTCACCATGTTGGCCAGGCTAGTCTTGAACTCCTGACCTCAGATGATCCACCTGCCCCAGCCTCCCAAAGTGCTAGGATTACAGGTGTGAGTCACCTCACCCAGGTGGCAAGGTGCAGTCTTGAGCAGGCCCAGCCCCCTTCAGCCCCTGGAAAACCACCATGCTGAGGCCCCTCTCTCTGCACAGAAGGTCACTGTGTCCATCCCTCTGCCTCCTGTCAGTACCTTCCTCCAGGCCACAGTCTCCTTTCACGCAGCTGCCGGGAGGAAGCTGTTGGATGCCTCCTCCCTAAGGTGCCCCAGCCACTGGCAGGACAAGGGATTGGCCAGGCCTGCCCCAACCCCTTTCCCTCCCTCCCCTCCTGTCTCTGGACTTAGATCCTACCCACTCCGGGGCAGCCACAGCCTCGACGACCTCCTGGACCGGCCAGGCAACTCCACAGCACCCTCGGAGTACTGGGATGGTCAGTCCCGCTCCCGCACCCCAAGCCGGGTGCCGAGCCGTGCCCCCAGCCCTGTACCTCCACCCTTGCCCAGCAGCCGCCGCAGCAGCATGGGCAGTACGGGGGTGGCCACTGATGTCAAGGTGAGCCCTCGCCCACCCTCTCCTGGGGCCTCCAGCGGGCAGGGAGGCAGGAGAGCAGGAACCCCGAGGCTGTCACTGGGTGTCTGGCAGGGGACCCGCGTGCCTGGCTTTAGTCTGTTCCTCAGTGCAGGGAGGGTGTTGAGGGGCTGAGTCTGGGCTGGAGGGGAAGACCAGGGTGTCAGGGCAGCGTGTGGGCTGGGGCTGGCCGGTAGGACGGGGCTGGGGGAGGCCAGGGAGAGCATCTCTCATGGAGTCCTCCGAGGTGGTGCTCTGGCCCAGGGATTTCTCAGATCTGCAACCCACAGATTTCTGGGCTTCAGAACCTTAGGGTCTCATTTCCCAAGAACCTGGCATAGCAGGGACTCTCTGGCCCTGTCCTCTGCCCTATGGGCATTGGGATTGGGAAGGGAGGAGCATGGAATTGCTTGCCCTTTTCCCCACCAAACTAGCCCTTCCCCACCCCCACTGCAGAAACTGATGTCCTCAGAGCAGTACCCGCCACAGGAGCTCTTCCCCAGGTGAGTCCTCAAATGGGTCAGAACAGTGGCGATGGGGGTGGCAGGTGTGGCAGCACACACTTGTAATCCCAGCTACTAGGGAGACTGAGGTGGGAGGATCTTTTGACTCCAACAGTTCAAGGCCAGCTTGGGCAACACAGTGAGACCCCATCTCTCAAAAAAGAAAAAGAAGAAGATGAAATGGGGCAAGGCCTGGGTGGAGACGGAATAGGGGCAGGAGGCAGGACCTGGCACAGCCAGGTGGGGATCATCCGCTCCTCTCATCCCCATTCTCTCCTCCGACAGGGGCACAAATCCTTTTGCCACCGTCAAGCTTCGCCCCACCATCACCAATGACCGCTCAGCGCCCCTCATCCGCTGAGGTGGGGTCTGAGGTCTTGCCCCCCAGGACACCTGCCCGGGGACTGTTCGGAGTGGCAGCCACGGCAGCAGCAGCAGTGGCTACAAGAAATGGGGCGCTGAAACCAGAGATGGCTGCCCTTCCCCAGAGCACCCCGGCAGCCCGAGCAGCTCCGAAGCACTGGCCTGGGGTCAGAGACCTTCAAAGTAAAGCCGGCGGAATGGGGGGATAGGACAATTTCTTTCCCTCCAGGGGCTCCAGGACTCTCCCTGGGAGACCTATTTCTTGCCCCCCAGCATCTTTCCCCCTTTTTTGCCCCCATGGGGAGGAGCCCCTTGTACCCTCTCCGTGCCCCACACATGCCCTCTCTGTATGGATGTCTTTTGTAAATGATGAAAAATAAAGGAAGTGGATGCAGCTGCAGGATTGGTGGTGTCTTATTTGGGGGATGGGGCAGGGGTGAGGGATGGAGACTCCCCCATTGGAAAATGGGGTCCAGAGAGTACTGAGCTTTTGGCTGTTCCCCGGGAGGCCGTCTCACTCCCAGCCCCTCGTTTGGAAAACTCTTTAGGGTGACCTCAAAGCCCTCGAGCTGCAGCCCCCATCTCCACGGCTCATGTCTGCGTGTGGGTTTCCTAGGAAGTAGTGGCTGCTCGGGTCAAGGAAGGGGTGGCAGTGGCCGAGGGCTGGGACCACCAGCAAGCTGCCCTCGGGCAGCCTGGACACAGCACCCTTTGTTCTGCCCCCTCCCCCCACAACATTCCCAGGCACAGGCGTGGATTAGCTTCGTCCTGGAGAAAGCTGCCGGCCCCTCCTGGAATGTGGCCTGCAGGGGTGGGGGCAGATGAGGCACTGAGGTGATTAGACCTGCTTGGGTCTCTCCAGGACAGGGCTGTGCCCCCAGCACCAGACTGGGACTCCCTGGGCAGGGTCTCTGTGTCCCCCACCCCAGGCTCCAGGAGGCGGGGGGCTCTCTTCTTGCCTCCTGGACTGGCTGGGGACAGAGAGCCCACCGCAGAGGCCCACCCTGGCCTGGGGCTCCCAGTCTCTTCTCTCCTCCTGGACAAAAGCCTCTTAGCAGGGGTGGGGTGTGGAGGGAGCACACAGGCTAAGCCCCAGGCCTAGGGGAGGGAGCGTCAGGCGGGAGTCAGCCAGAGGCTCAGCCCAGGCTGGTGGGAAGCTGGGGCGTCTGCAGCCCCCATCCGGGTAAGCTTCACGGGGAGCCTTGACGGTGGCCCCTCCCTGCAGGCCTCAGGAGATGTGAGGCTGGAGCCCCCCCAAACCCACAAGGCAGGCTCAGGTGAGTGTGGGGTGAGGGCTGCCTGGGATGACCCTCCTGTCTCCACATTCGAGTGGCTGCCCCTTTGACAAGAGGCCAACAGGCAGGAAAAGCCAAAAGCAGGTCCTAGTGAAGGAGGGACAGAGTTCGGGATACCCTGGGGGTGGGTGGCACTGCTTAGTGCCAGGAGGGACACTCCAGGCAGGAGGGGAGGAGGCTATTGCCAGCCCCGAGCTCCCGGTGCACCTGTCTCTGAGTCCACCCTCCTCATCCGTTACGGAGGCGCTTGTAGCCACTTCGAGAGTCCTGGGTGGAGCCCCAGGAATGAGACAGGCTTTGGAGCCATTCTCTGTACACGGAAGGGCTGAGGTTTGGAGGACAGGCCTCTCTCTCAGTGCTCCTAAGGGCCACACCTGTCTGGCAGAAGCCAGAGACTTGACCCCTTTCCCCCAAGATTCCCAGCTGGCCTGGGAGTGATCAATCACCCATCTTACATCAGAGAAAACTGAGGTTCGGAGAGGGGAGGGGACCGGCCCAAGTCACGAGCGAATCCGTGGCTGAGCCGGGATGCATGGGAACTCAGCTCCCCTGGCTGATATCTGCTGAAGGTGGCTTTTGTCCCCTTAGTGTTCTAATGACAATAGTCATTTCTGATCACGGAGAAACAGGAACATGATGCAAGGCTAAAGAGGAAACACTCCACGCACACTGGCCCTTTCCAGAGGCATCTGGCTCTCTGTGTTTCTTCCGTTATACCGGAGACCCTCTGGCGTACAGGGCAACTTGGGCGCTGGACACCCACCTCCAGGCACGCACCTGCCGCCCGAATCTCCGATTCCCACCTCCAGGCACGCACCTGCCGCCCGAATCTCTGATTCCCACCTCCAGGCACACACCTGCCGCGGGAATCTCCCGACTCCCACCTCCACGCACACAGCTGCCGCCCGAATCTCCGATTCCCCACGCCTTCCACCTGAGGTCCCGAGCAGCGTTCCCCAGCGGGAGCCTGTCCGAGGTGCAGAGTCAGGTGGGCCTCATCGTTCTCCCCTTGTCCTTCAGCGTCCTTTGCAGGAGAAGGAGACTTGAGGTAAGAGTCCTACCTTCGTTTCCCCTTTTGGTTCCATGACCTGAGCCACGCTCACATGGGTAGCCCTGTGCCTCAGTTTCCCCATATACGTCTTCATCCCCCTCCTTCTCTGGGCTTCCGGCCCAGCCACTCCCTCTTGTCCCTGCCCCCTCCCAACAGAGGCAGCGATGGGCGCTGGTGGCCCCCGGCGGGGCGAGGGCCCTCCAGACGGCGGCTGGGGCTGGGTGGTGCTGGGTGCCTGCTTCGTGGTCACTGGCTTCGCCTACGGCTTCCCCAAAGCCGTCAGCGTCTTCTTCCGCGCGCTCATGCGTGACTTCGGCGCCGGCTACAGCGACACGGCCTGGGTGTCCTCCATCATGCTGGCCATGCTCTACGGCACGGGTCAGTGTCCCCGCCCTGCCCTCCGCCTCCCTGGTGTCCGGAACCAGGAGACACCCAACCCCCTGAGCATCCCCCTGACCCTCGGGGCGGCCTCGGAAATCCCTTCCTTCCTGTGGAAACCCTGGCGTCAGAAAAAGGGGAAGGGAGGGCGGTAGGGGAACAGCGGCCAGAGGCGGGACCGGCCCTGGGGGCTGCCCTGAGAGCTCAGAGGACCCCTTCTGAGACCCACCCGCCGATTGTAGAGGTGGGGAAACTGAGGGCTACAGAAACACCCGTCCTCCCCGCAGCCCTGACCACCTGTAAGTGGGGGCTTGCTGGAGTTCCCATCCTGGGCGGCGGGGCTGCGGGGGAATCCCAGGCTGTGCCTGGGCGCGACTTGGAGGCTGTGAAGGTTAAAGGGGTGTGGAAGCCACCCCTCTGCTTGGGGTCTGGGTTCTCAGGAGTGATGGAGATGGGGTGCTCTGGCCAGGACATCTCCTTGCCCTCGCAGGGTGCTGTCCCTTTGGCCTGTCCCCTCCAAGCTGTGTGACCTTGGCCAGACAATTCCCTCCTCTCTGGATCTCTGAGCCAGAGGTGACCTTATTTCTTAGCGGACTCAAGCCATCCCAGGGCTCGGGTGGTGACCCTGCCCTGCCCACAGGCCCCGTGTCCAGCATCCTCGTGACTCGCTTTGGCTGTCGCCCGGTGATGCTAGTGGGTGGGCTGCTGGCTTCCGCGGGCATGATCCTAGCTTCCTTCGCCACGCGCCTCCTGGAGCTCTACCTGACCGCTGGGGTGCTCACAGGTGAGGGCCCCCTGGTCTTCTCCCCGCGGGGTTGGGGGTCGGGGTGCTTGCTGCAGGATCTGTCCTCGGTTGCCCCACGAGGGACGGTCTTCGAAGTCCCTCGGCTGGGTTCCCGGGTCTGCTGGGTTCTCGGTCTGCCGGGCTCCCGGGTCTGCCCGCCCCGTCGGGGCCTGGCCCCTCCCTCCTGCGGGGGCCGGGGAGGGGCTCCCCGGGGACCCCGGCACAGCGCCGCCTCGCCCGCAGGCTTGGGCCTGGCCCTCAACTTCCAGCCGTCGCTCATCATGCTGGGGCTGTACTTCGAGCGGCGGCGGCCCCTGGCCAACGGCCTGGCGGCGGCGGGCAGCCCCGTCTTCCTGTCCGCGCTGTCGCCACTCGGCCAGCAGCTGCTGGAGCGCTTCGGCTGGCGCGGCGGCTTCTTGCTGCTCGGCGGGCTCCTGCTGCACTGCTGCGCCTGCGGCGCTGTCATGAGGCCGCCCGGGCCGGGCCCGCGACCGCGCAGGGACAGCGCCGGCGACCGCGCGGGGGACGCTCCGGGCGAGGCCGAGGCAGACGGCGCGGGGCTGCAGCTGCGCGAGGCGCCCCCCAGGGCCCGGCCCCGCCGGCGCCTGCTGGACGTGGCGGTGTGCACCGACCGCGCCTTCGCCGTGTACGCCGTCACCAAGTTCCTGATGGCGCTCGGGCTGTTCGTCCCCGCCATCCTGCTGGTGAACTACGCCAAGGACGCGGGCGTGCCCGACACCGACGCCGCCTTCCTGCTGTCCATCGTGGGCTTCGTGGACATCGTCGCGCGGCCGGCGTGCGGCGCCCTGGCGGGCCTGGCGCGTCTGCGACCGCACGTCCCGTATCTCTTCAGCCTGGCCCTGCTGGCCAACGGGCTCACGGACCTGAGCAGCGCGCGCGCGCGCTCCTATGGCGCCCTCGTTGCTTTCTGCGTCGCCTTCGGTCTGTCCTACGGCATGGTGGGCGCGCTGCAGTTCGAGGTGCTCATGGCGGCTGTGGGCGCGCCCCGCTTCCCCAGTGCGCTGGGCCTGGTGTTGCTCCTGGAGGCCGTGGCGGTGCTCATCGGACCGCCCTCTGCCGGTGCGCCCCGAAGGAGGAGGGGGTGGCGAAGCCTAGTGTCCCTTAGACGGAAGGAAGCTTCCTCCCTGTCTCAGATGGAACTTCCAGGGATGAGGGGACGGGGCGGCCGGTGGGTGGACTCCCTGGCCAGATAGTTCCTTTTCCAAGCCAGACCACCTGCTCTGGGTGAGGCCAGAAAAGCAAAGGAGGGTGCAGGGAAGAAAGCAACACTGATACTGGCCGGGTCCGCCATCCCAAGCAGTTGGCACAAGGCCGTCTGAAGTGCAGGTGCTTAATCTCGTTGCAAATGAGGAAACTGAGGCACAGAGTCTTAGCATAAGTCTCAGTCCCAGAATGAGAGCCTCAGTGTGCCTGGTGCTAAATGCCCATGCTTTTAGAATGCAGCATCTGGGTGCTTTAGTTTCCCCGGCCTCCAAGGGCGACTGGAATGGGGACAACATCTTTGGGAAACCCCAGAGTGGGGGTGCTCAGTGGGCAGATGGGAAGAAGGAGAGGTGCTGGTGTCTTTCACTGTGCAGACGGTCTGCTGGCATGTCACTGTCACCCTTACAAAGTCATCATTATGAGGGTGGTCAGGGAGGGCTTCCTGGAAGATCCTCCAGGTAAAGGCACAGCATGGACAGGCAGGGTTTGGGGAACAGCGTCCTTATGCAAGCAAGGCAGGAACCAAAGTTGGAAAGGTGGGAGTGGGGGACACGAGGGTCTTCCTGGGTTGTCAGGTTACCTTGAAACAGCAGGAAGCCTGCCCTTGAGTCCCAGAGGCCAGAGGGCTGTGGGATGGGACAGTGAAGTGGGGTCGCCCTGCGGGGGGTCCCAGGCTGCGCTGAGTTGGGATGAGCTGCCTGTCCTTTCTCCAGGGCTGGGCTAGCTGAGTGCCCTCCCAGAGCTCTGTCCAGTGAGAAGGGCAAAGCCCCTGAGTCAGTGTGTGGGTAGCCCACAAAACCAGCTGCCCAGGACTCGAGAAATTGTCTTCCATTACTTGTGTGAATCCGGTGGAATGGGGAAAATCTCTGCAATTAACAGATTTTCCTAGTGGCTCATGCTTGCAATCCCAACACTTTGGGAAGCTAAGGCAGGAGGATCACTTGAGGCCAGGAGTTTGAGACTAGACAGGGCATTATGGGAAACTCCTGTCTCTACCAAACCAAACAAAACAAAAATCAGCTGGGCGTGGTTGTATGCACCTGCAACTGAAGTGGGAGGATGGCCTGAGCCCAGGAGGTGGAGGTTGCAGTGAGCCAAGAATGCACCACTATACTCTAGCCTGGGCAATGGAGCAAAACCCTATCTCAAAAGAATAAAAAATTCCAGGGCCAGGTGTGGTGGCTCACACCTGTAATCCTAGCACTTTGGGAGGCTGAGGTGGGAGGACTGCCTGAGTTCACAACCAGCCTGGGCAACATGGTGAAACCCCGTTTTGTACTAAAATACAAAAAATTAGCCAGGCATGGTGGCCTGTGCCTGTAGTCCCAGCTACTTGAGAGGCTGAGGCAGAATTGCTTGAACCCCTGAGGTGGAGGTTGCAGTGAGCCAAGATCACGCCACTGTACTTAAGCCTGGGGACAGAGTGAGACTCTGTCTCAAAAAAAAAAAAAAAAAAAAAAGAATAAAAAATTCCTGTGGCCAGGTGCAGTGGCTTACACCCATAATCTCAGCACTTTGAGAGGCCAAGTCAGGGGGATCCCTTGACCTCAGGAGTTCAAGACTGGCCTGGGCAACATAGCAAAACCCCATCTCTAAAAAACATAGTAAAAGAGAGAAGACTTTCTTGAGTATGAAAGTAGTATGTGCAAGTGATAGAAGCCTCAAGAAATAGAGAAGGAAACGAGTCGCTAGCCCACAGCCCTGCCTGTGCTGACGATAGCTCGGTCTGGGGTGCTCATGGGCCTCCTGGGACAGAGGGGTGGGAGGATTCAGCTAAGTCCCTGAGGACCAGGAGGTTTCCATGGAAACAGCAAGAGGTGGAGGCCCCCAGGAGGGCAGAGCTAAGCCCAGGGCCCCCTCCCTGCTCCCACCCCAGATGCCCCACTGCCAAGCAAATCACAGGCCACTATTTTGGTGAGGCATCCCCTCAGCCCTCTGATTAGCCAGGTATGGTGGCATGTATCTGTAGTCCCAGCTATTCAGGAGGCTGAGGCAGAAGAATCACGTGAACCTGGGAAGGGGAGGTTGTAGTGAGCCGAGGTGGCACCTGTCTCAAAAAAAAAAAAAAAAAAAAAAAAGACACGAAATCTATTTCCTCTACGCATTTATCCTCCTCTGCTGGCATGTCACACCTCCTCATTTTTTTTTTTTTTTTTTTTTTTTTTTTTTGAGACTGAGTCTTGCTCTGCTGCCCAGGCTAGAGTGCAGTGTCGCGATCTTGGCTCACTGCAACCTCCACCTCCCTGGTGCAAGTCATTCTTCTGCCCCAGCCTCCATAGTGGCTGGGGCTACAGGTGCGTGCCACTACACCTGGCGAATCAGAGGGTGGAGGGGACGCCTCACCAAAAGCCCCGTATCACTTAGGCAATTGAGGTGCAGGAAGAGCAAGTGACATTTTTCAGGTTTCAAATGGCAAAATCCACAGAGGTTTTACATCTGTAAGACAGGAATAAAGAGTGGGCATGTGTGTGTCACCATGAGCCTCCCAAGTCAGTGGCACCACCCTTGACCTGAGAGTGCAGGAAGTGAGGAGGGACCCCACAGGCTCTTACCTCTGCCTCCCCTCCCCTCCCCAGGCCGCCTGGTGGATGCATTGAAGAACTACGAGGTCATTTTCTACTTGGCGGGCTCTGAGGTGGCCCTGGCTGGGGTCTTCATGGCTGTCGCCACCAACTGCTGCCTGCGTTGTGCTAAAGCTGCCCCGTCAGGCCCAGGCACTGAGGACGCTGAGGCGGAAGGGGACTCTGAGCCCCTGCCTGCCGTCGAGGAGGAACCCAGCAACCTGGAGACCCCAGGGGAGCTGAGCCCTCGGGGTGGGCCTATGGAACCAGAGGTGGAGGCAGGGCCAAGGCTGGCAGCCGAGTCTGTGTAATTCAGGGTGCACTGGGTGGTGCGGCCCAGTGACTTGGGAATGTGGCCTCCTGCCTCAGAGGGCCTGGTATGCTGGGGGGCTGGCCTGGGGTGGTCACTCCCGGGGTCCACGTCTGGGCTCTAGTTGATTCCCTGGGTGTCTGGGAACTGCCTCCCTCATGTGTTCCGCAAGCCCGCCAGGCCCCACCCCATCACCTGTGAAGCCGCTACGGAGCAAAAGGACACTGTTGATAAAGCTCAGTTGAACAGAAGGTTCTGTTCCTGCGCCTCTGCCCGGGATCCGGCTGTCACCTGTGTTGGGGGCAGGGAGGTGGGAGGGAGTCTGGGAGGTTCTCTCTCCAGGGCCCCTAGGCTGGCTTCTAGGTGGGCAGGGTTGGGAGGAAGCGTCAGAGATGGATGAAGAGAGACCCACTATTCCCAGGTGTAGAGACAGCTGGGTGGGCGCGGGGCTGGGTGGGCACAGGGCTCAGGGATACTGAGCCCAGCCCCACTGCTCAAAGCTGTCTGCTGAAGCCTCCCTTGCTGGCATCTGCTGTTCCCCGTGGAAGGGATGAGGGGTTGGGCGCAACTAGGGCTCAAGGTTAGGGGCTGCTTGCAGGCGGTGGGGGATGGCGCGCAGTCTAAGGATCAGGGTCGGTTTGAATCCCAGCCTGGCTGCTTTCTCTGCTCACTGGAGGCTGAGCACACGACTCCACCCCCAGGGGTCCTGGGGAGGGTGGGGCCAGGCACTCAGTAACAGCATGGGCCCTGCTGCCTTCCACAAGGTGGCCATCCCTCACCTTCCCAGAAGGCATCTGTCCCCCTAGAGGATAAACCTGGGTATCCAGGGCAATGGGCTTTTGCTCTAGACACTGTGCTAGCAGCCTGGTGGTCATCTGCTGACCCTGGCACCTGCCTTCTCCCCACGGAGTGTCCCAGGGTCTCCCTCGTGCTTTGACATCTGACCTGCACTTGGGTCCAGATGCACGAATCTGGCCAGACAAGATCTACTCCCTCTTTGTATTTATCCTCCTCCCATGTATCACACTCCCTCTTTTTTGGGGGGGAGGGGGTGGGGGGCAGAATCTCGCTCTGTCGCCCAGGCTGGAGTGCAGTCGTGCAATCTCAGCTCATTGCAACCTCTGCCTCCTATAGGTTCAAGCGATTCTCCTGCCTCAGCCTCCCAAGTAGCCGGGATTACAGGTGCCCATCACCACGCCTGGTTAATTTTTGTATTTTTAGTAGAGATGGGGTTTCATCATATTGGCCAGGCTGGTCTCAAACTTCTGACCTCGTGATCTACTCACCTCGGCCTCCCAAAGTGCTGGAATTACAAGCGTGAGTCACCACACCCAGCCCACACCCCCTTTCTTTGCCTCCCTTCAAATCATGAGTGTGAACAGGCCCCTGCAGAGGAAGCTGCCTTCCCTCTGTAAACTCCCCCGACCTTCCAGCCCAGCCCACAATGACCCCTCCCCACTGGTCCCTACAGGCCCTCATTTTCCATTCGGGCCCCAGGAAGGTCTGGGGAGCCCGGTAGATGCCTGGCTGGCTTCTGCTTATACTGCCTGGGGCTTCCTCTGCGTCACTAGAGCAGCGACTGTGTTTGACTTTATTTAGCCAACACTTAAGAGCGCTTGCTCTGTGCCAAGCCCTGTTTCTAAGCCCTCTCCAGATGTTCACTTAATCCTCCTAACAAGCCAGAGGTAGGTGCCATCCTTCAGATAGGGAAACTGAGGCCCAGGGAGGTCAGGAACCCAGGCTGTCAGTTCCAGCCTGTGCCCTCGACCTCTACTCTGGCTGTCCCCTTCTGGGAGGGGACCCAGGTGGGCCTCTGGTGACAGCCAGCCTTTCCTCCATGTGCCACCCCTGCTGAGCCTCCCATTCGGGTTTCTATCCAGCACTGCATGCTCAAAGCTGATGCAGAACCCTTCTTCCATCCTGGACCCAGCCCACCTGGCACACCCTCTTGCCCCCCTCCCATTCTCAGGATGTCCGTATTCATCATCCAAACAGGGACACGTTAGAGTGACGAGGGCCGCTATGTCTGATCACACCAGGCCTGGGGCTGGCAAGGAGCAGCAGAAGCGGCTGCCCTGTTTCTGCACACTCCTCAAGCGCCTCCCACAGCCCCTTGGGAAAACAGGCACACTTGGAGTCGGCACCTGCCCCTTACTGCCTCCCCCACTTAGGGGCTCAGTCACCCTGACTTAATGTCTGCCCTCCCCTTCCCCAAAGAAAGGTTTATTTCCTGTCGGACGCACAGAAAGGTCACAGATTGCTGGGGGTCGGGGGAGCGGATACAAAAGGCTCCACAAAGCAGAAAGCTTTGGAGGCAGGTGGGAAAGTCAGGCTTTCAGAACACATCTGAGTTAAGTCCCACTGTGTCTGGGTCCCGACACACAGTGTGGCCTTGGGCAAAATGTTTCTCTGTGCCTCAAACCCCAGCTGTAGGGGGACCAGTTCTAGCCGTGCAGCACTTTGGTGAGGCATAAATGACGCATAGCAAGGGCGCTGTCAATAGACTAGGGGGTGGGTGGATGAGGAGGGTCTGAAGCACCATCCAGGTTTGTGTTTATTCAATACAGGCCCAGAGCCCAGCCCTCCTCCAGAGAAGTGGCCAAGCTGGGGGAACAGAATAAATAAAGGCCACGGAGGTGTGATGGGGACAGGCCGGTCTGGGGCGAGGCGAGGGTGTCCAGGTGACATCAGCCCCAGCCCCTGCTGTCCACCCCATGCCTCGCTCCCGGCAGGCTCCGGGGGCGGTGCGGGTGCCCACAAGGGCCAGGGCCCGGACTCCTGCCGCCTCCAAGCGCTTTTCCTTCCTGCCCTCCCTCTCCTTCCTAAGGCAGGTCCAGAGACCAAGCTCTCCCTCTGGCTGGGGAGGAAAGGGGGGGGGCGGCCAGTGTCCAGGTCCCAGGCCATGACCCTGGTGCCTGTCCTGGCCAAGAGCCCAGGTTCGCTGTGCGAGGACAGAGGAAAGGGAGGCAGGCGCCCCAAGCCAGCAGGCCTTTATGCGACGCCCCCGGAGCAGCAGCCCCGACTGGCTCCCAGGCTCCACCCTCCCACACACCCTGCCCCCGGCACTACATCCATCCTCGGGGCACTCGGGAGTCACGCCAGCTTCCACCCTTGTCCAGGGGCCCAGCAGCCCCTCATGCATCCCTGGCCGGCTCCCCAGCAGCCGTGTCCTCCTCCTCCTCCTCCTCCTCCCCGTCGGTGAACTCCTCCTGGTTGAGGCCATAGGCCAGGGTGGTGTGCGCCAGGTCCACCTCGATGGGGAAGACGTCGGCATCGCGAAGCACCGCGTAGCAGTCGTTGTAGTACTTGGACATGGTGGACACGAGGCGCTGCAGCTGGAACACGATGTCCTGGACTGGGGCGGGAGGTTGGGGCACAGGCACCGGTCGGCTCTGGCTGCCCGCCTCAGGAAGGAGGACACTCTCCCAGCCCGCACGGCCCACCTCTCGCCTCCCCTGTGCTTCCTACTCTGGTACTTCCCTGGCCCCTCATGCCCTGGCAAGGGGCGGAGGCAGGGGCCGCCCAGCCCGGAAGAACCCAGGCCTCCTAGCTCCCAGTTCAGGGAACGAAGAAGGCTGCAGGGGAAATGGATCATGGACCGCAGCCTGCAGAGCCCACATGGCACAGGCCAGCCCCACCCAGGCCGGGCTCCGGGCTCCGGGCAGGTGGCTGGGCTCCTGCAGGGGCTTTACATCTGGGCCGTGGTCTGGCCCTGAGGCCTCAGGTGAGTACCTTGCCCCTCTGGGCCTCAGTTTTCCCACCTCTGAAATGGAGAGCGGACGGAGTGCGGAAGGGCGGTGCTCACCGTGCTTCTGGTCCAGCAGCTCCATCTTCTCGAGCACGTCCTTGCGCATCTGGGAGAAGCGGGCGCGAGCCTCCTGGCGGCAGCGCAGGATCAGACGGTACTCGTAGTTGCCAGTGCTCACCCGGTAAAGCGGCTCGCCTAGGGCCTGGAGTGGGGGTGGGACAGGAGGGTCTGCTCAGGGACAGCCTCACACCAGAACCAAACCACCCTTTCAAAGCCACGGTGGTTCCCGAGACCTCACTTCTGAGATTTCAGCGTTCCTTAGAAGCGCTCAGGGATAGCTTTGGAGAGAGGAAAAAGCAACAAAACCCAAACCTTTGCCACATTAAATAAACATTGGCCACGAGATGGATCCCGACAGCAAAACCATCAAAAACTGCCAAGTGCAGTGGCTCACGCCTGTAATCCCAGCACTTTGGGAGGCTGAGACAGACGAATCACGAGGTCAGGAGTTTGAGACCAGCCTGACCAACCCGTCTCTACTAAAAATACAAAAATTAGCCGAGTGTGGTGGTGCACACCTGTAATCCTGGCTACTCAGGAGGTTGAGGCAGGAGAATCGCTTGAACCCAGAGGCAGAGGTTGCAGTGAGCTGAGATCGAGCCGAGATAGCACCACTGCACTCCAGCCTGGGCGATGAAGCAAGACTTCATCTCAAAAAAAAAAAAAAAAAAAATCAGAAACTTAAAAGTGCCTTGTAGGAGTGAAGAATATCTGTTTTTCGCTCCAAGAGCCTCACAGACTCTGAAGGGCAGTGTCCTGGGACAGGCAGAGGGAGTAGTTCCATGCCAGGTGGCCAGCACCTTGAGGCTCAGAGGGACTGGGGAGGATGGCCCCAAATCTCCAGGAACAAGAGTCCAGCCAAGTGGCAAAGGTTTGGGTTTCTCCCAGGTTGGCCCGAGCCACCTGCTATCTCTGGCAGACCAGGGGCCCCTCCCTCCAGTACTCACGATGCAGCTGTATTCCTCGTCATCCATCTCCTTCACCTTCAGGCAGTACGACTGTGTGGGACAGGTGAGGTGTCAGAGTGACTACCCCTACCCCACGTCCCCAGCTCCACCCCGATCACCCACATGAATCCAGGGAGGCTGGCAAAGGTGCTCAGGGAGGCCCAGAGAGGGCAGCAGCAGGCAACTGAGGTATGAGGCTGGGGGATGGCCAGGGCCTGAGGCTTCGGTGGCCCAGAGTTTACCAAACTCAAGGCCCAAGAGATGCTATGGGAAAAAAGGGGTCTGTGGTCAAAGGAGCTTAGGAAGACCCTTGAAATTCACACTGTGCATGGGCCTATCAAAGGCTCCGATAAGTCCTGCGGCAAAGGAACGTTGGCTTGCTTAATGGAGGATTTTCTCTCAATTCCTCTTCCTTTGACCATACGATTATTATTATTACTTTTTTTTTTTTTTTCTTTTTGAGATGGAGTCTTGCTCTGTCGCCCAGGCTGGAGTGCAGTGCCTCGATCTTGGCTCACTGCAACCTCTGCCTCCTGGGTTCAAACGATTCTCCTGCCTCAGCCTCTGGAGTAGCTGGGACAACAGGTGCCCACCACCACACCCGGCTAATTTTTATATTTTTAGTAGAGATGGGGTTTCACCATGTTGGTCAGGCTGGACTTGAACTCCTGACCTCAAGTGATCCACCCACCTCAGCCTCCCAAAGTGCTAGGATTACAGGGGTGAGCCACCCTGCCCAGCTGACCACAGAATTATTAAATGTAAAACTCACAAAGGTTCACTGGCACCCGCTTTACACTCACTCACCTAGTCTAACCCATTGTTTAAAGGCAATACACAAATCCCAAGGGGTCAGCATGCACAGAGCAAGAGCTGTGCCCACCCAGGCTCTCTGACACTTCTTTGCAGGTGGCAGCAGGGCTTCGGCTGCACCTCCCCAGGCCCCTGGTCCCATACCGCGAGCGGACATGCCGTATGTTCTGGCCAGCCTTGCTTGCCGAGACGTGGCTGATGGCAAAGGGCAGCTCTCCAAGGTGGGTGCTCACTCCAACGGCTCACGCGCCTGGACTACTCACCAGGTACTCAAACTTCACGTCCAGGTACTTCTTGATGGTGAGGCGAGTGTCCGGGATGGCTTTGTTGAGGTACGTGTTCAGGTCTGTCAGCATCTGAAAGAGGGTGGGTGGATGCTGAGGCCCTCACAGTGGCGGGTGCCAGGGTGACAATAAACATCAGTGATGTGTCACCCCTTCTGGTGGACTTGACTGTCAGAGCCAGACGGTCCCCCCCCCCCCCGATGCCTTCTCCCTCCCAAGGATGAGAAGACTAGTGCCAGGCCCAGGGCAGGCTGTGACTCAGTGGCGAGCCAGGGTCAGAAGCCAGCCCAGAGGTCAATGCCAAGGCCCAAGGAGGCGCAGGGACTCACCCACAGTCCACTGTGCGGGTGACTGTGCCAGAGACTGCGCCCAGGCATTTGGACTCCAGCACAGGTCCCTCTGTCTGCCACACTGTCCCCTCCCTACCCTCACATGCCAAACGCACACGTAATCAACAGGACCTACCGGCTTGATGGTTTTCAGAAGCCGAATGCCAAACTTCTCGATGCTGCGGTGGGCATCGGCAAACTTCACGAAAGCCTCGCTCGCGGCTGGCTGGGGCTCCCGCACCCCGATCACGGAGAACACATCCCCAAAGGCTGCGTGACAAGTCTCCCTTGAAGGATGCCCCTACCTGACCTCCTAATGGAGAACCAGGGGTTTTGGGGGAGAAGCAGGGCAGGGGGCCTGGCAGGCTGGAGGCCAGTGTCTGCACGGGGTCTACACCTTCAAGAGAGCTGGTCTAAACTCCCTGAAGGAGCTGAGTCTACACCCAGAGGCAACTGGATTGACACCTCCAACAGCTGGTCTATGCCCCTAACGTCCTGCATGTACACACCAAGGGAGTTGACCCTCATTCCCCGAGGGACGAGTGAGGGAAGCTGGGTCAGGACTTGAGGCAGTGGCTCTGCCTGAGACAGAGCACTGGTCTGAGTGGAGATACCTGGGTTCTAACACCAGCTCCACCCCTTGGGAGCGGTGTGGCCCTTTCCTCTGTCTAAGCTTCATTTTCTGCAGTAACTGGGGTCAGCTGCAGCTGGCCTGCCCAGAGCCACAGGATTGTCAGAAATATAAATCAGCAAGGGCCTGTGCACTGCCAGTGGCAGTGAGGAGACAGGGTGGTGCCTGGATGTCCATGGTTGCAGCCCTTAGGAGGCCAGCTGATCCAGATGCTCCCCGCAGGCCCCCATCGCTACATCCCAGCACCTGGGACCAGGACCAGCCCAAAGCTGGCCTGAGGTCAGGCGCTGTGGGTCTGACCCACCTCAGCATGCATGTGAGAGGCCCCAGGGATTGCCCAGGGTCATGCCGCAGGTTTGGGGGATGCCATTACCCCGGTGAGTCTGCGACAGCTCATAAAAGGCCCGTAGGAGGTTCTTGGTGTGTTCCGTCATCCCTGTGGGAGAGACCGAGTGAGGCAGAACGGGGACACATGGCGGGGACTGTACTAGCCCAAGGCCTCCAAGTGCCCACCCCACCCAAGGCCTCCAAGTGCCCACGCCATCCAAGGCCTCCAAGTGCCCATGCCACCCAAGGCCTCCAAGTGCCCACCCAACCTGAGGCCTCTGCTTGGCCCTGGTGCCCTGCCTTTGCCCACCGCCCAACTAGGGCCTAGGGGTAAATGCTCAGTCCAGCCCCACCCATGAGGACCCTCTCCAGACAGGGGCGCCACGACTTTGTAAGATGCAGGTGCATACAGCCTGCTGTGGGCTTTAGCCCTGGGAGAGCGTGGGATTCTGGGGGACTCTCACTATGTTTACGGGTGCTATTCTCCGAATTTAAGGGTATGAGGGTTTTTTTGAGATGAAGTCTTGCTCTACTGCCCAGGCTGGGGTGCAGTGGTGTGATCTTGGTTCACTGCAACCTCTGCCTCCCTGGTTCAGGTGACTCTCGAGGCTCAGCCTCTTGAGTACTGACTACAAGCACCCGCCACCATCCTTGGCTAATTTTTGTATTTTCAGTAGAGATGGGATTTCACCATGTTGGCCAGGCTGGTCTCGAATGCCTGACCTCAAGTGATCCACCTGCCTCAGCCTCCCCAAAGTGCTGGGGTTGCAGGTATGAGCCACCACACCTGGCCCGTGGGTTACTTTTAAATTCAGAAGAAGTACGTATTCTTAATAACTCTTAATGCCCATGGTCCTAGAATCCTAGGGTGCCAGCACCCCTACTGCCATTCTGCTAAAAGCATGCTCCCTGGGGTAGAGCCAGTGCTGGGACGAGGCTGTCCCCACCCACCTTTGTACAGCTCGGCGGTCCGCTCCAGCTCCTCTAGCCTCTTGACAAGCCCATCTGTGGGGACCCAGAGAAGAGGGGAGGTCAGCAGGCTCAAAAGCCACAGGAGGCCCAGGGCCAGGCTGCGAGGGGAGGGGCGGCCCCAGAGGAAACCAGGATGGGAAAGATCAGGGGTCCGAGGGAGGGGATTTGGCATCTCAGGTCAGCTGGGTTCAGAGGTGTTTTGTAAATGGCTGGGCCTTCCTCATGGCCAGTGGAGGGTTCTTGCCCAGCAGGCAAAGCTCCCGCACTTCTAACCACAAAGCCTGCTGGCAGCTGGGGAGGAAGGCCGGCAGGGGCCATCAGATCGGAGATGGAGCAGCCAGGCCTCTAGCGCGGGCAGGACGTGGCCTCTGCCTCCCAAGCACACAGATGGCTCAAAAGGGGAAATGCAACTTGGGGAGGGAGGGGGAAATTCAGGAAGGCTGAGACAGCTCACACTGAGAAAAGGCCTTGGTGATCATATCCACTGGCTTAACTAGTGTTTCTTGAGCACCTACTATGTGCCAGCCACCAGGTCAAGCTCACTTTGAGCCAAGTCTTGCTCTCAAGGCTCAAAGTCTGGCAGGGGAGCCAGGCCAGTGGCCGGGCAATGAGCAGCAGTGTGACGGTGAGGGCTGCAGGGGAGAGGTGGGGAAGCGGCCTCACCTTGAGGAGGAAGCGGATTGCCAGGGACAGGCAGGCATTCCAGATGGAAGGGTGGGCAGAAAGCTAAGGCGCTAAGCTAAGGGCCAGCGCAGAGGCGCTATGACATTCAGTGCTCCTGCTGACCCCGTATGGGACATCCACCCCGAGGAGGATGAGGCAGATGTGCACCTCCCCACCAGGAGCCACCAGAGAGTAGGGGCCCTGTGTCGGCGGCCTCCTGGCCCAGCCACCCCACGGGATAGCAGGGCCTGGCCTTTCACAGTGCCGGCAGCCACTGACTGAATCCCCATTCAACGAGCTGGGCCTGCCGAGGGCTCCCTACGCACGTCTTGGTCCCTCCTCAGTCAGCCATGGGACAGGGACAACTCTCTCCCAGAGAAAACCAAAGGACAGGGAGGCAAGGTGGCCTGCCCAAGTCACACGGCCACCTGTGGCAGCTGGGTGCTCTCTGCTCCCAGCCTCCCGTGCTGATCTGGGTCAGGGTTTTTGAGCAGAAGAGGGGAGGGGCGCAGGCTGTGTTCAGGCCTCTCGGGGCAGGGAGGTGGCTGTGGGACAGGCTGTCAGGGGAAGAAGGGGCACTCTGGAGGTCTTGGGGAGGCTTTGGCCCCCGGTGGCCTCCAGGCCCGGGCACCCCAGAGCCTTAGTGCCCTGCCAGCCGGCAGGAAAGGAGCCATGTAAGCACCACGCTGTTGTTTTTAGCTGGGTCATGGGACATCATGACAGCTTCAATTTTAGAAACCCTATTTCAGGCCAGGAAAATTGCAAGGTTTGGGGGGAAAAACACAACAACCAGTTCTAATTTCATCTCAACGGCTGGTAACTACAGTAACAGGGGTTTATAGGCACCAGGAGGCTGGAAATAGCAGCCGCCACTTTTGTACACCATTTGGAACGCGCTCAGACCCCACCCCCACTTCCCCAGCCAATAAAGCCCAGTGTGCCCAGCTGAGCCTACAATTCCTACAGGTATTTATATCTACCCCACACGCACACTGCAGAGCTGCTGCTATTTTTAAACTTGGACTGGCGACGGTGGGAGTGGGACTGAGTGTTTCGTTGGCCACCCGGGGGAGGGAAGGTGTGCGCGCATGTGTGCATGCATGTGTAAGTGTGCGTGTACACGCCTCCCCCTCGCCTGGGCAGCCACCTCCCAGCCCAGGAGGACAAGGGCAGCAGCGCCACCTCCTGGACAAAGGAGGCACGAGGTGGGCAGCGAGAGTGCTGGGGTGAGGAGTAAGGGGGCTGAGGGCAGCGGTTGAGGCACCTCCCCATACGGAGTCTGTTTCCCCATCTGTGACCTGAGGGACGCTGGCTAGAAGGACAGCCCAGCTGACAGCTGTGGACACTCCGGGAGCTGGAGAAGCCTCTGGGGATGTGGAGATGGTGACTTCTCAGCTCCACGGGCAGAGGCTAGGTCAGGCCCGTGGGACCCACAGCAGCTTGGTAGGCAGCCACGGTGCCCCTCCCATCTTCCCAGCATGGGCTTGAGTCCCCGGGGCCCAAGCTGGCTGGGAAGGGACTCACCATTGCATAGGATGGCCCGGCTCAGGCCCAGGGCATCTGCGGTCCCCGAGCTCATGTTCTCCACCAGCCGGTGCTTGACTTTCTTCAACACTGAATGGGGGACGAAGGACCTGGTGAGTGTGTGGCTGCCCAGAGGCCATCCCTGCCTCCAGCCTTACCTCCATTCACAGGGAGCACCCTACGGGGGCAAAAGGGCTGCTGGGGGTGGCTCTGAAATGGGGAGTGTCCCTGTTCCTTCTGCTTCACAGAGCTGCTGGCAGTCTGGGCAGAGTTCAGCATGAAGTGCTTTGCCCAGGGCCTGCTGCGTGACATCAGCTGGTGTCACTGAGAGCCCAGTGCTGCCCCGGCTCAGTACGGGCTGATGGAAGCCAAGGAGGCCTCTTCCCCTCCTCTGTGCCACATCAGGACCTAGGGTGTCCCATACAAGGGAAGGAGGAGAAGGGGGGGGCCCGGGCTGATTATGTGAAAGCAGTGGGCACTATCAATGACCATGAACCTGGGACCCCAGACTCAATGACTGCATATGAGCAGCTCAGTCCTGGGAAGGGACCTGTGTTGGAACCAAAGGGTTTTAGAGGAGGCTCCCAGACAGGTCCAGTCTGCCCTGAGTCCCTTGGCCTCTGGCTCTAGGGCAGGTGTCCCCAAACTTTTTACACAGGGGGCCAGTTCACTGTCCCTCAGACCATTGGAGGGACAGTGAACCACATACTGTGCTCTTCTCACTGACCACCAATGAAAGAGGTGCCCCTTCCTGAAGTGCGGCGGGGGCCGGATAAATGGCCTCAGGGGGCCGCATGCGGCCCGTGGGCCGTAGTTTGGGGACGCCCGCTCTAGGGTGTGGGAGAGGCTTGCTGGACTCTGGAGCCGAGACCTGGGTGTGCGCTCACCAGGGGGCTGCAGCGCCTTCTCTGGGTCTCAGGCTTGGATCCATCATGTGAGGCGGCCAGTCCAGAGGACTCGAAGCTGCTCTCCGGCTCTTGGGTCTTAAAGTTTCTACAGAACCACAGCTCAGCCCTTCTAACAGGAGGGAACTTATCCCCAGGTATGGACCCTCTGCCCGTAGCCCGAGGTCCAGGTCAGATCCAGTCTCCCCGAGAGCTGACGGCAGGAGGGGTGGGAAGGAGCACGGCTGTGCTGGAGGGCATGAGGCGCCAGGCCAGGCTTGGGCTGCTCTCCGTTTATGAAGGGTGAGGCCCGGGGCCATGGTGAGCTGAGGCGCTGGCCTGCAAAGGACAACCCTAGGGCAGCAAGGTCCCAGGGGAGGTGGCCGAAGCGGGGCGGTGGGGGTGAAACACAGGACAGTGAGAAACCAGGGACAGACGGAGGGACAGCACTTATGGGTCCTCCCAGGCCTTTCGGATTTGCTCGCTCAGAAGGCGGAGCGCACAGCCATGGATGCGCCCATAGTAAGGGGAGGCCAGGGCTGGCCGTGGCACTTCTCCTGGAGGTGGGGGCCTGTCCAGGGGGGCTGCTGGACACCCGTCACTGCTCAGGCCGGCTTACCAATGTCCAGGGACATGCCCTGCTTGGGGTCCGCCTGCAGCTTGTTGTAGTGGATGGTCACCTCCCCCTGCAAGAGCAGCACACACAGACTTGTGAGGGGGCTCCAGGCCTGAGCCCCTTCTCCGGCAGCACTGTTCTGGACTAAGAATCCTAAGCCCAAGGCCAGGCGCAGTGGCTCACGCCTGTAATCCCAACACTTTGGGAAGCTGAGGCGGGCAGATCACTTGAGGTCAGGAGTTCAAGACCAGCTTGGGCAATATAGCAACCCCCTGGTGAGTGCACACCCAGGTCTCTCAGCTCCGGGGTCTAGCAAGCCTCTTACTAAAAATACAAAAATTAGCCAGGCATGGTTGCACATGCCTATAATCCCAGCTACTCAGGAGGCTGAGGCATGAGAATCACTTGAACGCAGGAGGCAGAGATTGCAGCGGCCTGAGATTGCGCCACTGGACTCCAGCCTGAGTGACAGAGCGAGATTCTGTCTCAAAAAAAAAAAAAAAAAAAAAAGAATCCTAAGCCCCAGTAAGGAACCAGGCTGAGAGCTGTGACCATGTCTGCTCCCAGGCCCCTCCTTTCCCACTCTACGTCCAAGCCCTGGGGAATCCGTGGAGACAGGGCCGACACGGAGCCCACAGCCTGGTGGTCTCTGATGCCCTGTGCTTCAGCCAGGTCAGACTCTCCTTCCCTCCGCACGCTCGCCACGCTCCACGCCCTGGCCGTGTCGTTTCCGTATGCCAATTATTCCCTCCTCCGCCCAAACCACCCCCATCTCCGGGAATCCCTCCACTCATTCAACAGATACATCTCAGCACTTGCTCTGTGCCTGGTGCTAGGGAGCCAAGGAGAAGGGGCAGGGGCGGCCCCAGACCCCCAAGGCTGATTTGATCCAGGGAATTATGCAAACTGCATTCTAGTGACTGCTCAGGAGACACAGGCTTCTCCTAAGAGGACTTCCCTGAGCACAGGAGGCCACCGTGTTCACTCTCATCCTTGCAAACCAAAAGCCCTTGAACTTGGGACCACATTCATCCAAATATAAAACAGGATTTAAAAATCAAGTCCCGCTGGGCGCGGTGTCTCAAGCCTGTAATCCCAGCACTTTGGGAGGCCGAGGCGGGTGGATCATGAAGTCAAGAGATCGAGACCATCCTGGTCAACATGGTGAAACCCCGTCTCTACCAAAAATACAAAAAATTAGCTGGGCATGGTGGCACGTGCCTGTAATCCCAGCTACTCAGGAGGCTGAGGCAGGAGAATTGCCTGAACCCGGGAGGCGGAGGTTGCGGTGAGCCGAGATCGCGCCATTGCACTCCAGCCTGGGTAACAAGAGCGAAACTCCGTCTCAAAAAAAAAAAAAAAAAAAAAAAAAAAAAAAAAAAAAAAAAAATCAAGTCCCAAAGGGAAACCAAAATGAGCGATGCAATCAGAGTCAGAGATGGGGTGTGACTCGCTCCCCCAAAATGCAACACAGCCGGGCTCAGGGGCCATCCCACACAGAGTAGCTGTAGGCTAACGGCAAGCGGGCTGCAGTGGGAGTCGGACCTGGGCTCCAGTTTAGCTGTGTGACCACAAGCAGGTCACTCCCCAACTCTGCACACCTGTAGGATGGGACAGTAGGCTGGGTGCGGTGGCTCACGCCTATAAGCCTAGCACTTTGGGAGGCCGAGGCGGGCAGATCACCTGAGGTCGGGTGTTTGAGACCAGCCTGACCAAAACGGAGAAACCCCGTCTTTACTAAAAATACAAAAAAGTTAGCCGCACGTGGTGGCGGGTGCCTATAGTCCCAGCTACTCGGGAGGCTGAGGCAGGAGAATCACTTGAGCCTGGGAGGCGGAGGTTGCAGTGAACCAAGATCGCACCATTGCACTCCAGCCTGGGCAACAAGAGCAAAACTCCAACTCAAAAAAAATTTTCAAAAAGATGGGAGAGGAATCCCTGCCCAGCACCCAAACAGGGGAGCGGGGCCCATGCTGCATCACTGTCACTGCTGTGTGCAAACACAAAGCTCTTGTCCTCACAGGCAACCTGAGGGGCTGGTGTCACCAAGCCTGAGAGGTCAGGGAGGGAGGTGAGCAGAGATAGGGAGGGGGGGCGGAGCTGCTGAACTGGGCACACACAACTCAACTCTGCCAGACGGAGACCCCCTGCACCTGTTCCCGTGACCAGCTCCTCTGTCTAACAGGTCATGCTGGGGGCAGTGATACCCAGACCACGTGCAGTGGCAGCTGCAGTCTCAGTGAACCTTGTCGCTTCCTTTGGTACAACAGAGCTCTGAGCCCCAGCCCCAGGCCGATTTGTCCAATGGCTAAAGGGGCTGGAATAGGAGAACGTGCAGGATTGGAATCTTCCTCCCTCCGGCAAGGAAGGAGTAGCGGGGATGACGCAGGAGCAGGGTGGGAGGATAAAGGGAGAGGATGGAGCCAAGGCTGGCCTGGGTGAAGGCAGGAAGGGGGGCTGTCAGGGGTGCTAGAACCCGGAGGACGGAAGTGGAGCAGAGGGAGAAAGCTGCAACCCTTGGCCAAGCTCAACTCACAATGGGGACCCTTGCCCCCGAGACTGTTAAACCACTGCCTCCACATCAGTTCTTTCATAGAACTGGTTTCCTGAGACTTGCTAGCAGCCCCATTGCTAGGAAATGGCAAAGGGGCTGCATGCTCGCTTCCAGAGAGGCCAGGACACTGTCACATTCCAGGAGGGAGGGTCCCTGCGGAGAGGCCTGGGCCTGGAGCAGCAGGAGTTGGGGAAAGCAGAGGCAGGCAGCATGTGACTCCGGTCTGCAGAGCAAAGATCAGCTAGTGTGGGAGGGGGTCTCTGGGTGTCTATAAGCCCAGGAGGACGCACAGGACGAGAAGTTCCTCCAGGAGGGGAAAGCGCGCTCTTCTTTCCCTCTTAGCCCTCCCAGGCCCTGCATGGCCCGGCTGACGTTATTGGGTGTCTACTGACCTAAGCAGGATCACCTTGAACTTTTAGCTTCGGCTCCAGCGCTGACTGGGGACACATGGGCTAGCCCTGAGGCATGGTTCCTGGTCTGTCAGCTCCCTGGGAGCTCACAGGGACCTTGGGGTTGGCCACTCTCTTGCCAAGGTCCAGCACAAGTCCTGGGGCACGATTACTATTTACTGAATGGATGAGGGATGGATGAGGGAGGCTGGAGTGTGACCCTGACTCCGATGTGCCAAGGAAGGGGTGAGGGCCGATTCCCCTTTCCAGGCCTGCTGGGACCTCTGGCAGCCTGGAGGCCTAGAAGCACGTGTGGCCGCCTCTGGACACTCCCTCGGTAGCAGCCCTTACCTTCACCTCCTGAATCATCTTCGCCACCTCCACCTTAGTTTTCCCTTTGATTGATCTGCCATTGACGCCGGTGATCTCATCCCCAGCTGCCACTGTGCCGTCCAAGGCTGCTGGGGTATTGTCAAATACCTGTGGGTGCAGAAGTAGAGCGGTGGGGAGAAACGGAGGACCGAGATGCAGCCCGAGAAGACACCCCAACCACTGCCCGGCTCTGCCTTCCACTCTACCCTCTGCTCTTGTTTTGTGAGAAAGGGTCTCGCCCACCTGGGCTGGAGTGCATGGCATGATCACAGCTCACTGCTGCACTGAACTCCTGTGCTCCGGCAATCCTCCTGCCTCACATAGATAGTCAAATGATTTTTGACAATGGTGTCAAGAACGTTCAATGGGTAAGGACAGTCATTTCAACAACCGTATGTGAAAAATGAAGTTGACACTTAACCTAACACCATATAGAAAAATTAACTCAAGGCCAGGCGCAGTGGCTCACGCCTGTAATCCCAGCACTTTGGGAGGCCAAGGCAGGTGGATCACCTGAGGTCAGGAGTTCGAGACTAGCCTGGCCAACACGGCAAAACTCTATCTCTACTAAAAATACAAAAATTAGCCGGGCATGGTGGTGGGTGCCTGTAGTCCCAGCTCCTCAGGAGGCTGAGGCAGGAGAATCGCTTGAACCCAGGAGGTGGAAGTTGCAGTGAGCTGAGATTATGCCACTGCACTCCAGCCTGGGCAACAGAACAAGACTCTGTCTCAAAATAATAATAATAATAATAATAATAACTCAAAATTGATCTCAACTCACTGCAACCTCTGCCCTCCAGGTTCAAGTGATTCTCCTGCCTTAGCCTCCCAATTAGCTGAGATTACAGGCACATGCCACCACACCCAGCTAATTTTTGTATTTCTAGTAGAGACAGGGTTTTACCATGTTGGCCAGGCTGGTCTCAAACTCCTAACTTCCAAGTGATCTGCCCGCCTCAGCCTCCCAATGTGCTGGGATTACAAGCGTGAGCCACCACACCCGGCCCCATCTTCTTCAGTCTGTGTTCCACCCTGTAACCTCTCCCCCTGTGCCCTCCTCCTGCACCTCTTCTTCGGATTCCCCCATCTCAGAGGTCCCGCTCTTGGTTTACTCCCCTGTCTCCTGTGGAGTGAGTTGAGATAATACCACTGCACTCCAGCCTGGTGACAGTGAAAGACTTCATTACAAAAAAAAAAAAAAAAAAGATGGGAAACTGTGGAAAACATACTGAGAAAACAAGGAGTGCAATGAAAAACAAAACAGGAAATTACCCCACCGTCTCAAAAAAGAAGAAAAGGCTGAATAGAGAAAAGAAACAGAATCCTCAGAAAGTTAGACATTGAGCTGTTTCAACTAGAATGAGAGCTCGCGAAGGTGGGATCTTTGTTTTCCTCACTTTCTTGTCCCTAGTGCCCACAACAGAGCCTAGCCAGGCACTTGGAAAGATTTCCTGAACAAAGTCTCCGTTGTACTAATATTAATTTAGCCAAAAATGGAAAAATAACTATGTTGGAAAGGTGGGGAGAGAGGAAACAGACTGGTCGTGGAAAGAACTGAATTCTCACCTACGGATGAGACAAAGGCAATAGATATTTACAGATGATAGATCAAGAAATAACAGGATAGCCGGGCGCGGTGGCTCAAGCCTGTAATCCCAGCACTTTGGGAGGCCGAGGCAGGTGGATCACGAGGTCAAGAGATCAAGACCATCCTGGTCAACATGGTGAAACCCTGTCTCTACTAAAAATACTACAAATTAGCTGGGCATGGTGGAGTGTGCCTGTAATCCCAGCTACTCAGGAGGCTGAGGCAGGAGAATTGCCTGAACCCAGGAGGCGGAGATTGCGGTGAGCCGAGATCACACCATTGCACTCCAGCCTGGGTAACAAGAGCGAAACTCCGTCTCAAAAAAAAAAAAAAAAAAAAAAAAAAAACAAAAACAGGATAGACCAGGCGAGGTGGCTCATGCCTGTAAGCCCAGCATTTTGAGAGGCCAAGGTTGGTGGATTGCTTGAACCCAGGTGTTCGAGATATGCCTGGGCAAAACCCCATCTCTACAAAAAATACAAAAAAATTAGCTGGATGTGGTGGCACCTGCCTGTAATCCCCAGCTACTTGGAGGTGGGAGAATCACCTGAGTCTGAGGAGGTTGAGGCTGCAGTGAGCCATGATTGAACCACTTCTCTCCAGCCTGGGCAACAGAGTGAGACCCTGACTCGAAAAGACAGTAACAACAGGATAAGCGTCCTATTGAGAAAAATGGAAGCTCACGCATGAAGAAGCAGTGAAGCCAGTGAGGTGCACGGGGAAAGGGCAGTGGATTGCTATTATTTGACACAGGGCTGTCAATGCTCTTGACTTGCTAGAAGCAAGTTACATGGCACTTTGGTAAAAACAAAACTGAATTTTAAAAAATCAGTTCTATTATGTTATTGGCCAGTGGTTCACACCTGTAATCCCAGCACTTTGGGAGGCTGAGGTAGGCAGAATCACTTGAGTCCAGGAGTTCGAGACCAGCCTAGCCAACATAGCTAAACCCTGTCTCTCCTAAAAATACAAAAATTTGTTGGGCGTGGTGGCATATGCCTGTAATACTGGCTACTCAAGGGGCTGAGGCATGAGAATTGCTTGAATCCAGGAGGCAGAGGTTGCAGTGAGCTAAGATCACACCATTGCACTCCAGCCTGGGTGACACAGTGAGACTCTGTCTCAAAAAAACAATCAAACAAACAAACAAACACCAACTCTACTATTTTATAATGTGTGTTCATTCTAAGCAAACCTGCCCCCGAGGTAGGGAGAGGGAGGTGGCGAGAGGCTGAGCAGGCACATGGCCAGGAGGCCAGGCCTGGGGAACGCCTTGCTAACGCCTCCTGGGTCACAGGAGACCGAATGGCTCATGAAGGAGACAGCATGTGAGCAGAAGCAAGACCAGGCCAATCTGGGAATCCGTCTTCGAGGCCTAGAAGCAACTCCTTAGCAAGATCCTCACAGAGGCCAGTTTCCCATCTGCCACCAGCGGCCACCCAGCTGAGAGGGTCAGAACCAGTCTTCCTAAGCCGAGAGCAAGGTCACTGACTTTAATGAGCCACACAGTGAAGGAGGCCTCACAGCAGCCCGGTCACCACTCCTGAGCTACGGTGCACAGAATATCACCAGCGCCACTTCCTCTGCAGGGGACACAAGAGTGTTCCTTACCACTGACAGAGCATCTGGGAAAATGTACAGCTGCCTGAAAACTAACAGCAGCTACTGCTTAATGCACGTTTTTGTTTTGTGGGGTTGTGTGGTTTTTTTTTGAGACAGGGTATCACTCTGTTAACCAGGCTAGAGTAAGTACAGTGGCATGATCTCGGTTCACTGCAACCTCTACCTGCCAGGTTCAAGCGATTCTCCTGCCTCAGCCTCCCTAGCAGCTGGGACTACAGGTGTGCGGCACCATGCCCAGTTAATTTTTTGTATTTTTAGTAGAGACAGGGTTTCACCATGTTGGCCAGGCTGGTCTCAAACTCCTGATCTCAGGTGAACCACCCGGCTTGGCCTCCCAAAGTGTTGGGATTACAGGTGTGAGCCACTGTTCCTGGCCAATGCACATTTCCAGGTTTTTCTTGTTTTTGTTTTGTTTTTGAGATGGAGTCTTGTTCTGTGGCCAGGCTGGAGCGCAGTGGTGCGATCTCAGCTCACTGCAACCTCCGCCTTCTGGGTTCAAGCAATTCTCCTGCCTCAGCCTCCCAAGTAACTGGGAACACAGGCACCTGCTACCATGCCCAGCTGACTTTTGTATTTTTAGTAGAGACAGGGTTTCGCTATGTTGGCCAGGCTGGTCTTGAACTCTTGACCTCATGATCCGCCCACCTTGGCCTCCCAAAGTGCTGGGATCACAGGCGTGAGCCACCGTGCCTAGCCCACGCATGTTTCTTAAATGCTAGTGTGTTATGTTGTTTTGTTGACTTTTCACAAGAACCCAAAGATGCTCATGTCTACATGTTTTAAAACCCCACTTTCTAGGTGACGAAACTGAGGCCCAAAGAGGTTAAGTGACTTGCCAGTAAGTAGGGAAGAAGCTTGCATTTGACCTCTGGCCATTATTTCATAGAGTTCCTATGACACTTCATTTGCTAGAGCCCAAGGCTGATGCTTTTGTCGATTCAACAGTCAATTTCTTTTTTTATCCGATTTTTTTTTCAACTTGGCTTGTCACCAAGATTTAACAGTCAATTTTTATTGCAGGTCCACTATGCGTCAGGCACTGTACCTGGTGCTAACTGCAGTGAAAAGGCAAACCAGGACACTGTCCTCAGTGCAAAGAGTCTACTCTCCTAGACGGAGGACAAATAACAAGTAAGAAGTGCCGAGAAGGAAAAGCACAGAGGGACGCAGGGGAGAAGACGGGCCAGACCAATGCAGCGCGGATGGTCAGAAAGCCCCTCAGAGGGGGTCAGACCTCAAGAATGAGGAGGAGTCAGCTATACAGTGTGGACAAATGAACCTGCCTTTTTCATGCCCAAGTAGGAACGTACCTTGCGTCATCCCCCCTCCAAAGTGCCCAATACCTGGACGATATAGAGGCAGGGACAGTACTGGGCCCCTCCTCCAATGCTGATCCCGATCAGGTTCTGAGCATCCTTCTGCAGGGTCACCTTCCCAGGCACAGTCGGAATTCCGCTAGAAAGAAAAGCAAGTGAGGTTGACTCTCCTGGAGGAAGGATGACTGGAGGGGGTGGGCCCTCCAAAACTCCTGAGGGGCGCCATTGGCTGCCCAGCTTTTTCTCTCCCTCCCTTGGATTAAACCATAGCACTTTGTGCTGAAACAGGTACAGTTCTTGGAGTTCTGCAGATGTGGGATCAAACCCCATCAAATCTGCCATCATTTATCAGCTGTGGGACTTGGTTTTCTTTTTCTTTTTTTGAGACAGAGTTTTGGTCTTGTTGCCCAGGCTGGAGTGCAATGGCACTAATCTTGGCTCACTGCAACCTCTGACTCACCAGTTCAAGCAATTCTCCTGCCTCAGCCTCCCAAGTAGCTAGGATTACAGTTACAGGTGCCTGCCACCACGCCTGGCTAATTTTTTGTATTGTTTTATCATTATTATTATTTTTAAAGACGGGGTTTCACCACGTTGGTCAGGATGGTCTGGAACTCCTGACCTCAGGTGATGCATCCACCTCGCCCTCCCAAAGTGCTGGGATTACAGGCGTGCGCCACTGCACCTGGCCAGCTATGGAACTTGGGTAAGTCACCCTCTGTGCGTCTCAATTTCTTCATCCATAAAATGGGGATGAGCACCCTTATCCAAGTTCTTCTACCCATGCATGGAGCCCACTAACAGCAACCCAACCCACAGCAGGCACTCCATAAAGATAGGTCCCCTTCCCTTTCATTCATTTGATCTCTGCGATTTGAGACAGGTTCTGTCCTTGTCACCTTATCAGGCATCTAGGGAATATGATGGCCACCTGCTCAAGGAGTCTTCCCCTGTTAAACTATCCACCTCCCACCTCCTCAATTACCTCTCAGTTTCCACCATAAACTAGCATTGACTGGTGTTTCATGGCAAGTACTTGCGCTGATTCGCTTATGCATTCAAAAAACATTTGCTACCAACCTGCTGACATCAAGCCCCTTACTAAGTGCTGAGCACAGAGAAAGGCATTGCACTCACTCCTTGATCCGAAAGAGGATACATTCTAATGGGAAGACAAATCTCATTTTTGAAAATCTACTAATAACCTATGTTGGGAAGGAAGGTATGTCTACAACATTCCTATTCAACCTTCAAAACCTGGCTCAACTGCCACCTTCTCCATGAAGCTTTCCTTGATCACCCCAGCAGAAGCATTGCTCCATCTGCTTTCTCTCCTTGTCACCAAGACATGCTAATAGTGCCCTTATGGAACTGAGCTGTGATTATCCCTTTAACTGTCCACAGCCCCCTATAATAGTGAGCTCCTGGAAGAGCAGGGTCCATTGCTGCTTCAGGACAACACCTGATCCACTGCGGAGAAGCAAGGGTTTGTGGGGCTGGAAAGTCCAGGGAAATAAGGGATTTGGGGGGTCCTATGCTCCTGGAACTTGGGGGAATAAAATACTCACAGTTTATCCTCTTCGATGTCATAATCCAAGTCTGCAAACATGGCTCCGAGAGTTGGAGCGGGCTGGCTAACTGCCCAGCTCGGCAGGGGACTGGGGAACTGGATCCGGGAGAGAAAGGAGCATAGGATTCAGGGAACCGAAGTGCTTAAATGTCAACGCCACCCGTTCCTCCGCCACTCTCATACGGGACAGCAGGGCCCTCTTCTTCCCTCTGGAGTGGGATGGGGCAGTCTCCGGGTTGTGGGGGGGGGGGGCGGGGGCAGGCTGGGTAGGTGATTCTTACTAGGTACAAGGGAGGACTCCAGGCCAGGACGATGGGCTCAGACCCCAGAGCCCGGCCCAAGGGTCTCCAGGCCCTGGGGAGCTGCCTCTGTTGCTCACCGGAAGCGTTAGTCCCACAGCCGGGTCCGGGCCAGGCTGGTACCTGAACCCACCTGCCGTTCCACCTGGCGGTGGCCGCGACTATCACATCACTTCCGGCAAGACGCGGAAGTCCCGCCTTTCCCCCGCTGGGTGTTTGCCCCAATCCCCGCAGACAATCCTTCCCTCACCCGCTCCCAGGACTCTCAGAGCCAAGAACAAGAACAAGTATTGGCAGAGGCTCACTGTTAGTAGGAACAAGCGGAAACAGAGGAAAAGTCTGGACAGGCTGTCAGCCTCTAACCCCGCCCTTTGCCCTGCCGCCGCCGCCATCTTGGGAAGGGCAGGGTTTGTCCCAACTTCCTCAGCGGCACTCAGGGGCCCGCGCCGGCCAGACGGTTGCCAGGGCAACGAAAGCATCTCTGAGCCAGGGTTACCTCCGGCGAGGCTCAGTGGAGTATAAACCCCGAGACCTGCCCTTCCACCCCCTAACCACCTGGGCCTGTGACTCCCCTAGTAGAATGGCCCTTTGAGGTCCCAGCCCACCCCAGTTTCGCAGGCAAGGGAACTTAAGTGCCAAAGAGCGGGGAGTGATTTTGTGCAGAGCCACACACAGTTGGTATAAGATCTGGATCGTGGCCCCGAAACTCCCGCCGCCTAGTCTAGGGATCTCGGAACATCCGAACACTAAGAAGAGAGCCAGGAGTGGTGTATTCAGTGGATCTTGCTATTAAGGACAGATTGGACATGCCCCCTTCCCTATAGGTGCGTGAGTTTCCCCATATGTAAACTAAGGCCATATGGTCAATGCTTTCTATGGTATATGGTGAAAGATTTCTTACCCCCGCTTCCTTAGTCCTGAGGAGCAGCCACCCTGGGGTCCCACGGAGGGTCACGGCCCCCATGTACCTGAGGCTCGGGAAACGTCATCAATGCGCCCCTGTCGAAGCTTTCTCTCAGCCTCTGCTGCCACTGCTATCGTGTAAAGTGGATTCCCCGGGGGAGGCTGGATCTCCCAGAGCCACAGCCAGGCCTCCACCTCACCGCGACAGCACGGGGCCAGGGCCAGCCAGCTTCCCTAGCTGCCCCAGGGGCCACGGAGGAAAGATGCAGAAGGATGGATATCCACATATCCCACAGGCGATGGAAGCCCCACCCTACGCTGTCCTTAGGGAGCCAATCTGAGTCTGGACAGATGTGTAGAATGCCGTGATCGCAACAGCCTTCCCACGTGTCCACTGCTCTCCAGTCAGATCACTTTTACAGGATTTTCAAGCTCACCACCACCCTGTGAGGAAAGACCAAGTCTTGCCAGCCACATTGTGCAGGCAAGGAAACTGAGGCCCGGAGAAGTCTCTTCCTCTGGTGTCATAGCGGCAGGGCTAGGGCTGGGACAACCAAGCTCTGTTTCCAGGCCAGAATTTTGGTTTTAAAAAGCAGCAGTCTAAGGCCAGGCATGGTGGCTCATACCTGTAATGTCAGCACTTCAGGAGGCCCAGGCGCACAGATCATCTGAGGTCAGGAGTTCGAGACCAGCCTGACCAACATGGACAAACCCCGTCTCTACTAAAAATACAAAAATTCGCCAGGTGTGGTGGTGCGCCTGTGATCCCAGCTACTTAGGAGCCTGATAAAGGAGAATCACTTGAACCTGGGAGAGGGAGGTTGCAGTGAGCTGAGATCAGGCCATTGCACTCCAGCATGGGCAACAGAGCAAGACACTGTCTCAAACAAAACAAACAAACAGAAAGCAGCAGTCTCCAAACCCAGCTGTTTTAACATGGACTGTGGCACATCGGGCCCATGACCATGCTAGCTCAAGCCCAGGCTCTGCCATTGTGTAGCTGGGAGATCTTGGCTGAGTCACTGTCTGACTCTGAGCCTCGGGTGCCTGTAGAATGGGGAAATGATGCCTGCCACCAGGTGTTTGTGAAAGTCAAGATTAAAAGGAGAGGCCAGGTGAGGTGGCTTACGCCTGTAATCCCAACACTTTGGGAGGCCAAGGCGCGTGGATCATGAGGTCAGGAGTTCAAGACCTGCCTGGCCGACATGGCAAAACCCCGTCTCTACTAAAAACACAAAAATTAGCTGGGCATGGTGGCATGCTTCTGTAATCCCAGCTACTCAGGAGGTTGAAGCAGGAGAATTGCTTGAACGCTGGGTAGCAGGAGTTGCAGTGAGCCAATATTTCACCACTGCACTCCAGCCTGGGTGATAGAGCGAGACTCCATCTTAAAAAAAAAAAAAAAAAAAAAAAAAAGATTAAAAGGAGAAACAGGTGTGAGTGCTTTGTAAACGATTTACATGGCACAGCTGTCACTCTGACCTCAAAACCCCTACCCACTCTGGCCCCTCTTCCCAGGTAGGGGCAAGATGCCCCTTTTTTCTGCTTCATCCATCTCTTACCTCCAGGCCCCGATCTAATTTGCCTCCTCCCGGCAGCCTTAGCAGACAAGCTTAGCTCATATATCTTGCTCCCTTTCTGAGCTCCTATTTGTTCTTGGAATCATTCATTCAGCAATTTGCTATGTATTGGCCTTGTGAAATCTCTCCATGGTTTTCCTGAGCCAATTCTGTGATGATTAATTTATTACATGGTTGTATATTGTCTGGAGAGGTTTTTTCTCCTTTAAATTTGGGGCTTAGAGCTCATATCTTGACAAATTACAAAATGCTTCTCCCTGTCCCTCTTTTTATTGTGTTCTCTTTCTCTACTGACTTTTTTTTTTTTTTTTTTTGAGACAGTCTTGCTCTTTCGCCCAGGCTGGAGTACAGTGGCACAATCTCAGCTCACTGCAACCTTTGCCTCCTGGGCAAAGCGATTCTCCTGCCTCATCCTCCTGAGTAGCTGGGACTACAGGCACCTGCCACCACACTCAGCTATTTTTTTTTTTTTAAGATGGCGTCTCGCTGTTATTGCCCAGGCTGGAGTGCAAATGGCGAGATCTTGGCTCACTGCAACCTCTGCCTCCTGGGTTCAAGTGATTCTCCTGCCTCAGCCTCCTGAGAGGCTGGGGCGATAGGCGCCCACCACCACACCTGGCTAATTTTTTGTATTTTTAGTAGAGACGAGGTTTCGCCATGTTGACCAGGCTGGTCTTGAACTCCTGACCCCAGGTAATCCACCCACCTTGGCTTCCCAAAGAGCTGGGATTACCGGAGTGAACCACCGCAGCTGGCCCAATTTTTAAATTTTTTGTAGAGACAGGGTTTTACCATGTTGGCCAGACTGGTCTCAATCTCCTGACCTCAGGTGATCCACCTGCCTCAGCCTCCCAAAGTACTAGGATTACAGGTGTGAGCCACCTAAGCTGGCCTCTTTCTCTACCGACTTTCTAATCCCTGGCACTCCCACTTTCCATAGGATACTTGGAATCCATCAACAGGTGTCATTGTGACAAACAAGAAAAAGAAAATCGGATTGCTTTGAATTACCTGTTGGTGTGAAAATGTCATGACCCGCTTAGTTTTTTAGCAGAGGGGTCACTGGAATCAGCTCGCACAGCACAGGAACATGCCCCAGTCAATTCAGGGGGTCTGGTTGGGACCAGGAATCTATTTGAGAAAAAAGAAAGTTCAAGTACCTTATTCTGTCACCCAAGTAAGCACTTCTTGTCTTCCCGGCTAGACAGGAAGTCCCTGGTGGGGGTAGGGGGTGCCTTGTTTTGCTCTTCTCTGAATTGTCCACGGTGTCCAGCACAATACCTAGCCGCAAATCTAGTGCTTGCAGAAATAGCTGCGGCCTCAGTATGAGATGAGGCTTTCTCTGGGTCCAGGAGAGGACTTGAGTGGACAGAGGGATCGAGGGTCGGACGCCTCAGGGAGGAGATGAGGGCCCGAACAGGGATGGTGGCAGTGACCCGAGTTTCCTCCACAGGGCTGGAGTCACCAGGCTGTGTCTAGGTTCTGAACTTTGGTTTTGGAAAAAACAGCATTCTTCAAATCCAACAGCTGTAACAGAGACTGGCGCTCCCGCAGCCCAGGGTTGCTCTAGCTCAAATCCCAGCTCCGCTCTTTTAGCTGGAGGACCTTGGGCAAGTCACCCTTTGTCTCTGAGCCTTGGTGTCTGTAGAGTGAGGATGATGATCCTCCCAAGACAGTAGTTAAAAAGAGGAAGAGAGGCTCGGCATGGTGGCTCACGCCTGTAATCCCAGTGTCCCGATCTGCAGGACAACAACAGGAGCCCGAAGGGAGGGAGTGGGGATGGATGGGCAGGAGACGCGAAGAATGGAGACAAGACAGGAGTCTGATCAAGTCTCGTTTATTGTTGCTGAGCTCACAGCTTAAATAGGCCAGGCAGGGGGGCGGGGCAAAGGAAGCTTGCAGTTGGGAAATTCCGGCCAGGTGTGCCAGGTGCCGCTACCAGCCTCGTGCCGTCCACGGGCTGAACCTGAATCATCAGGACTTGAGCCTCCCACAAGCGGCACCTGGGCTCTCTTGGCCCCAGGATTGGGCCTGTGCTGCTGCCCACAGCCTCCCACAAGCGGCACCTGGGCTCTCTTGGCCCCAGGATTTGGCCTGTGCTGCTGCCCACATCCCAGCACTTTTGGAGGCCGAGGCAGGCAAATCACCTGACATCAGGAGTTCAAGACCAACCTGGCCAACATGGTGAAACCCTGTGTCTACTAAAAATACAGAAAATTAGCCGGGTGTGGTGGCACGTACCTGTAGTCCCAGCTACTTAGGAGGCTGAGGCATGAGAATTGCTTGAACACAGGAGGTGGAGGCCGAGATCGCACCACTGCACTCCAGCCTGGACAACAGAGTGAGACTCCATCTCATAAAATAGATAAATAAATTAAAAGGAGAGCCATGTGTGAAAATGTTTGGCGAATGATTGACATAGCACAGATGTCAGAGGTTTTTATGGTCCTTTAGAGTTACTTTGCTGAAACCCTGCAGAAAGCGGGGCCGATGGTACATTTCAAGGACCCTGAGGTGCTCAGGCCTCTGCATCAGACTTGGCTGGGAAGTGTCTTACATGCAGATTCCTGGGCTCCGGCTCAGACATGTGGGATCAGAATCTCTGGGGAAGGGGAGGGCTTGGGGACTGCATTTCACAACGTTCTGCGGGTGATGCCAGTGCCTCCCGCAGTTTGAGGACCACTGTGTCAGAGGCTGTGAGCATGCAGTGTCTGTGCACACTCGGGTGGGCCTGTGCGAGGCACCAGCAATCCCTGCCCCAGGGCCTCACCATCCCCAATAATTAAGGGTGTTGCATGGACCCAGAGAAGGGGCTCCTGCCCAACCAAAGGCTTGTGAGGGCTTCCTGGAGGAGGTGCTGGTGATGCCCAGGCTGAGAAGAGGGAAAGGTGCAAAGGCTTCCCAGGGTT